ACGATCGTACACTTACTGTGCATGTTCAATTTTTTATTTTTTTCCGAAAAAAATCAAAACGTATGCATGCGGACGACGCGAAACATAGCTATAAAAAATGATGGCCTTAACACTCATTCACTTCATTAGAGAGGTTCCAGGGTACAATTTTCCGTGCCAAAATCCGTATAGGCGGTACAGTTTTTTTCGAGTCGTGCTTCATACGATTTTTCAGCAAGGAGAATCCGTGTGGACTGGCTTTCATATGAACCATGTTTCGTATGGAGATTTTCGGTCATTAAGTGCAGAAAGGTTTTCGCGTACAAATTTGGTACGAGAAACATCGATTTTCCGCGGGAAGTTTTGACTTCGGTACAAATTTTCAAAATAAAAAAGGCATAGCGCGGGAATATGACCTGTGTGCGATCGTAACCTGGCAATGACGGTACACACATAAGTTTCGTACTCCGGAACATTTCACTGCTCGAAAACGATGTATAAAAAGTCCGTAGCGCCTCTACGGGTTTGGCACAAAAAATTGTACTCCAGAACCTCTCTATTATTGTAGACCCCGAGGAGTAGGCAAAGCCCGATTTTGCCAGTGAAGCCTCGATATTTTGCCCCGAATTTTGGTGGCTCATCGTCGATATTTTGCTCTCATTTTGCCAGGCCACTCGATATGTTTGTTCCCTTTCTGCTCCAATGCGATGCCAAATTTGTGTCACATGTGGGAAAACTGACCGAAAGTGGGTCACGTGTTGGCAAAATGAGAAAAAGTGAGTCACGTGTTGGAAACAATGTGCGAAAATGAGTCACGTGCACCATATAAGTGTAACAAATCTCCCAATTTCCAGCGAACATGTCGATATTTTGCTCCGTTTTGCCAGCGAATTCTCTTGTCAAAATTCTTCAACATTTTGCTAGCAGAATATTGCTAGCAAAATCGGGCTTTGTCTACCGGGGAGAGCAGACAACATACGGATGACTCATGGAGTGCTGGATGACTCATGGAGTGCTGGATGACTCATGGAGTGCTGGATGACTCATGGAGTGCTGGATGACTCATGGAGTGCTGGATGACTCATGGAGTGCTGGATGACTCATGGAGTGCTGGATGACTCATGGAGTGCTGGATGACTCATGGAGTGCTGGATGACTCATGGAGTGCTGGATGACTCATGGAGTGCTGGATGACCGAATTTGGCATGTGATAATCACATGTCCATGCACAAGGTGCAGTGCCCGTTAGGGGGGGGGGGGGGCAGGACTGTAGGCGTACGAGTGTGATGGCGGAGGGCCGTGTTAGATCGCCAGATGAGAGGAGATTGCTGGCCCATGGTTGCCCAGCCTCAATATTTTAACATGGAGAACAATAATTATCAACATTGATATGCGTTTGCGATCTGACACAACTTAAAAAAAGTTACGTCAGATTGCAGACGCGTATCAACGTTGATAATTATTGTTATTGCTAGCCAAGATCATCAGCACAATCCTAGCAAGGCAAGTTGCTGTGCTATCCCAACTATCTGGCAGCTGGGCAAACGTGTGGGTATGTACATCAGTGTGAGTTGTATGCCCGCACGGTGGGCTCTTTGCGTACCTTATCGCGTTCAGCAGTACACCTGTACCTCGGACAGCTCCTTGGCTTGTTGTGCCGTATCTGTGCAGGTGTGCAATGTTGATGGGTGATTGCCTTGGTTGCCAAGTCAGCTACCTCTCACATGGTCCAGACACAGGAGCCAGGTTGCTGTATCTGGAGCTTGCTGCGTTGATGGGGCTAGCTGATGGAATGTCCGCTGGTTGAGACTGGACAGAGCATCAGCAATCGAATTCAAGCCCATCCCTGTTGGATCAAGACCTGTCACCGGCGGATGTCCTTTCTGGCCTCCCTTGTTAGGGTGATACGGAAAGGGGCTTTTGGCACGGTTGTGTGGTTCCCTCCGATGTCTTCTCTGCCATGACTGAAGGAGTCGACGCCGGTGATGAAGCAGTAGTCGCAACTGAGGTGTACTCTTGTGTGAAAGTGGTTCCCTGCGATGTCTTCTCGCATTGGCTGGGAAGCCTCCTCTTGAGACTGTCAATTCGAAGCAATATAGCCCTCTCCAGTGTTCGGAATTCCTCAAGTGTGCGGTTCTCCTGTTCTGCTAACTGTCTGTTAATGAACTTCTGCTAGGTTCTAAATCTTGACGTGAAACTTTCATCCAGTTCTTGCCTTGTGGGTAGATGGTCTTGGCATGTTCTACCCACGTGTCCTCTAGGACATTCACAGATGAATCCAGCTGTTAATGTCCAGCAAGTGCCTAGTACGTCCACGCTTGACGTGAATGAGAGTTTTCCCAGGAAGTGGTCGAGTTTGCATCGAGTTGTCTGGTCACTGTGTATCCTGGCCTCCTCGCCCAGGGGCTCACAGAGCTCAGCGACTGTGTCATCTGTCAGCAGTCATCTGAGAGTTGGGCTTCCATGCACACTGTGTCATAAGAATGCCTAGGAAGGCCAGGTATGTAGATGGGCCAGTAGCTTTCTTCTCGGCTTGTGGGATGTATTGGTATTTGGATGCTTGCATGATGACGTCTTTCAAGGCTATGCTGCGGTGGGCTGGTATTGAGGAAGTCGTCCAGATACTGGAGAAGGTGACGAATGGCAATCTTGGAAGCACCGGGCCATTCAATGTCACTGGCTACCGAACGGCCGGGCATCGTCGGAATAGCATTGCCCTTGCCATCGAATGCCAAGTAGTGACCAGGCGGATGGGTGCACACTGCTCAGGGATGAGACGAAATTCGTTCCGCGTATCCAGCTTGGTGGCTGTGAGGTGACTGGCTTGCCATTTTCGGCCCGGCGATTGACGTACCTGGTAATGGAGACTGCCGTGTCCACGTCGAGGTCAGCAGCCCAAGCTGTGGAGCTCCATGCTGCAGCCACTGTACTCGGTAGCAATCGACTATGAAGCTGTGCAAGCCGGATTGCCTTTCATGTGTCATGCAGCTTCCCGTTCCGGTGTCTCAAGTTGCTCAAAGTTGTCACGGTGCCAGGGTTCAAGAGACGGCATTCGCTCTGGATGGCGGACTTGCCGTGTCAAATTTCTTGATAGCAATAATGTGAATTTACTTCGAAATTGACAAATTGAGAGCATGAGACACAGTAGGTTTTTGGTTGCTGCAGAGGGTCATTACTTTAATATAGCAAACTCTTTTTTTTAAAAGTATTTTTCATTCATTCCTGTTAAAGGGGAAGTTAAGGCAAAAATCAAAATTTAACCAGTTGTAGTCTTCGGGGTGCTGAGTTGAATGGTCTTGGTCCGAGAAAGCTGAGACGCTCCCTTCCTACTTGAATCCCAATCGAACTCGCGCACTTCCACCGAAACTGGGTGACTGCGCCCTACTAGATGGGGATTTGTATGCAAAATGTCACTAAAAGCGCCATTTCGTTCTTATAAAAGCACGGATGACCGCGATTGACCCATATGTTGTAGTATTTTGGACGCTGAGTCGACTGGTTTTGGTCCGAAAAGGCTGCGATGCAGCGCTCCTCCTTTATTCCCAATCGAACATGGTTGAAGAAGCGGTCACGTGCTCCTGGGTGCCCAAATCACCTGGTCACCACGCCAGCAGGCGACAACTTTCACACCAAGGTTCAACTCGAGTTCAACTCGAGTGACAGGAGTGCACCCAAAAAAGGTCAAACAGGCTAGTAAGCTGTACCCTGCAGGCACGGTGACCAGGTGACTGGTGTACGCAGGAGCACGTGACCGCTTGTTCAACCATGTTCGATTGGGAATAAAGGAGGAACGCTGCATCGCAGCCTTTTCGGACCAAAACCAGTCGACTCAGCGTCCAAAAGACTACAACATATGGGCCAATGGCGGTCATCCGTGCTTTTATAAGAACGAAATGGCGCTTTGAGTGACATTTTGCATACAAATCCCCATCTAGTAGGGCGCAGTCACCCAGTTTCGGTGGAAGTGCGCGAGTTCGATTGGGATTCAAGTAGGAAGGGAGCGTCTCAGCTTCCTCGGACCACGACCATTCGACTCAGCACCCCGAAGACTACAACTGGTGAAATTTTGATTTTTGCCTTAACTTCCCCTTTAAAGTAAACATCCGCGAAATAGGAACTTGAAATGTTTTAAAAGAAATAGGAACTTGAAATGTTTTAAAAGAAATAGGAACTTGAAATGTTTTAAAAGAAATAGGAACTTGAAATGTTTTAAAAGAAATAGGAACTTGAAATGTTTTAAAAGAAATAGGAACTTGAAATGTTTTAAAAGTGGGCCATTGTGTTTGACCAAAAGGTTTTGGTCCACAGCCAACTTTGGATTCTGTAAACCGTGCTCCTTAGTACTTTGAAGTACTTCACATTGATTCAAAGTGAAATGGCTAATTTTTAGCAAGTGTACCAGATAAATGGCCATACCGGCCTTGACTCTGAGAAAATCTATCCCATTTCGGAAGCACCACGCGAGGCACTGACATTTATGTTCCTAGCCTTGACTTTGATTTTGTGTTTCTCATTTTGTTGCAATCACTGCTTATCCATGCCGGTTCCTTTTTCTTCTCTTTGCCGTGGTTGGCTAACACCCTCTCTCTTTGCATTGGCCGGTGTTATCACTGTGCTATGAGATGCTGTAATAAATAAATAAACCGAATGCGATTGTTATGATTGGCAACCAACAACACTGAAAAGAAAGCCCAGCCACCCAGTTAGGCTTGGCATGACTGCAGACGTGAATTACCGCTCAGGTACCTGAAACTAAAGCTACAGGATTTAGTTTAGTTTGAACTACTTGTACATGTAATGTGACATGTACATGTACACCGCAGTACGGGCAACATGATAGGATAATGTTTTCGCGCAAAAAGCTCCAAATTAGCAGAACATTCAAATTTGGTTCTAGGAACTATGAAGGAGTGTTTCCGTCCTCCTCGTTTTTGAAGACTGACAATAGTCTGGTAGCAGCAGTCCGGTTAATGTATTTGTTTGTGCTTGCACGCGTACGTATGTGGATGTTTCCATACCAGACGCCACTGACGTTCAGATTTGACTCAGGAGATGAGCTACGAACGTGGCATTTAGCACTGGGCACGGCCTCAGAGTACTGGACTGGTGTAAAGACGTTGCGACAGCGTCGCTGTCAATAATTCCTTCAGTGCTCACTGCAGCGACTACCACAGTCGCCATGGCAAGCGTGTCTGAGCTGTTGAATGTTGCTGTCGAATGTTGCTATTGGATCTATGCACCATGTTGTTCTGTTCATTGCCTGGAAGACTAGGCCGAGTGCGCTCGGCAAGATTACAGTGCACGCATACACTTCACACAAGATTACAGTGCACGCATACACTTCACCCTCGTTGTGTACATTGTTTTAGACATACACGCACTGTCCTGTACACCTCACATTGTTGTGGGTCTACTGTGAACCTGTTGAACTGATCCGGTTGGCAATTGTACAGTAACCATGGCACCCACATTCCTTGTTATTATGTTCTATTGGCACATTTTCAATTAAAATTGGTTTTGTTAACATTGACAACATTGCGTAGGAAGCCCGATTTAACACCCAGTTTTAGAAATATATCTTTGAGAATGCGATATGAAGCCGGATTAAAACCTAGGTAGTAGCTTTGTAGAGCAATTTCTGTCTTGATCTTTTTAATTCATTTCTTTCTAGTGATGATCCATGTGCAGAAGAATCAGTTCTATTATAATTTTATTATCGCGACAGTGTAAGCGTATTTCCGGTTTGAGAACTTGTACCAGACCTCCATTTTACAGTGTACTTTAGTCTTGAAATAATATTATTGTAGTCAGCCTCCATCTTTGGTGTGTAGTGGAGCCATGTTGTATCTTCCTTTACCATGCAATGTTCTTTGAGAAGTAACAAAAAAGGAGAAAAAAAAGATAAAAAGGTCTATCTGACATCCAAAAGGCCAGTACATGTACTGAAATCTAAACACATCTATCGGAACTGCACTCACCATGGTCACGTTTACAAAAGAACCATGAATCTACTGTAACTTTAGGGCCAAATCCCAGTAAGGGAATGAATATGACGAGTTTCAGGGCACTCGGCACTACCCCGTCATTTGTCTTCCGAGCGTTCGTAACTGCATGAGCCATCGCCCAAGCTGCAGTTGCAGCGGAAAATGCCGGGGGGGGGGGGCTCTCAGTGTGGCACCAGCTGGCGGCTGCTTCTGTATGTGACAAACCCAAGCTGTTAGATCTCTGCATCTTCAAGGATGTGAAGACTGAGTGTCCAACGACTACTGCGAGCCCTGGTGCGGCGGGCGAACAGTACGCTGTGAATACCTCTCGGCGATGGATCGATGGGTGTTGTTTTGTAAAGGCCATCACGACAGAACATAAACAGTATACTTCACCATGGCACCGGGAATTGTATTCTGTTACCATGGCACCGGGAATTGTATTCTGTTTGCCTGTAAAAGAGTCTTGCGACATCAACAGTATATTCTCGCAGTATCATTCTGCATGTGCAGGTGTCCTGTACATCCACTGTTCACACAGAATATTCTCGCAGGATCATTCTGCATGTGCAGGTGTCCTGTACATCCACTGTTCATACAGTATATTCTCGCAGTATCATTCTGCATGTGCAGGTGTCCTGTACATCCACTGTTCATACAGTATATTCTCGCAGTATCATTCTGCATGTGCAGGTGTCTTGTACATCTACTGTTCATACAGTATATTCTCGCAGTATCATTCTGCATGTGCAGGTGTCCTGTACATCCCAGGGGCGTGCTCGGCCCCCCCAACTAGGGGGGTGCACGGGAGCCGAGGGGAGCCCCCCCCCCGGCAATTTTCTGCAATTTGTTTGCAACCTTTCTTGAATTTTAGAGCATATTTGCATACATTACAATTGCGATTACCCAGATTGGAAATTTTAGGGGGGTGCACGTGCCCCCCGTGCCCATCGCCAAGCACGCGCCTGCATCCACTGTTCATACAGTATATTCTCGCAGTATCATTCTGCATGTGCAGGTGTCTTGTACATCCACTGTTCATACAGTATATTCTCGCAGTATCATTCTGCATGTGCGGGTGTCCTGTACATCCACTGTTCATCCATGTGGCACTAATTGTGATGCTAAAATCCACAGGGATTGGCCTTCAGTTCACACAAGGTTTAGTGGAAGCAAATCAGTATGTCTCGACCCAGAGTTTCATGCTACTAACAGCTACACAAGAGAGAGATTGGAAGCTTTGTTACAACTCTGAGTTTCACGTATTACTACGATCATCAGGCGTAGTAATAAGTGAAACTCAGAGTTGTAACAAAGCTTCTAATCTCTCTCTTGTGTACAAGGCTCTGCCCTACATGGGTATTGAGCACTCTTCGGACAGTGAAAACTACACAGGATATCCTACAGACAAAGTCGAATACTCATGAGTACCTTAGTGGGAAAGTAGTACCCATTGGTACCTTAGTGCATGAATGGTCAGCGCAATGATGTAGTGGAAGGCACAAGTGATTGATCTTCCGCACCGATTCTCTTACCCTACATGTGTGGCCCATGAGTGTTTGCGTTAATTTCGCACATTTGTCACTTTTACAAGCTGGTGTAGATCTACTGTACATGCCACATTTCTATGCACCAATTCCATTCTACAGACTCATTTGTGTTTTCTTTTCACTCATTCAACATCTGCCTAACTTCCACTGATGAGCGGTAAAGGAGCAAAACAACTGTGAGCATGTAGAGGGTCTCAAGGATTGTCAGTATCGTCAACTTTGGAGTCCATATGTTTACACAAGAGAGAGATCGGAAGGTTTGTTACAACTCTGAGTTTCACGTATTACTACGATCATCAGGCAACTGATGGATCCAAAACGGGCAGCCAGAACATAACTTCATAAGGGAGAGCAAGGTGGGAAATTCTGAGGGGTATCATAGGCGATGCGTATCATATCGCAAGAGTCAGGTGCAGGCGTGAAGTTGCCCAGTCTTTAGACTTGGGGCTATGCAGCAGCAGTTCCGGCATGAATGATATAGAATAGAGCTGGGGACTTGAATGCCAAATCCACACATACCCACACCATTACACACACATCCACCCACACTTTCTCCCTTTTCTCACATACACATACACTCACGCGCGCGTACACACACACACACATTCTCTAAATCTCTCTCTCTCTCTTCACACATACACACACATTCATTCTCTAAATCTCTCTCTCTCATACACACGCATTCATTCTCTAAACCTCACACACAAGTCCATATGTGTATGCACTCTTGGTATCGTTATTGGAAGTGTCCTCGCTATTAGTTGTGGTTGTGGTTCATGCGGCAAGATGAGTTGGCTAAGTGTGTATTGGGATGGTGATGGTGAAGCTTCTAAAGGGAAAATGCGATTCACACACGATGCAATTCAGTAGAAATATCCTGGGTGACTGACACGGTAAGATGATTATGTTAACACCAGACTAAACAAGGCTGAGGCAACAAGCATGACTGGGTGAGTCACGATAGTGACATAAACTTCCGAAAAGTTCACATGGGGCTTTCTACCAGAGCTGAACATTCACAATCTGGTCTATGTTCTCTTGGTTCTGCCCACGGCCAAGAGTACATACCCCCCCCCCCCAGAGTGTGCCACGCCGGACCCAGCTCTGCATAGGGTCTTGGTCGAGCGTAATCGGATCTTCTGGTGTCATGTGTACACTCCACACCAGCTAGGCCCCGGCGGATAATGCTAGCACTACAGTCAACTTGGCTAATAACGACCGCGGATATAACGACAATTCGCGAATAACGACAGCATGTCCATGCCCAGAGCAAAGTCCCTTCCAAATGTAATACATATAATGTGACTTCGGGTATAACGACACTTCGCGAATAAGGAAACTTTTTTGATGCCCCGCCGAGTACGCCGAGTGTGGTTATAAGCCAAGTTTACTGTATATCTAGCATATTTAGCACTTTCTGGAAACTAGCATTGCACTAGCATAATCAGCAAGTTTTGCAAAAAAAACTAGCATATTCTTGCAAAACATGGGATTTTCGTGAGAATTCACAATTCCCTAGCCCTCGCGATCCATCCGATCGCGCGAGGCGGGCGCGCAGCCTTGATGACGCATGATGATGATAATGTGGCAGTGCAGACTGCAGTGCACTAGTGGTGTACTCTGCATCCCAGATCCTCTACGGCTCTACATGTACATGTAGGCTTTGCAGAGAGGTTCCGCATATCATAACAGGCTCTTCTCTCACTCTAGTGAGACAGTACCGGTAAGGTGGTAAGTAACAAAGTTCAAGTCTAGAATCTGGGGTCACGCAAATCTCGCCTGGCGCCTAACTACAGGATTGCACACATAGTGTCAGTGACGTACACTGGCCATCTTCCACCACTAGTAGTACAGTTATGTAGTAGCTAGTGAACCAGTTACCATGGTTACCTAATGCCCTTGTGACTTCCAGTTCCAGTACTCGTGCAAGACTACTGCAAATCTTTGTTGCCATCTTGAGGACGGTCGATCGGATCCGCACGGGACCAGTTGATTGCAGAGAAATATACACGCAAACTAATTATAGAACTGTGTTCGCATCCGACAACACTGGTTCGCTTCAAATCTTCAATGTCTAGCCCTCTACTACTTGTAATAGATCTATGACTCTGGCTGGGAGTCTGGGCACAAGCGTTGGGAAAAAAAACTTGTGACGGGTGTCCATGAGAAGGCGGTGAGAATGGGAGCGTTTTGTTTCCACCAACTTTTGCTTATTATTCTTTGTTAGCTGATGAAGAACACACGTCATGGCTATGTCCGAGCAAGCAGCCAGAGACATTGTTGATCTAGTAAGCAGTAGCGATGATCACTTTGATTCCGAGTTTGACGATGAAGACGCTTCAGAATCAGAGTCCGAAGAGGACGAGGTCAGGACAGCGTGTGAACGTCTTCCCGAACTAGCCGGAGCAGCGATTGCCTGAAAACGATCTTTCCAGAGAAGTGGGAAGGAGTCCGTCGCTAAGCGTGGGCGAATTGCCGGTGGAAGTTCCACATTGACACCTTGTGTCAGCGTCCACCATCGCGTGCAGCAATTTCCAGGGGAATATTTGACCATATCCAGTGGGAAGATTTACTGCAGTGCTTGCAGCCAGACAGTTCAACCGAAGAACAGCATTGTGAAATCACACATTTCGAGCCAAAAACACAAGACGGCCCAGCTACACCAGCAAGCGCTAGCAGCTTCGTGGGAGAAGTACACTACAGACCATAAGAAGGAGCTGGCAGGAACAGGGCTATCTGGTGCTGTAGCCAATGATGTCCTCATTCGAAGAGCCAATGATTATGTTGTAGAGTCTTTCCTCAAAGCAGGTGTGCCTCTGAGTAAGATAGACCACCTTCGTCCGTTGCTTGAGAGCAACTACTGTCGCATGACGTACAGCACTCACATGGCACAGTTGGTGCCATTCCTTTTGCAGAATGAGCAGTCTACCATCAAGAAGGATATTGCATCTGCAGCTCATCTCACCGTTATTTTCGATGGTACTTCACGCCTTGGTGAGGCACTTGCTGTTGTCCTCCGCTACGTCGATGGCGATTTCAACATACACCAACACCTCGTACGTTTCTCTGTACTGTCCAAAAGCCTCTGGTACTGAACTAGCTCGAGAGCTCATCACAGTTTTGTCAACACAGCTGCAAGTTCCAAGCCACAAGGTTCTTGCCTTGGTTCGAGACTGTGCAGCTGTTAATGGTGTTGCTGTTAGTGGAGTTGCGTGAAGTCCATCCGTGACACTTTTTTTGACCCCATATAAAGTGGCATTAAATTGAGCATAACGAGCATTAAAACTAGCATAATGTGCCACTTTTAGGCTGCAACCACACTAGGTACAAAATCACATACAAACTGCATTACAGTAGAAATCGTCATGCCGACGCGTGCGAAGTGCAAAACGCGCTTTGTAGGTTTTCAGCAACTGGCGCACCCCTGTAGAAAGCCACGTTTGCCGTTTTCGTCGTTTTCGCGCTCCATCTCCTGTGTACAACTTTGTTTTTGTACCTGGTCGTCGTACATAGCATCAGCATCAGCATGGTTTTTGAATTTCCCGGTCTTTTCCAGCGCATGGCACACGCTTTGGTACGACAACGTCACGTGCTGTTCGCGTGAAAACGTCACGTGCTGTTCGCGTGAAAACGTCATCTATGCAGACCGAAAAGTGTAGTGTGGTTGCGTACCGACTTGTACTGAGATATGCATGAAAGTTTGTACTGTGATTTACACTGATTTTTACGTAGTGTGGTTGCGGCCTAAGGGCCTGGTCAGACTGCGGCAAAATCGAAATAATCCTAGGATTATAATCCGAATCTCCATAGTAACTTGCCGCCAGAGCGGCAAAAGCGAGAGTTGACGCTCCAAAAAAAAGCAAGAACGGGCCACGCTTTTCCGCTCCAAACAGGATTTGACGCTGATACGCCATTGACGCTGATAATCACTGATTTTTTCATCTCGATATCGAGGAGCTAATTGGCCACGGACAACAACAAAACTCATAAGGATGGTTGCAAGGATTGCACTGAAGGTGTTGGCGATCCCAAGGTGAAGGAATTTGACGTCGTTCGTGGAGATTACCACTTGACGCTCGAAATGAAGTTTGAATTGTCATTCTCCCCACATGTGTAGTGTGATCGCGATTCAAATTCTGGACGCTGTTTTTTTTTCGTCAGGCAACCAAAAGTTGCCGCAGTCTGACCAGGCCCTAACTAGCAGTGCTAGTAGCATAATTGCCGAAAATAACTAGCATTATCCGCCGGGTCCTAACACCAGCACAAGGCCGGTCTCGAGGCAGTGCACCATTGCTTTTGATCCGAGAGTACCCGCGACTCCCCGGGTTCCCCTGAGATATGTACAGTATTATGACGCAAAGATCCGATTACGCTCGACCAAGACCCTATGCAGAGCTGGATCAGGCGTTGCATCCTCTGGGGGGGTTATGTACTCTTGCTATGGCTTATGAACAAGAGTACTGGTGCCGCCCAATAACTGCCAAGGAGTTCTGTATACTTGAAGTACTCTTGTTGTGACTGAGTGTCTTGATGCAAGCGCATGACCACTCCTTCCATATTAGGAGTGCACAGTGAGGAGGTATCGACTCACCTATTTTTATAAAGTCCTTATAGGCTTTCCAGATCCAGTACTAGTACTGACTAACTTGTTCGGGTTGTCCTGGAAAATGGCGAGTGTCCTGTAGTTGATACGCAAGCCTGCAGGCTGCACTGTACTGCAGTGAAGCGTCCATGTGGCCATGTCAATGCCAATGGTGTCGGGCCACCTCCTACTTGCATACTGCTCTTCGTGGTTTTGAACCAGTAATGGCGAAGTACAATAATAAAGATTTCAATGCATGTACTGTGTCGTACAAGTAAGTTTCAAGACAGAAAATGCCTTGTTTATGGACTATTGCTACTTCTACACGAATAAAGCATGTTTTCACGATGACAGCGCGTGAACAAGGCGGAGGATCCACTACACTGTTTGGGAAACAGTGTTCCTGACTGCAAGTGCAACCATAAACTGGCAACCATAAACTGGTTGCATATAAGAGAGAACGGCAGTCCTACTCCTAGGCCAGGGCCAGTATACTAGTAGGGGATCCTACGATTCCTATCCCTGTTTTGAATGTAATTGTTTTTTTATGGCTTACTCCGCAATCACCCCGAAAACCCCTGTACGAGTCGTACTGTCGACATGTCGCGGGGATACTGCACTGTACTGGTACTACCCAAAAACAGTTTCGAGCACACGAGGAGCAGCGCCAAGGGATCCCCTTTCGGCTCGCCCCAACCAAACTTGGGCCTTCCTGTTCCCTGTTCCGGATGACTCAGTGCAGTAGTCTTCATATCACATTTTTTGATTTCCCCAGCTCCACCACCATGTACCAACCAACCATAGCCGCGGTACCATGGCTACCAAACACACTCGATCGAACTCTGCAGATCTGGATACGCGGGTTTCGTACGATAGCGCACCTTTCACGGGGTGGACAGTTCGCGCGATCGCGCGTACCGGCTAGCTACGCCGAGTTGACCGTACAAATAGAAAAAAATTGCGGGTTGCGGACTGCATGCATGCAAGCCCATGGCCATATGCAACGATTGTCGGCTTTTTCAGCAATCCCGGGAGGAGAGCTGCAACAACAAACATTCAATGTTCCTGTCAACTTTCATTTGAAGCTAGGTTGTGGAGTACCCTACACTTTCAGCTTTTCCATGTAGTTTTTTTAATTGCCTTTTCCTGGCGAGGAAGTACCGCAGGCGGAAGGAAATTCATCATTTTCGTAGACGTAGACAGGTTCAGATTGTCAATCATTGAGAGGGACAGGGAGAGGTAACCACAGCGAAGGAGGCCATCATGGCCACGGGCTTGGTAAGAACATGGACTTTCTCGATCGGTCTTTACTCTTCACAATCTGGAGATGCAGATTTTCCCTTCTCGTGTGCTACGTGTTGTAACATGAATTCTTTAGTCTGGGCCGGTATGGGTGGTTGGCCCAGATGGCTACCAAGTCCCAGCCACTGTCATAGATTCCAGCGATGGCAAGATAAAAGTGAAACTCGACGACGGCAAGGTGAGAGTAGCTATCTTCTTCTCTCTAAATTTGTCTGTACAAAAATGGTGGTACCGAATTGAGATGCCGAAGACTTACCAGGAACTCACTCAGACAGTATGTCTTTTCAGTTCATGTTCATCCATCAGAATTTGCAAGCTCTCAAGTGGAAAGATACTTCATAACATGCACCCCCTACCCTTCAATTCTTTAACCCAAACTAGAACAAAAGCAGCTTTCCGAATTCTCGTTCATACTGTAGTGAATGTCCCATGCAATGTAAGGGTGAGGGGGGGGGGGGGGGGGGAGAGAGACAGCAAGTAAGGCAGCCCTCAGTAAAGAATAGGATATGAAGCATTATTTCATGTGTCAGATGAGTACAGTATTATATTGTCATGTTATGAGGGATGCTTACAAACCACACCTAACAGTGTACAGCACATATGGTGGTTTAGCATGTGCGCTAAGCCCTGTTAACGAACGTGGAACATCTATCACTCATACTTAGTCTGATGATCATGCATCTGATTATGATGTCATTGCTATACATGCGCATGCGCAGCGTGCGCGCCACTCTCCCACGCATGCTTTCCAAATCTTACTTTAGAGAGAGAGAAAGAGAGGAAAGAGAAAAGAGAGACTCCTTTGTCACGTATGCACAAAGATGGTTAGAAGTTGGCGAGCACAGCGTTCTTTGCAAAACACGATGGTCGGCACTATCGTCAATCATGTCCCACTAGTGGGATGAATCGAGACGACTAGCATGGCGGGTCCACCTACATGTAGAGCTGGAGAGAGACAAGCGGACAATTCTAGACACATGCAGCATCACACGACCATCTGTTTACCTCTATTCCACAATCTCATGTTTTCAGACATAGACTGACTGGAATGCAATGTTATGCTCATTAACCTCAGAATCACTCACAGGACATACATGCCATTATCCTGACCGTGCACATTACAGCCATGGCAGAGAATACACAGACTGTCCTACTTTGTCCCAGAGTCAAAATGGTCATCTTGCATATTGCATACCATATATACCATATATCGAAAGCGCAGCATGAGCAGTTTTTACTGTTCAGTTTGCATGCAGTCGAAATTATCCACTGCAACAGTCATGCATATAACCAGTAGCTTTTTGGGCAGCACCACCGTACACTGTCCTAGCAGACGCTCAACACAGCTAGCCTGCAGGGGATTGCCTTGTTTCAGTTAACATTGTGTTCTTGAGTGAATTGCAGATGAACAAATACTACTTCATAATGCATGTACAGCACTAAAGTGTGTCATGTACTTGTGTAATAGTATCTTCATGGTGCAGATAGGAAGCATCTCAAATTAAACACAAAGACAATCTAGGCCGACATCCCAGATTGGAATAAGGTTGACAAATAGGATTGCTGAACCTTACTATCTCTGTTCTTTGCATTGCTTATCAGGAATTTGAGGCGCCAAGCAAAGATGTTTCTGAAATGACTGACAATGACCCAAACGGAGTCGAAGATATGATCCAGCTCAGGTAAGCATTTGTGTAACCCAGTCGTAGTCTGTAATCATGTGTGAACGCGTGTAGCCCGACTCTGTGTGATGCTCATGTGTTTAACCCAACGGCAACCGTATTCTGTGATCATGTGTGAACCTAGTATTACCCCATTTATACCTCGTTTTGTATGAAGAAACCTTCATGTGCTCTTCCAAGTGGTCGAATGACCAACTGCTTTCAGTGACCACCTGATCCAATTTCTTTTCTTGGCACTAACCATTGGTTAAGTATACGGGGGTTATCCTGGCTAGAGACCAGCTTTGTCGAGAGCATCTTGGGCCAGTCTCATTGAGGCCAAGACAAGTTTTACCCATATCATGTTATGATATTATCACACTCTTCTTACTGGATAAAGCATACACTACAAATGTAAACGCATCTGCAAATTCCAGCAAAGGTAAGTCTGATATTAATGTGTTTGCTTGCTTTTCTTCACCTGTCCAGTGAGCTGCATGAAGGTGCATTGCTGGAGAACATTTGTCGGCGGTATCAACGGGAAAAGATCTACACATACACAGGAAGCATTTTAGTTGCTGTCAACCCGTACAAGATGTTTGATATGTATGGTATGGACTATGTACGCAAGTACGAAGGTCAGCTCATTGGTAAGCTGCCCTCACATATCTTTGCCATTGGCAGTGGAGCTTTCGCTGCCATGATGAAGACCAAGGAAGATCAGTGTGTAGTTATCAGTGGAGAAAGTGGAGCAGGAAAGACGGAAAGTACTAAGCTCATCATGCAGTACTTGGCGGCTGTGAACAAGTGTTCTAGTTCACTTATCACGGAGCAGGTAAGAGCAGCTACCTTCATATACAGTTGTGGCAAGCGAAATCCGACACTTGGCATAAGGGACTGCACCATGCAGTCTGCAGCCCTGCATACGTACAGTACATGATTGTGTTACATACAACTTGATCTGTCTGATGACAAAACTCGTACTCATCACAGTCAAAGTTCAAAAGGTGCTGGTAAAAAATGAATGGGGATTGGATACCAATACTCCTTATGTGTACCGTATTTGTGAACTGTGTGTATCTACGCTGTGACCTTTCGATCTGTTTGGGATGCATACGGCTCCACAGTACAAATTAGGTGCAGTGCATTACATCATTGGTGTCCATTTGTGGCGCTGTCCCCTATGGCAAGTGTCGGATTTCACTTGCCACGACTGTACTTTATTATCTCTAATATAAGCACAGTCTCCAATAATAGCACGTCTCCAATAATAGAACACCTTGGGGCGGCATTCAAAAAATAAAGTGCTCAGTCTCCATCATAAGCACACTGTGTAAATTCATTATCTGTACCGACGAAAAAAACCCTGAAATGTGTGCGTCATACATGAATTTGGCATGGCAACATGCCTCTGAAATGAGGTTGAAATAATAATGGAACAGTCTCCAATAAAGGAACGTCTCCATTAATAGCACGGGGCGGAGGTACATTGAAAAAATAAAGGATCGTGCTTATATTAGAGATAATACGGTATGTAGTGTTACATTGCAATGATTCACTAGTTCTGCTCTAAATCAATGTTTCTCCTTGGCTTGGCTACAGTGTCTGTCAAGTTGTGGCTGATTACATAGGCTGACTGTAACAGGGACGGATCAACCAGAGTTGTTGAGTGAGAATCATTGTTGAACCGACAGCAAATCATACTTTTTAATTGGTTGTGGACAGTCGTGTGATAGCTTGGCCGCATTTCTTCCGAGAGTGAAACACAAGGTGCAGAAGTGGGACATTGGACCGATCAGGAATAAACTTGCGCTGATCTATGTTTGTGTTCAAACCCATGTAGATTCTGGAAGCAAGTCCCATCCTTGAATCCTTTGGGAATGCAAAGACTGTGCGCAACAACAACTCTAGTAGATTTGGAAAGTATATGGAGATCAACTTTGACTCGTCGTAAGTGTGGTGTTGTGATATTGAGCTGCAATGCTTGCAAACCATACTGATCAAGGGCTACTGGCCCAAAGAGCTAATTTTGCGCTAGGATTCACTAGCAATCTTTTATGAAGTATCTCATCACTTTCTCATCACTTTATTTATGGTGTTCGCTTGGAAACTGCTGTTTTATTTGTGAAAAGTTGCTGTCATTTAAGAATCCTTTTATTCTTCGAAAGACCTAAAGTAGACAACTGACAGCCATCCTCTAGGGTTCTAGAATAAGTGGAATGCTCTGTTGCTTCAAATACTATCGGTAGGCAACACAGGCACATTTATCGTAAGAGCCATGCCGTATTTTCCGGAGTATAACGCGCACCTGAGCATAATGCGCACCCTCAGTTTGTAACCAACATTGCCGGCAATTCATGTATATGTATGTCCAGAGTATAATGCGCACCCTAGATTTGTGAAAACTATGGATAATAATGGCAGTATTACAGTGCAACCATTGACACAATGTACAGCTGTGTATGCACATGCTACCTAGTACCTACGGGGTCGCCTACCCATCTTGCATCTGCAATGTAGCTGGCAGAAGACACCACAAATGCATGAATATGGCTTGTGCAGGGTCAGAGACTCAGAGGTGGCAGACTAACTTCGCAACAGTTTGATACATTGTACTACTTTTCGAAGTGTGTGCATTCTCATATTCGGAGCCTAATACGCACCTGCGCTTTGGAGCCTGAAGTAGCGCATCCACAGTGCACACTCCAGCAAAAACGGTAATTTAAAATATAAAAGTAGTCAAAAAACAAGAAGAGTTTGTGGACTTTTTATCAAAGTAAATGTCATTGTTTGTTTTGCTTGTGGCTTCTTTCTTTCAGTGGTATCATTTCTGGTGCCAAGACAACGGACTACTTACTTGAAAAATCTCGTATTTGCACCCAACCTGAAGGAGAGAGAAACTACCACAGCTTTTATGAGCTGTGTGTTGGTCTGCCAGACGAGGAGAAGGCCAAGTTTGGTCTCGCATCTCCTGATGATTACTTCTATCTTAACCAGGTACTGACTGTAGTAAAACCTGTGCATGCCCTATCTCCTCTCCTAAAATGTAGACATCCACATACTTCCAAGTCCATGTACTTCTGAAGTACTTGTTGGTAGGCTGTACCCCACTGTATGTACATTCGGTACTCTATACTCCTTCTTGAGATGCAATTATGGTCATGAATTCTCCGCACATACCAGTATTCTTGCTCTCGTTGCATGTGTGTTGTTCTGTAGGGTAAAGCTTGCACTCTCACTGGCAAGAATGACGTGGAAGATTTCAACAACCTTGTCAACGCTTTTGAGGTCATGGGATTTGCGGTGAGTGAATACTGGCTGGCAAAAGTATTCTAAAGAGTGTTGTATTTCCAAGAACACTTCTTGGGACTCAAGCTGAAATGCAAGTGTACATAGGGTATTTTACATGTCCACTATCTAGTCAACTGCAATGTAGGCAGCGTTGGACGCTTGGCTTATTCCTGAAGAAGCCGGTGTCAAGGCTAAGCTTCAATTCAAACCAGGTATTTCTATGTACTTGTATGTCAACACTAAAACCAGGCTTATGTGCCGACAGTGTCTCTTGAAAACCAGGCTTATGTGCCGACAGTGTATCTAAAAAGCCAGGCTTTTATACGCGACACTGCAGTATGTGTTCTTGAACACTAAAAGGCATTCTCAAGGAAAGCTGAGAATACACCACATCATGTCGATACTGGGGAAGGGGGAGTAGCATGGGGAAGGGAAAGGGGGAGTAGCATGGGGAAGGGGGAGTAGCATGGGGAAACGAAAAGTTTAGGCAACTGGGAAATACCTCAACAGCACCGCATGCACTGTTATGCGATTCCTTCTTTGCTATTGCACATTGGAGTTGTTATTGTGGCTTCCAGGCACGGATGCTTTTCAGTGGATGTCCTTGTACGCCGTAGAACCCTTGTGTTGATCATGTTCTGAGTGTACAGCAGAATGCATTATTGCAAGCGGTTCTCTATGAGTTTTTCTGGTTCTGTATTTTTGTGTGGAAATATTGCAGACCTCCTTGAAGGACAGCATTTTCTCCATCTTGGCTTCCATTCTGCATATCGGTAATCTGACTTTCAGCAAGGGTGGTAATGATGGTTGCCAGGTTGACAATGGAGATGAGCTTGCAGCAGTAGGAGCCCTGCTGGGCTGTGCAGGTGAAGGAGTTGGTGTTTCTCTCACCAATAAAGTCACTGTAAGTACAAGTCAGGAATGAGCTATCTTGTTAGCTATCTTTCTCATACGTGCCACACGTACATGTTGATAGAGCTGAGCTCTCTTGTTATCTCCACAATGCCACACCTACTTACTTGTCACATTCACACTGTATGTTGCTCGGTTGCTAGGTCAGTGGTTCCATTGGGAACCTACCTTCCTTCCACCCCAGCACAGTGTCTATATTTTTGTTTTTGACATTTTTGATTTTTAGCACTTGGCATACATTTTTTAAAGGGTACTCGTACTCCGGATGGATGCTTCTAAAAGTGTCCTGGGGAATTCACTGTGAGAGGGTTAAAGAAAATCACCCATGCCTTGCGCTAGTACTTAGCTGTTTGGGATGGTCTTAATTCTTTGTCTTCTTGGTTTCTCAATCATGTCTTTCTCTAAATGGAAGGTCTAAGATCATGTGCATATATGCCTGTGCATGACTGTGTCCCCCACCTTACCAGTAAGCCATCTGGGCAAGACTCCAGTCTGACCCTCCAGTTGGTCTCGTGTGACCAGTTTGGGTAGTGAGCAGGTAGATGTTGAAGTATGTGTTTGGTGTATGGATGTTTTCATGCAGGTTACTCGCGGTGAACAGTTCAAGACTCCGCTGAAACCGGCACAGGCACTGGATGCTAGGTAAGGGAAAGCAGCCTCAAGCTAAATTGTTACTGGAAGGCAACGCGGATGGCTGGCAGCCATTCTAAGCTACCTGAATTGTGGAAATGCACCAGTCTCATAGGTGGTGTGGTGTGTATACAGTTTAGCAATACAACATTGTTGTGCCAGATGTACTTCCTCCGTATCACCAAGGTTCGCTCCCCACTGTGTGACATGCCAACTGGAGTTTTGAACTTTTGACTCAGTGGGCAGCACCCCATGATGGTTATCATGTGTACACCCCATGATGGTTATCATGTGTGCACCCCATGATGGTTATCATGTGTGCACCCCATGATGGTTATCATGTGTGCACCCCATGATGGTTATCATGTGTACACCCCATGATGGTTATCATGTGTGCACCCCATGATGGTTATCATGTGTGCACCCCATGATGGTTATCATGTGTGCACCCCATGATGGTTATCATGTGTGCACCCCATGATGGTTATCATGTGGGCAGCACCCCATGATGGTTATCATGTGGGCAGCACCCCATGATGGTTATCATGTGGGCAGCACCCCATGATGGTTATCATGTAAATTGGACAGTCTGAACATTGCTAGTACCTCTTTTATTCTTTTCATTTAGTCGATTCTTGCAACAAAACCGATAGCATGTTGAGAAGTGTTTGTCTACCGTAACCAGTCTCCACGTCTTGCTTGCGTAGCAGCTAACGTTGCAGATTTACCATAGCCTGCCAAACACTTGACGAGAATAGTATAGGTGCTGATTTGCTTGGCTTCAACTCGATGGGAGGTGGCGGCGGCATGTTTTCAACTATTTGGCAGCCACAGACATCTCCCTCCTGCCGAAATGGCGAAGTTAAAATGTAGGTTTGCAGCGTACGGCAAACCGTAGTTATCGCTGACAACCGAGCAGCAGGCAAAAGCCACGCGCGTGGCTAGGCGCGCAACAATGGGGCTGTCTGGCATGCAATGGCGGGCAGCCGTACTGGGGAAGCCCAGGCCGCAGTACGAGTACGCCCATATGCGCGGGCGAGACTACCCCATATTTGCATAAAGGTATCAGCGCTACTAATGCAATGTTTACTACAAGCAGGGCTCATGGCGCCTAATCTCTATATTAGGAAGCAGTTCCTTTCATGGCACGAAAGGACTCCAGCGCGCGTACTAAGCCTCAGCCAAGGTACAGTACTAACCGAGTACGCAAGATAGAACAGGCGGTGTGGCGGAGCAAACATACCACGTATGGAAGAGGCGAAGTCCCCGGATGCCGCCCGGTCCACAATGACAGACACCACCATGCTTTATGGGAAATAAGGCGCGAGAGCCCACCAGGTAAGGCGGGCCGCATAAGCACGTGGCAAGCGCAAATAGCGTAAGACGTACCCACGAGGCCACAACGCGAGAGTACGGCAGCATAGCAGAGTACGAGAGTACGATGCCGGATCAACGCAGGGCGGACCAAGGTGTGGTAGTGCCACAGCACGAGGCACCTCAGCAGTTGGAGGTGGCGAACGCAGGGACAGCATCAATATTGGCAGCTAGCAGCAGCAGCAGATGGGCGTGATTTTTTTGTTTCAGTGCGTAAAGTAAATTATATAAAGTACAGTGTAGCAGCAATTATTATATTCTGTGGCAGTCGTCGGCATGCCGGCAATGGAGCTGTCCCCAGCACAGCTGAGAGCCATCAGCGAGGCTGCTTCCTCCGCTGTCTGGGCCGCGTGGAACCAGCTAGCGGGCCCCAGTCAAGCGACCGATACCTCTGCGGCGGAAGTCCAAGGTATGGAACATTAGCCAGTGGCGATAAAAGAATGCCCTCGTGTGTAGCACATGTGTCTGCGGATCCCAATAGAAAGATCATGAACATTGAGTATGTAGAGCTGGCAATACTATGGCCAAGTCGCAGTGTAGGAATGGAGCCATCCGCTAAACGCTTCCGAGTTGACGAAAACGCTGCTGACGCTTCAGTACTAATTTCTACCGTGTCGACACCCAGGCGTAAAATTGAAAATGTCACCGACTGGATCGAAGCCTGGTCGATCTTTAGGGTCATTGCTAGCGAGGGCGCACCAGGGCATGTGCTGGTCTCATGGAGCGCCAGCTAAGGGTAGTACAAGCGGCGAAAAAATATCGTTTTGCTGCGGTGCAAGTATACGACACTCGGTTGCGACAGGCAATGTCAAGAGACCACAGCATCAGCATCCGTAATCTACACATGGAACTCTTCACGCAGTCCTTCACCGGCCAAGCTCTGCCCGTGTGCGCTAAATGTAAGAGGACAGGCCACTCCACCGTGGCATGTGTAGCGAAGCCTTCACTGAACGCGCCTTTTCGTGCCTCCACCTCTGGGCCCAGCGGAAAGCCGATCTGCAAAATGTTTAACAAAGGGAACTGCACCTTTTCAAATTGCAGCTACCAGCTCAGGTGCATGTTCTGCAAGGGAACACACCAAGCAATGGAGTGTCCCACCCGCACTTCGGCCTGAAAAGCCTCATCACACTCCTGTACAGCCGTCATTAGTTCGCGAGAACGCTGTGTCCACATCTGCTAATTCTTTAAGTTTAAACTCAGTCTCCACACCAATAAATTTTGATGCAGTTAGTGTAGAGCTTGCTGGCCACCCTGATCGGGTCTTAGTGGAAACTATCTGGTTCAATTTGCGTTTTTGCTGCCGCATCGAGTTTGCAGGCGATCGCGCACTTCAGTTGCTTCTAGTAATCTTGCCGCAGGCTCTGCAACCACAGATCTAGCTATTGTAGATGCCTATTTAGCCAAGGAATGCAAACTTTTAAGCACATTAGTGACGCTTTTGACACGCCACCTTTCTTACCTTTGCGCATGTCTGGTACGGGTGTAGTACCAAAAAAAGACGGCAGCCACCGATTAATTATGCATGGTCTGCCCCTTGCTGGGAATAGCGTTAATTTATCGACCGAGATTTGGCACGTGTTGGCGAGACAAATTTATTCTGACCTTTTGGCTTGCGGTCGTCACCCTTATTTTTTAATCGTTTTGCTGATGCACTGGCGCGGATCTGACGCGAAACCCACGCTGTTGAGAACTTTGAGCATTATTTAGACAATTTCATCAATGAATAACACGCACGCAAAACCGCACAGCCAGGGTTCCCTGGCAAGCGCATGCCAGGGTTGCCAGACTGTCTTCATTCCCCTTTTTCATGCACCGGCTTGCATGGATATTGTGTCACCACTGGTTCAGCATAGGCTGACACACAGGCAATGCGGGCATCCGGGCTAACACTTAGCGCGAGGGTCAGCCTCAGGGCGGCGGGTAAAGCCCAGCTATAAATTATCATCACGGCCGTGGCAGGAGGTTGGCAAAGGGCACGGGCGTTGCCTTGATGATTATGTGCAATTTTATAAGCAGAGATAACCTAACATGCTAGGCGTTGGGGGACTCTCCCAATAATACATAAGCATATATTATGGAAGGCTACTTAGACGCAGCAGCGCGTGCACTGTATTAAAGCTTATATTCATCCCGCGCGGGACTAGCATGGCGTACAGCGGACTTGGCGCGTGCCACAGACCGCTTGACAAACTTTAGCAGCTCAGCCAGGCACGGCATCTCGGGTCCCATAAGGCGCATAGCAATAATTATGTATACCCATGCGGGGCAGCATTGCGGCGCGCAGGGCATATGCGGCGTTGCCTTATGCGCTTGGCAAAGGGCACGGGCGTTGCTAGAAATTTAATAATACATAAAGCATACAATCATTATAGAAGGCTATTTAGATGCCGCAGCGCGCGCAATGTATTCTAAAAAGCCTATATTCATCCTGCGCGGGACTAGCATGGTATACAGCGGACCTGGCACGCGCCACAGACCACTTGACAAACTAGCAGCTCAGCCAAGCACGGCTTCTCAGGTAGACCGCGCGCGCGGGTCCCATAAGGCGCATAGCAATAATTATGTATACCCATGCGGGGCAGCATTGTGGCGCGCAGGGCATATGCGGCGTTGCCTTATTCGATTGGCAAAGGGCACGGGCATTGCCAGAAATTTAATAATACATAAAGCATACATTATAGAAGGCTATTTAGATGCCGCAGTGCGCGCAATGTATTCTAAAAAGTATATATTCATCCCGCGCGGGACTAGCATGGCATACAGCAGACCTGGCGCGCGCCACAGACCGCTTGACAAACTTTAGCAGCTCAGCCAAGCACGGCTTCTAAGGTAGACCGCGCGCGCGGGTCCCATAAGGCGCATAGCAATATGTATACCCATGCGGGGCAGCATTGCGGCGCGCAGGGCATATGCGGCGTTGCCTTATGCGCTTGGCAAAGGGCACGGGCGTTGCCAGAAATTATAACAATACATGCTTTAAGCATATATTATAGAAGGCTATTTATATGCCGCAGTGCACGCAATGTATTTAAAAAGTCTATAATTATTCATCCCGCGCGGGACTAACATGGCATACAGCAGACCTGGCGCGCGCCACAGACCGCTTGACAAACTTAAGCAGCTCAGCCAAGCACAGCTTCTAAGGTAGACCGCGCGCGCGGGTCCCATAAGGCGCATAGCAATATGTATACCCATGCGGGGCAGCATTGCGGCGCGCAGGGCGTATGCGGCGTTGCCTCATGCAGTTGGCAAAGGGCACGGGCGTTACCAGTAATTATAATAATACATAAGCATACATTATAGAAGGCCAATTCGACGCCGCTGTGCGTACAGTATATTAAAGTCTATAATCATCCCGCGCGGGACTAGCAGGGCGTACAGCGGAGTTGGTGCATGCCACAGACCGCTTGACAAACCTCAACAGCGCAGCCAAGCATGGCAGGTCGTGCAGCCTGCACGCGCGGGTCCCATAAGGCGCATGGCAATGCGACTGTATACCCAAGCGGGCAGAATTGCGACACACAGAGCCTATGCGGCATCCCATGTCGGTCAAGCGAACCAAGGAGCATATGGTCAACGCATAGCATTAGCTCTCCTAAGGGAGCTCCCCACTACTATTTTTGGAGGTTGCTTGGCCTAGAGTAAGGGCATGTCCGAGCAGGATGAGATGTCAAGGAAAGGCAGGACACACGTACAACATCCACTTTTTCGCAGATGCGTTTGGTCTGCACAGGCGATGTCGGGAAGCCCGAGTTGTCTCGTGATGCCAACACCCTGGTAGCATTGTCGGTCGCGCCCAGCACACGTAAGACATACCGGCCAGGCATTAAAGCATACTTGAAATCCGTGTCAGCGGTCGGCTTCAACCCGGCTCAGCCGCACAACGAAGAGATCGTGCGCTTTGTTACCTCACTTTCAGAGTTAGTGTCTGCAGGCAACACTTTAGGTATACTTGGCTGCGATAAGGTTTCACCTGCTATCGCAAGGCATGTCCGTAGAGGGACTGCGCTCACAACGCCTCGTTGCCGTATTGAAAGGCATCGAGCGAACGCAATTTAACACATGGAGGTCGGAGGCAGGTAACCATGCGGGTCGGCAGCGCCTACCAGTTGCACCGTCAGATCTGCTCACCATAAAAGCGCAAGTGGGCACGTCCGCCCACTCGGCAAGCGATAAAGCAATGATATGGGCAGTACTGTTGACGGCATTTTACAGGCTGCTGTGCGTAGGTGTATATGCCTCAACGTCAACGGGCGAAGGACGCAATTTCAACACCCTGACCGTGGCTTAGGTCCAGATAGCGCAGACAAAGGTGGTAATCAAGCTTGGTCCCTCGCAGTTCGGCAGAGGCGGCACAGCGTTGCTTTAAGCGGCAGCCAACAAAGAGCGGTGTCCCGCAGAGGCCGTCATGGCATACAGATACAGGCGACGGTGGCCAAACGCCGGGGCACCCTTCTTTGTCCACGGCAATGGCAAGCAGCTAACACAGAAGGACATCAACCTACTGCTGAGAGCTTTGCGCCCCGAGGTCGGTAGCCACTCCTGCGCAAGGGCGGTGCCACCGAGTTGGCAGCACAACGGGCACCAGAGCGGCAGCGGCAGGCAGCCGGACGTTGGCGCATTTCAGCGTACAAGCGGTACATCCACACATCTGCAGGCTTGCCCTCCCACTAGCTGGGTGGCATGGAAACACGGCACCCAGGACCGATGCAAAAACCTATTTTTGGAGGAGCAGCAGGCAACCCTCGTTTCACTCGTGATTGCTTAATCACATGGCAAAAACAACAAAAATGCAACCCCATTCTATGGTGCTATGATGTGTGTGTCTCGGGGGGAGGGGCGATAAATGTAGGTTTGCAGCGTACGGCAAACCGTAGTTATCGCTGACAACCGAGCAGCAGGCAAAAGCCACGCGCGTGGCTAGGCGCGCAACAATGGGGCTGTCTGGCATGCAATGGCGGGCAGCCGTACTGGGGAAGCCCAGGCCGCAGTACGAGTACGCCCATATGCGCGGGCGAGACTACCCCATATTTGCATAAAGGTATCAGCGCTACTAATGCAATGTTTACTACAAGCAGGGCTCATGGCGCCTAATCTCTATATTAGGAAGCAGTTCCTTTCATGGCACGAAAGGACTCCAGCGCGCGTACTAAGCCTCAGCCAAGGTACAGTACTAACCGAGTACGCAAGATAGAACAGGCGGTGTGGCGGAGCAAACATACCACGTATGGAAGAGGCGAAGTCCCCGGATGCCGCCCGGTCCACAATGACAGACACCACCATGCTTTATGGGAAATAAGGCGCGAGAGCCCACCAGGTAAGGCGGGCCGCATAAGCACGTGGCAAGCGCAAATAGCGTAAGACGTACCCACGAGGCCACAACGCGAGAGTACGGCAGCATAGCAGAGTACGAGAGTACGATGCCGGATCAACGCAGGGCGGACCAAGGTGTGGTAGTGCCACAGCACGAGGCACCTCAGCAGTTGGAGGTGGCGAACGCAGGGACAGCATCAATATTGGCAGCTAGCAGCAGCAGCAGATGGGCGTGATTTTTTTTTCTTCTTCAAGACTAGCAACGAGGAGCAGCAGGCAACCCTCGTTTCACTCGTGATTGCTTAATCACATGGCAAAAACAACAAAAATGCAACCCCATTCTATGGTGCTATGATGTGTGTGTCTCGGGGGGAGGGGCGATAAAGAATAATTTCTCGAACCCGAATATGAACGTACATGCTGTCCAACGTTTAGTGAAAAGTTGAAACTAGCAGCAGCTGGATCTCGCGAGGCAACGAGTACAGCCATCACTTACATCGTGCACTCATGGTGTGATGGAGGATGCAGGAAAATATAAGGACAACTGTGAGAATCGATTGAATCATGTGCTGTTCTTGAAAGTGGTGTCGGCATCACCTCATTGGAGAGTGACGCCGAGGAAGCAACATGAACAGTCCTTGTGCCTATGATGTCTCTTTTGAATGTAAACCATTTTTCTCCTGTGCTGTGTGTGCGCAAGAAATAGAGATTCCGCATAACGTAATTACGTTAGTAAAAACGTAGTCGATCTACGGAAAGTCTTACGTAAACTGCATGCGCATCTGGGTTCCGCCATACGGAGTTTTCAAATCAGGTAGCTGCCCTTGGCAACTCAGTACGACCAGATCGACCTGGGGAGAGAGTCATTTTACGGACCAGCTACGTTATCAGAGCCCTATCTACGTACTCTCCGTCAACTTTCCGTAAGTGGAGTGCAAACTCGCGAATTCACGGGTTTTTCCCGCCCACTAACGTAAAGTTGCTCAACTTTACGTAGTGCGGAACCTCATTAAAAATTGCGCTGAATACTGTTCGAAAATTCACATTAAGTGATCGAACGTTTGCTTTTCGCTTTTTTCTGGGAAGTATTTTCTGACAAGTTGTGTCTCCTTTATTTGCTTTAGGGATGCGCTGGCCAAGGCTCTGTACTCACGTCTTTTCAGCTACATCGTTATTCGGATCAATGAGGTTGTTTGTAAGGACGTCAAGATTGCCTCTGTCGCAATTCTGGATATCTTTGGATTTGAGGTTAGCCACATTGTTCATGTACATTGTTGTCTGAATGCAATTTCAGGTTGTCTAGGATAGCAATCCTGGTTGTCTAGGATAGCAATCCTGGCTGATTTCAGGTTGTCTAGGATAGCAAACCTGGCTGATTTCAGGTTGTCTAGGATAGCAATCCTGGCTGATTTCAGGTTGTCTAGGATAGCAATTCTGGCTGATTTCAGGTTGTCTAGGATAGCAATCCTGGCTGATTTCAGGTTGTCTAGGATAGCAATCCTGGCTGATTTCAGGTTGTCTAGGATAGCAATCCTGGCTGATTTCAGGTTGTCTAGGATAGCAATCCTGGCTGATTTCAGGTTGTCTAGGATAGCAATCCTGGCTGATTTCAGGTTGTCTAGGATAGCAATCCTGGCTGATTTCAGGTTGTCTAGGATAGCAATCCTGGCTGATGACTGTTGTTCAAAATCACTTGTACCTACACAACAACCTGAAATAATCTAAAACCGAATCAAAACCTCTGCAACACGAGTCTTCTCAATGTCGGAGTGTTCTGGCTATCGGGCAACACCAGCAGGTGCTATGTGCTATGTGCTATCAACATGTGTATTGCAGTACTGTTATAGCCGTTCAGTAACGCAGGGTTCACATTTTTTAAGAGATGTGTGATGCAATGCATGTGGTGACATCCAGAGTCCAGACCTATGCGAACTCCCAAAATGTCATTCATTGCAGATGTCAGTGAAGTGACGTCACCTTGCTCAATTGCGTCAAAGCACAATGCTGTTTATACAATTCCTTGGCATTCACATAGCTGGGAACAACTTGTACAAATATGCAAGCAACCCTTGAACCTAATGTAAAAATTTGCTGCAAAGAAGGTCGTGCCTCGCATCGCGGAAGTTGAGCTATTTCCGCGTTCAGGCGGTTGTATATGCTGCACATTGGGTGCGATTTAGTGTTTCTCGGCTTTGCCACTTTTGCATTTCAAACATCCTGTTATGTCATGTGTAACAGCACAAGTTCCAAGAATCATTGCTGATATGAATCTTTTTGTTTTGTAATAATTTGATTTGTGCTGCTAGGACTTCAAGGTGAACTCCTTTGAACAGCTCTGCATCAACTATGCTAATGAGAATCTGCAGTTCTATTTCAATCAGCACATTTTCAAGTTGGAACAGGTATGTTTTGCCCTGTTGTCTTCTAGTGTCTGCAGTTATGTGTGTTGGGTTATCCTTTTGTCTGAGCTCGCATCTCATGGATTTGTCAATTGGTCTCTGATTATGTGCGTGTGTGTGTGTGCATGTGTGCACGTATGTTCTCAGTGTGCATGCATGTGTGCACGTATGTTCTCAGTGTGCATGCATGTGTGCACGTATGTTCTCAGTGTGCATGCATGTGTGCACGTATGTTCTCAGTGTGCATGCATGTGTGCACGTATGTTCTCAGTGTGCATGCATGTGTGCACGTATGTTCTCAGTGTGCAATCATCGGCAACATGTACCTTGACTTGTTTCTGTATATCTTTCCAAATATCACAGGAAGAGTATGACCGCGAGAAAATTAGCTGGTCAAAGATCTCTTTCAATGACAATCAAGGCTGTCTTGATCTGATTTGCAAGAAACCTGTTGGTATTCTCAACATCCTGGATGACGAATCCAATTTCCCCAAGGTAAGCTAGTATGTACTGATATCATGCTAATATTCATTCTGATACGATTGCAGGCAGGTGTGCTGTTGTGTTGGATACCATATCTTGTATACAAGCCTGTTTTGAATACGAGCCTGGTTTTCGAGATGGGCCATCACCACATGAGTCTGGTCATCGTGTTGGCATACATAGAAATGCCTGATTTAAATACAAGCCTGATTTGAATAGAAACATAGCACTGACATGGTCTTCGACGTGAGCCCGACTTATGGTATCTTTCTTGATTGGAGAAGTAATAAGCACGTCATGGTGAATACACCTCAACACAATCCTTTGTATATTATAGGACTCCTTGCTCCCAGGTCTTTTGCCCTTGATGAGGAGCTACACACTGCTGCTATATGAGATTACTATTTACATCTTGTGTTGCTTCCTTGTTACAGGCTAGCGATGATTCGTTTTTGGAGAAGATTCACCAGCAGCATGCCAAACACCCATACTACGTCAAGCCAAAAGTGCGTAATGGCAAGTTTGGCGTGAAACATTATGCTGGCTGTGTCACATACGAGGTAAGGATACAGTATTATGCAACCATTCAGTTTTTGTCTTTCTCCCCAGTCTCTAGTAGTTGTTGACAGTTGATTGTGTGCGTGTGTGTGTGTGTGTGTGTATTTATTTTTATCATTAGCATGTTCGTTTTGAAATGTAACAGCAGTATCTCTTAATTTGCTAAATCCTATATATAGGATTTTGGTCATATTTTTCAACTCAAAATGGGTGTGGCATGAGAAAAGCAAAAAGTATGTGACCAATTCTTCCTTGCTAGGTCTTAGTAGATATCGAGAGTTGAATAAGATAATTTTTTCAAACACTAACATCTCAGGCTCATCTCCTTGCCCAATATTACTAAGGCTTGTGCCCTATTTTTCGAATCCTATATATATAGGATTTGAGATTTTATTGGACCTTGTTTTATCCTTAAAACTGGTAGTTTCATGACGGCATGTGCAATATGTCGTCATGAAACCACCCCGTGCCACACCTGCAATGTTTGTCTGCACATTCACTGCTTCAGTCCTTTCCATGACAGCAGCTGAACAATTATGCTCAAATTTCCAATTATTGCTGAAAATGGGTATTCATCAGAAATATTATCGCCCTATGAATCTAAAATGTAAACATTCATGCCTCAAACATATTTACAACTTCCATGAAAACCAGTATGTCGTTATTATTGGTCGTGATGACCAATAACAACGGCGTAAAAGGCACACATTTTCAAATCCTATATATAAGATTTTCGTCCAGCAAATTAAGAGATACTTAGTCCACAGCTTTTCTAAACTGGATGGCTTGGATGAGAGGAAAGAGGCGAGATAACAGCGATGCAACCAAAATATCCAATGGGCGCTTTCGATTACACGCATTTCGGTCAATTATAGAATTAGTTATTGTTGATGCACAGTTTGATTAAACAAAAAGTGACAAATTCCGTCGTTAGAATTGATTTTATCCAATTCCGTCAAGTCCGTCAATTCTGAAGAGAGGGCGGAATTTCTCTAATTCTGGCGCCAGAATTGCACAGTTGGTGTGTTACCGGTCTGGTCATGACTCAAGCGCGCGAAGAGCCTCCCTTGCCGGCGTGTGCGCGATGCTGGGACGATCGCGAGGGTGTACGTGATCTCTTTTTACGATTCATCAATTTTGTTTGTGACATGACATGAATAAAATGCGTTGTGAATTCCAGTCGTTTGTTTACAAGGCCGGAATCCGCTCGTTCTGGGCATTCCAGAATTTATAAAAACAGTTCCAGAATTGTGTAAACGTGTAATCGAAAGCGCCCAATATGTTACAGTGACACGAAGTGAAACAACTAGGGGTGAAACGGTTCGGGTAAGGAACCGGTTTTGGAACCGCCAGCTGAAAAGAGTCGGGTACCCGTTCCGTCAAATTTCGAACCGAAACTCGAAAAAACCCTGTTCTTGTACAAATACATGTACACGTCCAGTCTACTCAAGATTTTAAATGTCTTACCTTACGATCCTCACTCTTCCAAAGAGTTCTCTGGTCATTATGTTCTTCGCACTTGGACTCTCCAATGTCTCATTCTTGCTCGTAAAAATGTTTTTTCTAAAAATTAATTGTCGCGAACGCATTTTGTCGGTCTGGAGAAAAGAATGCATGGAACCGATAACCGAACCGTGGGAAACAATGCTGGCATTCGGGTACCCGAACATGAAAAACATGGAACCGTTTCACCCCTAGAAACAACCTTCACGTGCATGATTTCACTAGAGTGGGGAGGACCTATGTCTAGGACCATTATGCATATTCTACAAAGCACTCAAGTACTGGTTCTAATAAAATTTAACAGAAATATAGAATTTGTGGTGTCTGCGATGGCAGAACTTCACATCCCTTGGCATGGATCAATAAGTTACCCAGGCAAGCAGTGGCAAGTGACCACAAGAGAGGCAGAACTTCACATCCCTTGGCATAGATCATTAAGTTACCCAGGCAAGCAGTGGCAAGTGACCACAAGAGAGGCAGTGTTGCATACAACCCTGTATCTATCATGCACTTAGTGCAAACAATTACGGGTTTGTCATGTGGTGTGAAGCTCTACTGCCGCAGACCACATGCCATGCAGACTGGAGTTGCACAATCTTGAGGGTTATGTAGCCTGATGCTATGCACGTACTTTGTCATACATCCAAGTACGGCCATCCAGTACATCCAAGTACATGAGTACACCATGTAGCCCGCGTGCTCATTGCCAGTCTTGTGTGTTAATATTGTACTACAGCATATTGTGAAACAGCTTATTCATCCTGTCACGTGTTCTGTGCGCGGGTTTTCAGGTCAAGATGTTCCTGGACAAAAACCGTGACACTCTTCGTCCTGACTTGATCGAGCTTCTTCATGGCAGCTCAATGTCGGTTAGTTAGATGTGAATATCTTATCTTTGCCTGGTCTGATTTACATCTGATGTGGATCAGCCGTTTGACTACCAACTCATACATAATTTGTTTTTGAGTTTACCTGAAAACAGTCAACTGCCCTGAAGATGAGCCATGCCTGAAAATTTGGTGAAGTCAAATTTTTTTAAATATGTGCAGTGTGTGTTTTGAACGTTGGAGTTGAGTGTGTGTTTTGAACGTTGGAGTTGAGTGTGTGTTTTGAACGTTGGAGTTGAGTGTGTGTTTTGAATGTTGGAGTTGAGTGTGTGTTTTGAATGTTGGAGTTGAGTGTGTGTTTTGAATGTTGGAGTTGAGTGTGTGTTTTGAACGTTGGAGTTGAGTGTGTGTTTTGAACGTTGGAGTTGAGTGTGTGTTTTGAACGTTGGAGTTGAGGTACCCTAATATAATGTGTAAGTGGCTGAAATGGAGGCGAGTGCTTAGGTGGCGAGTGCTTAGGTGAGCAGCCAGAGAACGCTAAAATATGACCACAGACCAAATAAATTGTTTTTAGTTTTTGTTCAAAAATGATCAAACACACCTAATGTTTTCTGTCAGAAAGTATGGGACTGATCTGGCATGTCTAAGGGTTGCCACAGTGGTAATATACGCAGCACTATGGCAATTGTACATTGACGGTATACTGTCATTTTTGTATACATGTGATATGTCCCTTGGTTCATCCTTTCCCCGTCAGTTCCTTTATCCAGGGTCTTGTAGTGTGAGCTGACTGGTACTCCAGCACGTCTTTCTATAGCGAGCTGAGCCAGGTGTCTGAAATACCTTCTGGTTGGAGCACCACTGGAGAACTGCCAGCGAAAACACTGTCAACACCTGTAGACATCCAAAGAAGTTGGTACTCCACTTCCTCCACTTCATTTTATTACCCCACTCTGCTGTGAACCAGCAGGTTCTACAAAGTCACTTTCGTTGTGCACGTGTACAACCCAACCCTGTTGTGCTTGTCCTGTCTCTCCTCTTCTACTTCTAGCTTGTGGTATCACTGTTTGAGCAAGACTACACAGCGATGCAAGAGGCACAAAGTGGCGGTGGTGGTGGTGGCCGTGGCAAGAAGAAGAAGTCTCCCACAACATCTGCTAAATTCGATTCTTCTCTGAGAGAATTGATCTCTGCAATGTCCAAGTATGTAGCATGGAAATTGGTTCTTTACTGCTTGTAATCTGTTCCTGGATGGCAATACACAGTACTGCTCGATGAAATCTGATCTCATAGATATGTTATGTTAGCGTGCTTTATTCCCCCTCTTGAAAATATACGAAATCCTTAGAATGGTTAAAGATACGCTGCATGCTTATCCAAAGCAAGAAACACGACACGTTAAAGGGGAAGTTAAGGCAAAAATTAAAATTTCACCAGTTGTAGTCTTCGGGGTGCTGAGTCGATTGGTCGTGGTCCGAGGAAGCTGAGACGCTCCCTTCCTACTTGAATCCCAATCGAACTCGCGCACTTCCACCGAAACTGGGTGACTGCGCCCTACTAGATGGGGATTTGTGTGCAAAATGTCACTAAAAGCGCCATTTCGTTCTTATAAAAGCATGGATGACCGCGATTGGCCCCTATGTTGTAGTCTTTTGGACGCTGAGTCGACTGGTTTTGGTCCGAAAAGGCTGCGATGCAGCGTTCCTCCTTTATTCCCAATCGAACATGGTTGAACAAGTGGTCACGTGCTCCTGGGTGCCCAAATCACCTGGTCTTCACGCCAGCAGGCGACAACTTTCACACCAAGGTTCAACTCGAGTTCAACTCGAGTGACAGGACTGCACCCAAAAAAGGTCAAACAGGCTAGTAAGTTGTACCCTGCAGGCACGGTGACCAGGTGACTGGCGTACGCAGGAGCACGTGACCGCTTGTTCAACCATGTTCGATTGGGAATAAAGGAGGAACGCTGCATCGTAGCCTTTTCGGACCAAAACCAATCGACTCAGCGTCCAAAAGACTACAACATATGGGCCAATCGCGGTCATCCATGCTTTTATAAGCAGGGTTCGCAGCGAAGTTTGGAAGTCTGGAAAAAGTTTGGATTTTATAATTCAATTTTCCAGGTCTGGAAAAAGTTTTGAAAAGGCGCTCCTTTTGAAAAAGTTTGGAAAAAGTTTTGAATTTCGATTTTTTGGCCGCAGATGTGCTGCACTGCTGGCAGTACTGCATGCAAGTACGAGGTTTTGAGTGCCGCGATAGAAGACGCGCTGGCGATGCGTGGTGTTCACTGCATGTACGAGTTTCGTACAGTCATTTCAGTGCATGCTCAAGCGCGGCCGGTGATGACTTTTATTTGGCCGTTTTTTTTGTTACTGGCGCTCGCGCTCCACTTTGATTCTTTGAAGTCGGGACAGCAGGATGGCGAGGTCCTTTCGCACTCAGATGAGTTTGCTGGCGAGGATGAAGCCGTCTTTTGCGCTGAGATGGACACCAGCTATGTAAATGTTTCATTGGAACCCCCTCTGGAGGCGGATTTGAACTTACGGAGGGGAACTCTCGTCGTATGAATTCCCCTGCTATTTTCAGAGGCTCTAGCTGCTGAAGGCGATATCATCGCAATGCACCTTGGTGAATTTGTTGAAGGTAGTACCAGGGAGGATTTTACTACTCCCTGGTTGTACTCGTCGTGCAGAAGAGATTTATAATTTATTTTTCCTGCACGAGTGGGTTTGGAAATTCTTGAAATTGGTTTGGAAAAAGTTTGGAAAAAGTTGGAATTTTGTGTGCTTGGTTGGCTGCGAACCCTGTAATAAGAACGAAATGGCGCTTTTAGTGACATTTTGCACACAATTCCCCATCTCGTAGGGCGCAGTCACCCAGTTTCGGTGGAAGTGTGAGAGTTCGATTGGGATTCAAGTAGGAAGGGAGCGTCTCAGCTTCCTCGGACCACGACCATTCGACTCAGCACCCCGAAGACTACAACTGGTGAAATTTTAATTTTTGCCTTAACTTCCCCTTTAACAATTTCCGTTCTCTTGTGGATTGGGACTAATGTTCATGTTTCTTATGCTGTTGGTTTGTTTAGGTGTCATCCATACTTTGTCCGATGTGTGAAGCCGAATCCTAACAAGGTATTTGAAAACAAAGCGTTAATTTATAATTTTATAGAGGCGTAAATTTCTCAATCTCTGGACAGCTAGCCGTTTCGACCTTGTTAGGCATACGAGTATACGAGTACATGTACTACTACAGAATTGCCGTAATAATGTTATTTCCACGAGTTTGTAGATACAAGATCGTAGTGGTAGTATGTATCTATTATTGCACGATTAAAGAGGTCAACATATGAAATATAGAACGAGTAAAAGACCGAGGTCCCCCGAGGTCTTTTACGAGGTCTATATTTCATATATTGACCGATTATGAGGGCAATAATAGATTTATCACGACATAGCATACCTAAAACTGTTTTTGCTTTGCTATAGGAAGAAAGGAATACTATTGTAATAGTATAATAGTATGTACATATGCCGTTTACATTGGACATTACTTCTGTGTAAACCGAAGTTTTCAGTTGTCTCTTGTATGTTCCCCAAGTTCTTTGACTGAGAATCTGACAGTATGGGTTCAAATCCCAGCATTTGGCTTCAGATTTTTCTTCTTTCAGTTCTGATTTTTTCTAAGTTGAGGAAAAAGTTCTAAGTCCTCGGTCAATATAAGCGGTCAATATACTGTAAGACATGTTATTATAACGAGTCGCAAATTTAACGATTGTCCAAAATCCATAGGTTAACGAGAAGAATAGGCCTTATGCACATTGTACAGATGCACGAAATCCCGTATAATCTTGTAGAATCCCGTAGACCCGGTTGGGTGTTGAATGTGCAGGACCCTATTGTGTTTACTGCTATTTCCACTATGAAATGGGCCATGAAGGCATTTCATACGAAATCTTTTTCCGGCAGAGATCTAGCTAGTCGTTAGTTCAATCCCAAAGTGAAGAAGGCTTGAAAAGTGATCGTTTGCCATGAATTGTGAGGCTAAATGGGTCAAACGCGCATGTATAGCACACAATGAACACCCAACCGGGTATGTACACACCTACGGCCATAGTACAGAACTTCGTACATCTGTACAATGTGCATAAGGCCTATTGTTAACGATCTTGCAGTATTCCGGCATATCTACACACAACATATATGAAGCAGTACGGCCTCAACGGATCTTATCATAACGAAGAAATGTCATCCGTTAAAACGTTAGATTTACTTCCTCGTTATATATACATGTTTTACAGTATGCTGATATTTGACCGCTTAGAGATCACACGTTTCTGTGGGGGTCAATAATAAGGGAGCATCTCATTAGTTCGCATTTTGTTTCTAAACGTAAGGCCACGCTTTGTTTTTTCTATGTTTCTCGTCATCGCCCGCGTAGGTTTTCAGAAATTTCGGAAGAAAAAAAAAGTTCGTACTACGTACATTGTACATGTATGTGCGCTGCACATGCTGCAGCAGCTAGATGCGTCAATAAAAATCGTAAACGTTTGCACCACAGCAGCAAAGGAGCGCTCTCCGTCCGTTCTCTGCGATGAAGGCTGCCATGACGAAGCTTTCAGTCGTTCACTGCCTGAGCCTCGCGGGTCCCAGGAATACCGTAAGTCGGACGAGTTTCGTGGCAACTGGCGTCTGTGGAACGATGTCGTGGGCAGAAAATCCAAGCAAAGGACGCATGGCGAGGAAAAGATGAGCAGCGTGGAGACAAGAGTTTGATAACCGGACACAAGAACGTTGAAGTAACAAAACCAAAAATGACGAGTGGGAAAGCGTGTGCGATAGCAGATAAATGTATGTTCTCTTCGCCGTCTCGTATTCATCAACCTTTATGATCTCATTGTTGCAGTTTGCCTGATATTCGTGGGCTGATGTGATAATGACTATGTACAGTCAGTAGTGGAATCATGTATGGGACTACATCATTATGTACATGATTGTACAATGTAGTACTCTATACATGGTATACGCAGTGTCTTGTATGAATCACGCAAACACATGTAAAATGTATGCAGTTTTCAGTAGAAATTGTTCTTGTTTTTTCCTTGGCTTTTGTTTTTTTTCCGCCCGCCCGCATACCTTTTGTTAAAATTTGCCGACGAGAAACATAGAAAAAACAAAGTGTGGCCTAACGCATTTCGAAACGGGGTGGGGTGGGGGGGGGGGGGGTAGCGGCCATTTCGAATAGAAAAATGACTGTTCGCACATTTTCTGGAACTGTACAATCTACTGTGCTAGTGCTAGATCCCTGCAGCAGATGAGTGTGTTTAGGTGGAGATCTACCTGTGTTTGCAGATCAGCTAACCCTTGCACTGCATGCATGCAGGCTACTCAGAGGTGTCAAATGTCACACCAGCCTGATCAAACCGTGTACCTGGCCAGCGTTTACAGCAGTACATGCAGTTGTTGTGGAGGAACTATGCTTATTTGCGTGTACATGTCATTGATTGTACTTTGTACTCAGTAAATGCGGTACTACTGTATGCCATTCGCGACCGCTCTAGCAAAACATTCATGTACATGTACATGTACAATCATGTACATAAGCATACCATAGCATGGGGCATGGATGTGTACAGTAGATAAACACAGAAAATGTGCGATAAAACTTTCGAATAGAGGGGGGAGGTAGGGGGGTAAAGTCTATTCGAAATGCGTTACGTTTGCAAAATAAATGCGAACTTATGAGATGCTCCCTAAGAGAGTGATAAGTGTGAATAAAACTGTACCAGCACCAGTATATTCAGCACCTGAACGCACGCATCAAACAACACACACCACGTCACATACCGGTACTTCCACCTTGCGCACAACAACAAAGACCGAAGCGAGGGCGACCTAGAAAACAACCGTTACCTACACAACTTGCGGATCCTGGCTCACAGACTGTGCTTGCTCCGCCGTCGCTGGTGGCGGTGGTGGAGGAGGGTGGTCGTGGTGGCTCATCGGGCCGGCTTGTGTCGCCGCCTTTGCTACTGCCATCGGTGGTTCCTTCGTCGGTGCCCCCGGCGGCTTTGGCTGGGGTGGCGCCGCTTGCGGTCCCGGTCCCACTGCCTCCTCCTGATCCTCGCCTTCGGCTCTTGCGGCGGTGGAGCTTGCCAGTGACAGACCGCGAGCAACACCGGCAGTGGCGTCACCACTACAATTGCCAACCCAAAAAGACCCACCTTGCGTATCAGCAGCTCCCACACCATCACCAACAATGCAATTTACAGCAACCACAACTAATCCACCATCCAAGCCCACTATTGAAAGACCAAGACGATCAACAGCCAACTACAACAGAAGCTATGCACTCAACGGACAAGGGCGTAAGGAGGGACGTGACAGCAGGGTGACGGCCGAGTCCCGTTCAATGGACCAAGTCAGGCGGGATAACAGAGGAAGCGGATGATGGGACGGACGGGGAAGGGAGCAATGAGTCGGAAAGCGACGATTGTAGTGATCGTGAGAGTGCCGGTGAGAATGTTAGTGTTGTGCGTAGGTTTCGTGGTAGCAAGTGTTCAGTGTACAATCATCTGTTGGCTAGTCCTGATTGTTGCAATTCGTATTCCGACTCTTCTTTCACTGTATTGTGCCGTGGTCGTCATGGTTATGGACTACAGTTATAAGTTTTGGAAGCCATCTGTCAGCGTCTGTATAAGCCTAATCTGTGTGTACAGAAAGATAGTTTAATTGGGTTGAAATTGTTCAAGTAAAGTGTCATGTTTGGTGCGGCCAAGCTTGGCCGTTAATGTTCTAGGTGTAATGTACTGCTGTTATTTGTAATCACTTTGTCCTTCCTTCTTTCTTTCTCTTCTTTGTTCATTTTTCAGTTGCAAGTTTAGTGTTGGTACACACATTCGTTATTGCTCTCGCTTTCATTGTTAAAATTCACACTTGTAAATTTCACTGCTGTTGTTCTTAGTGTTATTTCTCTAACTTAGATTTTCTATAATAGTTCAATTTTGTTTTCAGTGTCCTTTAGTACAACGAAGATTCCTGATCAGTGTTGTACGAAAACTTGTTTGAATCCCTTTTTTCTTTACACAATTTCTTCACATTTTCATCGTTTTATTGCACATTGTCTCCACAGTTTTACATTACATGAATAAAGTGTACACAAATGTCGATCCAGCTTGTGTTACTGATTGCGGTTATCAAATTGTTGTCTCCTCGCCGTTTGTTCATATACTAATACTGTTGAATTTTCTGTTGACACTGTTTTCTATGAACACTACAAGTAGTATGTCATTGTTGCTGTGTAGCATGCAGAACTGGCATTTCAGCAGTTATGAGATCTAGTGTTGTTGAATATACCATGCAAATGCTACAAAGGGCACTCCTGTTGTTGTTGTTGTTGTTGTTGTTGTTGTTGTTGTTGTTGTTGTTGTTGTTGTTGTTGTTTTTCCTGTTTTTACTCATCCAGAGGCCGAGTGAGTTCGTGAAGCAAATGGTCCTGGAGCAGCTGCGTTATTCTGGAATGTTGGAAACAATTCGGATTCGGAGAGCTGGCTATCCCACCCGTCTGAAGTTTGAGGTCTTTGCTAAGAGGTACTTTCTTTTCTCTTTATTTCGGGGAAATTGTGACCTAGACCGGTATGTACAGGGGCGTCGGAAGGTAATGTAGCGTGGTATGGTCAGTCATCTGTGGCACCATTACCTCGATGTGGGGGGGGGGGGGGTGGCACCGCTGAAATGTTTCGAAATTTAGAGCCCAAATCAGTGCATTTGATTGATTCACAGGGTACTAGTACCCGGGGGAAAGAGTGGTACGGTCAATACCGTAGTGACCGTAGCGTGTCCGGCGCCCATGATATGAATGATAGTCTGGTATCTCTCACCGGCAACGTTTTCCTGACTGCCAAAATTGAGCCTTTTGCAATATTGATGTCTTCACAGCTCATCCTCTGCCTATTGCAATACACTCTTTCAGAATGAATCATATCTGTTTGTGTAGGTGTGAAGATTTTTGCCGGATGCCCCAGCTATTTTCACGTGACCCTTGACAGTACTGTAAACAGTTTTTCCGTGAATGGTGTGAAGAGAATATTCATGTGTACAGCTATTCGCATGATTGTGTTTTTCTCCAGATACCAGCTTCTTGCGGGCGCTAACAAGGAGTTGTGTGCAAAGGACCCCAAAGGTGTCTGCGTGAACATCTTGTGCAAGGGTGCTAGTGAGCATGAAGAAATGTTCCAGATTGGGCAGACCAAAGTAAGTTCTAGGTGCAGGTTACCTGCCACAACCATTTTTAACGCCTAGCTCACCTAGCCCGTTATCTTATTTCACCTCCCCCAGCTCACCAGTACAGCCAGTACCGTAAAGTACCGCCAGAGCGCCCCACCAGAGCGCCCCACCATCTCGTCCTTTCACGGGTGTATTGTGGAGGTGGTCTCCTGTCTGTAGGTCATACGACACGAACTTTGTACACATATTGCATGTTGTGCAGACAATCCGTACCTTCGAGCGGAGACGAGTGCTCGAGCTCCACACAAAAACCTGCTTAGTGTGTACACTAAGGTTCACACAAGGTACAAACTTCGTGGGACTGTGCCGTACGATTTTCCTTTCCCTGGCTGTAAAATCAAGGTGGGGCGCTCTCGCGACACAAGACGCTCTGGCGGTACTTTACGGTACAGGAACACTATTGACACATATTCAATCGCGCTAAGTAACTCACACCTGCAGTCGACTGTATCAAACACATCCATTGGACATTGCAGTTATTGCCTTTTGTGTTGAACTTGGAGTTACAGCTTGGCAGTTAATCCTTTTTTGTGCATGCAGTGTATTTTGTAGAGACTCTCCTTTCATTGAAATTTGGGTTTATGGAACACATCCCTTGTTTGCGCTCTCTGTGTCAAAAAGGTCTTCATGCGTGAAGCTTTGGAACAAATCCTGGAAGAAGGCCGAGCAAGAACATTGCACAAGTATGTCCTAGTCATTCAACGCTTTTCAAAGGGATTGGTTTACCGGAGACGCTACCTGAAGCTACGAGCAGCAGCGACTATGGTGCAGGGACATTTCCGAACGCGAAACCTGAGGTCAGTAACTGTTCCCTGGGCTTGGCCACGCTGCTAGCATATTCCCAGTAGGTTTAGACCTCTTTGTGTACTTGTGTAAAACAGGTTACCTAGTCCTGAGTGGACTCGGATGAAGAGCCAAGGATAATTTTTTAGAAAAGAAAAGGACCAAGAAACTACCGTTAGTACTATCGGTCCCTTTAGTCAGTGTCGTGCACTGTTATTGCAGGAGCTGATTGTCAAGTAACCGGTGGTGTTAGTGGACATTTAGCGTAACTTGTACTTCCTTGGTCCTTTTCTTTTCTATAAAATAGTCCTGAGTGACTTGCTTTTCATTCCCGAATGGTTTGCTGCTTACAATTACTGGTTGATTACTTGATTGCCATAACTGAATGACTGTGTTCTCGACTTGACATTACTGAATTCTTGCGTTCTCGACTTGCCGTGCAGTAGAAGCATTTTCATCAGTTGTATACATGTAGCTGAGAAAAGTGTTTTGGAGATCAGCTGCCATGATAGTTGAATCTCACTCTGTCCAATTGCAGGAAATTGTTCAAGAAGAAGAAGCGTTCAGCCGTGATCATGCAGTCCATGTGGCGCATGTATTCTCAACGCAAGAAGTACATTGTGCTCCGAGATGAAGAGCGAGAACGTAAGAGAAAGGCCGAAGAGGAGAAGCGGAGACAAGAAGAAGAGCGGAAGCGTCTTGAAGAAGAAAAGCGCCGGCAAGAGGAAGAGAAGAGAAGACAAGAAGAGGAGAAACGTCGCCAAGCTGAAGAAGCACGTCGTGAAGCCGAACAGCGCAGAAAAGAAATGGAAGAGCGCGTGAGTACCTGGCTTCTTCGGTCACTTTGTCTGCATACTGTAATCCTGTGCATATCAGAACGTGTTGCAATGTGTGAACAGAAATGCACAATGTACTGTAAAAGCCATATAATATATATGTGGGCCACAACCAGCTAAAACATGTCTTAGAGTGAAATTTTTCAAATTTTGTTTTCCTCCAGAAAACAGTTCTTGGGACCTTACTTGACCTCTTGAAGGTGGTACAGGGCAGAAAAGTAGTCTACAAGTGCCCCAAACACCGCTTTCAAAATATGTACTTTGAAATAGAAAATGACAGTTTTCGCACAGTCTGACACAAAGAGACAAACTTAGTGGCTTTTGTGGCGGAGCACATTACAACAGAACTAAAGATGTTGACACAGACTTGAGCATGTCAACGACATCAGTTCAAAGGCATGGCCCAAGTTCTTCCTGGAAAGCAACACCGGATGCTCTGGGTGGCGTTGCACTTGCATACTCTTTCGATTCTGGCAGTGACACTTTCGATCGTCGCCTGCGCTTCCGAGACTGCGTCAGACGCCTCATGAGAGCTGAACGCAAGTAACGTCGTAAGGCAGCCGGTTTGCCGCCTAATGATTATGTACTAGCCCACAACTTGTGCCTCTTCGCTACTGGAGACGACGGGGACGATTCAGCTTCGCTGTCGACATCAACATCACTGAGATCCCAACAAAGTGTCAGCGTCACTCTGCAGACCCGCCGCCACGGACTTGTGAACAAACCTGGGCCATGCACAGCGATCGTCTGGCCCTGTGAGCTGCTCTAGTATCACTAGATGCGGACATTGTCAGTCTTTTCTCGCCAGCTACTTGAACTAGACCGCCAAACAAGTGTTTGAACAAAATTTGAGAAGATGATCGCCACATCATGAATGAAGTGCAGAGTGAACGCGCTCCAAAAACCTTTTTTTCTTTTCGTCATTTCCCAACTTTTTACGAAACCCCAAAGACATGTTTTAGCTGATCGCGGCCCATGTATCTATTATTACACGATTAAAGAGGTCAATATATGAAATATAGAACGAGTAAAAGACCGAGGTCCCCCGAGGTCTATATTTCATATATTGACCGATTATGAGGGCAATAATAGATTTATCACGACATAGCATACCTAAAACTGTTTTTGCTTTGCTATAGGAAGAAAGGAATACTATTGTAATAGTATAATAGTATGTACATATGCCGTTTACATTGGACATTACTTCTGTGTAAACCGAAGTTTTCAGTTGTCTCTTGTAGTATGTTCCCCAAGTTCTTTGACTTAGTATCTGACAGTTTGGGTTCAAATCCCAGCATTTGGCTTCAGATTTTTCTTCTTTCAGTTCTGATTTTTTTCTAAGTTGAGGAAAAAGTTCTAAGTCCTCGGGCTAAGTGGTCAATATAAGCGGTCAATATATGCTGATATTTGACCGCTTAGAGATCACACGTTTCTGTGGGGGTCAATAATAAGAGAATGATAAATATATATATAACGAAGTGCCAACTCTAACGAGTTAACGCGGAGAAATCTTTCGTTAAAATAGAAATCGTTATACAGAAATCGATACATATACTGTCTTATTGAGCGTTGAGAATGAGTGAGAATCGTTACCTTTGGTACACGTAAGCTAGTCAATCTTGGGAAATCGTTATATGGCCCAACTTCTGCGAAAACCAGGCTTAGGGTGAAAATCTTTTTTTTTAGAAAAATGATGTTTTGCAAAAAGGTTGTGTCGCGTGGACGCTCGAGTGCAGTGAAGTGGAACCAAAGAGAATCTCGCTTGTTTGAAGAAGTAGCAGTCATGGCAGGAAGGGTTTCAGCAGTCAGGGAAGTCAAAGGGCTTCCGGTAGAATATTCGCTGCTACTCCTCTAGTCACAACGAAGAGTTTTTGAGCTGATCGAACGGATTCCTTCTCCGTTACTCAGGGATGGCGAAATTTCTGCGCTAGCTGCTGCTTGCGGAAAATGGTGAAGAAATAGTCTCCAGTTAGAGTCGTGATGGCGATAGCGAGGAGAACCAGGACGACATCGACCCAGCCAATCAAAGTACGGAGATACTAGCTGTTTCTGGACCTCACCCAAAGGGGACACGCGTAGCAGAGCTCATACGTTTGCAGCAAGTTCACGAGGAAAAAGGCTAGAAGCGCAGTGTGAAAACTGTTTTGAATTGAAGTCCTTGGCGATGAAGTGCTACTGAATGCCAGGCGAATGAGCGAACAGATCGAGAGCCTCCACTCGAGACTTTCCTCGCTGGACAGCTAGCTGCAAGGGATTGTACGGCGTGCCGAGATTTCACTTGCTGGTCAGCACCAAGCAGACACTGCAGCACGCCAGCACACTATGCGCATACTACGAACAGTGGAACAGTTTGAAAGGCCGTGTTCTTGCTTGTTTTGAATAGAACACATATACGGTACTAGATTCACCCTTCAAAAGGTGCCATCTCAACTGGAGTCGGGTTTCCTTGTGTTGTGTAGCGCCAGAGCATGCCAGTACATGTATGCAGCCCCAGAATGTGCTGAGTGAGGAGCAAACAAAATTCATGCAGAACTGTGCATGGCCACTACAGCCTGCAGCACCAAGGGGCCACAACAAACCTGCCCCCACATGCCTACCTTGTCATGTCACCTAAACAAAAATCATCCATGTCTCTTCCTTCACTCTGGTGGATCTCTCTTCATTTCTTTCCTGTGATAACAATTTTGTGTTTTTTTGGATTTTTTAACACAATACCCTGGTGTGTTTGAGATGCTTTTAATACCACTATGAGTCGACCCACACCTGTAATATTTTGTTTCCTGACCTCCCATGCCCAGTAGAAGCTGAAAATGGGAAACGTCATTTTGTGAAATTTCACCCTGAGCCTGGTTTTCGCAGATTCTGGGTCATATATGCGCCTCGTTAGAATAATGGCATTTACAGTAGTCGTGTTCTATGTAGTACCCATCACACAGTATGCATGCTAACAGCTTCGCAATTGCACTGCCAGCGCAGTACCCATCACACAGTATGCATGCTAACAGCTTCGCAATTGCACTGCCAGCGCAGTACCCATCACACAGTATGCATGCTAACAGCTTTGCAATTGCACTGCCAGCGCAGTACCCATCACACAGTATGCATGCTAACAGCTTTGCAATTGCACTGCCAGCGCAGTACCCATCACACAGTATGCATGCTAACAGCTTTGCAATTGCACTGCCAGCGCAGTACCCATCACACAGTATGCATGCTAACAGCTTTGCAATTGCACTGCCAGCGCAAACCCCAAGTATCAGCACCTATGCTTACTGCTAGTACAGTATATGGAAAAACTCACTCGGGAATTTTTGGTAAAATGTGACTTGCATCATTTCAGGCCTGTGCAGGCTATGGGATGAACTGGCATTTCTTTCAAGCTAATAATTATAAGTTCTGTGCATGACATCTTGGTATAGTAAATACTTTACGCATAACATTAACCTAGATCTGCCAATAATGCCCAGCATAGCAGTACCGTGACAGCTAGTGGCCATTGATTGGGTAGGTGCTCATTATTTCCGTTTTCCGCCTCTGTTCTTAGGCCCAGCGAGAAGCCGTCTTGGAAGCTGAGAAGAAAGCCTTCGAGGAGGAAGAGGCCAGAAATTTGGCCGAAGCTAAGAAACTGGAGGAGGAAGCAAAGCAGCTCGAGGACGAAGCCAATGCCATGGAAGAGGAAGCAATGGTCATTGCGGCCTTGGTCAAACCCAAAGTTACTGATGTCACCACTTTGGAGGTTCCTGCTGAACTGGCCTCGCTCTTTGATAAAATTGCTGGAGGTAGGCAATGTTCGTATTCATTTTTTCGTTGCCATTTCAGCAGTGGTTGTATTGTTCAGCACCATACTGATCAAGCATTCAACATGGCACTGTCCCCAGTAACTGCGTTTTAAGAGAAGCCAGCAGTTCCAATTGACTGCATGTTTACATATTGTGGTTCTGTCAACGCAAAGGAGTGAATAAACCAGATCACGTGTTCTGTGTTTAATAGAGATGTTTAAAAGTGTATGCACAGTAAATCCTAACCAGGAGTTGAACATGGGTGGTTCAATTCATCTCGTTCTAGACTCTGCCAAACATATATACTAGCAGTCTTGATCTGGGGACAAATGCAGTTGTGACGTAAGCAGCTGTGAACAGAACTAACTCAGTAAAACAGACAGTATTCCTTCGGAACGAAACTTCACACAGCTCCATTGTAACAAAATTGGGTAGATGTCAACACTGGCCAACACTCAGTCACACTGCATTATAGTGCATTATCGCACAGTCGATCAGAAGTTGTGCTTCAACTCTCACATATGTACACACCACACCAACTATTATGATCATGTAACATGTGACAATTTTTCTCAAATTTTCTGCCTAACGTTTTTACCTGCTCCACATCCACCAAGCTAGCCTTTTGGTTAAAGTCTATACCTTGCTTTCCTACTTCATGCTGAAGATGGTCATATCGACTGAACCGTTGAACCACAACTTCTGATTGTGTGAAATTCCGGTGTGACGTAGTGTTGGCCAGTGTTCAGTGTTGCCATTTAGTAGTGTTTTACCGACTTTAGTATTGCAGTGTTCTCTTGTAGAATCAGGAAAGGGAGTACCAATAATGGTGCATGTTAGTGCCTGTTCTGCCAAGGTGGCTTTCTGTAAGGAGCATTTGAACAGCTTGTGCCCGTTGGTTATTTGGTTTTTGCTGTTGTAGGATGGAGACCAATAACAGCAGAAAAGGGTACTAGTCAACCCAGTCAATATGAGGAAGTTCTACAGCTACCACTTGACATGGAGTTGGTACCTGGAGATATTGCTGGATATGTCTTCAGCAAGTTTAGGAGTGCCTTCTTCCGGGTAGGTCATAATATCATTACACTACTCGGAGAAAATACACTTTATTCATCCTCTTCTTCTTGGAACTAGCTCTGCCCTTTGGCATTGAACACTCTATTGGACAGTCTGGAACCTCTCTCTCTCTCTCTGTTTTATCATCACACTACAGTGTTCAGATGTTATTTTAGCCAATGGCAAATAAGAGTCCTCCAGTTCGGCTACGTGACTTGTGTGTAAGATAGCTCCTCCGCATGAACATTACTGCTCTCACGAGCCGGAAAATTGTATTTACCAGTACTCGGATCTTAGCTGTTCAACCGTTATCAGTTGCCTGGTGATTGCCTAAGGGCATGAAACTATTAGTTAGAATGAAGATGTGTGGTGCTCTGTGACTTACGTGTACACATCAGTCACACCCTTCGGTCTATTCATGCACACATCAGTCGCATCCTTCGGTCTATTCATGCACACATCAGTCGCAGCCTTCAGTCTATTCATGCACACATCAGTCGCAGCCTTCGGTCTATTCATGCACACATCAGTCGCAGCCTTCGGTCTATTCATGCACACATCAGTCGCAGCCTTCGGTCTATTCATGCACACATCAGTCGCAGCCTTCGGTCTATTCATGCACACATCAGTCGCAGCCTTCCGTCTATTCATGCACACATCAGTCGCAGCTTTCGGTCTATTCATGCACACATCAGTCGCAGCCTTCGGTCTATTCATGCACACATCAGTCGCAGCCTTCGGTCTATTCATGCACACATCAGTCGCAGCCTTCGGTCTATTCATGCACACATCAGTCGCAGCTTTCGGTCTATTCATGCACACATCAGTCACAGCTTTCGGTCTATTCGTGCACACTCCAGTGCAATCATGTGGTAGTCTATAGCATTGTCAAGGATCAAAATCGAATCAGAATACATTTTCAGGTCTATGCATAGAGTACCACTCCAGCTAAAAGTTGAATGATCTGTGTCCATGTGTGTATGTGTCAGGATGATGTGTGGGTGTGGATGCATACATGTGTGTGTATGTGCACGTGTATGTGTGCGCACGTGTGTGGGTGTGTGCATGCACGTGTGTGTGTGCGTGTGTGGACGTGGACGTGTGTATGCATCTGTGATTGCGACATGATGTGCAGGAGGGTCAAGACTACGAGCACCGGACTGTACCCCTTGAGAGATCACTGATACCTCTCAATGAATCCCTTGAAGTGGAGGCTTTGGGTATCTTCAAACTCATCATGAGGTTCATGGGTGACGAATCCCTTGCTGGACCATTGGAAACAATGGCTGCTCGTTACATTGTGCAATCGGTATGATTGATTTCTTATTTTGCTTTCAACTGCTTTTTCACCTGATTGTCTGATAATGTTACCAGTATATAAACTACAACATGTATATTGTAAATGAACAATCTAGAGTAAGGGGATACTAGATACCATCCTCTGTGAATTATGTCTGCACCTTTCTGTAAGTCGTGTGCATATACAAGGTGTACATCTGTGGTTATTTGATATGTCTTCAAACAAGACTTCTGTATTTTTGGTTATTGAATTAAGGGAATTGCCACCATGGAGCTCAGAGACGAAGTCTATTCTCAGCTCGCTTGTCAGCTGAAGGTACCAGACGAATTTAAACTTGAGCGCGGCTGGCTTTTGATGGCGGTGTGTCTGGCTTCATTCCCGCCAAGCAGCAAGATGTTCAAGTACCTATTTAAGTAAGTTAGGTTTGAAGTTGACGTCCTTGATTAGCCTATCGTATTGCAATGTCAGTTTCTCTCAGAACAAGGGGTTCACCATCATTTTAAAACTAGAAATTCCTTTGTTACACCATGTTACACCATGTTAGCTGTGTTGGATGCTCTGAGTTGTGCATATTGCTGTTGCCTGAAAGAATCCTCTGCTGGCCAGAAAGTGCATTCATGTGGAGACGGTTGTCATTTGTCATGCACTGGCAGAAACATGATGGTGTAGCAAATGGGTTTTGAAGATCTGCACAGCTACGGCTGCGCCAGCCACATTGGCGGCCATGATTGGTCACAAGAACTCCTTGCAATGATCAACAGGATAGAAACAAGTGCGTGTAGGCGAACCCACTACCAGCCACACCAAGCAAAGAAGTCATTTTTTCCAAAATCAGTTTTGGGTGTCCATTTGGAACTGCTGCCAACCAAACAATTAGACACATGCAACCTTTTGAAAAGATAACTCAACCTGGAAGATGTCTATAGCAGTCATGTTCTTGTAATTTTTTATTCTCGCGAATGCTGTTGTTGTTGTTTTTATTGTTGTCTGCAGCTTTGTCAACTCGTCAGCAATTCCCAAGTACAAGGAATTTTGTGAAAAAGCATTGCTCCGGACTCCTTGTCAGAAGAACTATTTGGGACGTTCATATCCACCTTGCCTCCTTGAGGTCAACGGCCTGAAGCAACAGAAAGCACTGGCCATGCAGTTTGAATTCCCAGATGGTATGTTTATATTGCTTCTGTGGCATTTCTATTGTAGTAAAATGGTGGATAGATTGTACCTCCTCCGCGTCATCGAAATTGTCGCAGTTTGAATTTTGATATAAAACGGGGTATTTACTCTCCAGCACTCGTACCAGAGGCAAGGAATTGGACATAGGCGATAGTCATCAGTATAGTGTGACGCCAAAGGTCTATTTTCTGTTATTGGAAGCTGGAATTTTTGAACTAGACGCAATTTCTTCGCTGATGTCGCTGCGATGGTAATTTCGACTCGCTGAGATCAGTCAGGCGTTGCAGCCTACACATTTCTCGTGCTGATTCCCATTCACTCAAGCCTCATCACTGTTTTACCTTAGCTGGGGTGAGAATGACTTCGTGGAACAAGTGGCAGCGCTTGGAGAAACATCGAGGGGTCAGCAAACTAAATGCCTGCAACAGCGATAAAATTTGTCGCTCTGGCTGAGACACTCAGTACATGATTGTACCTGCAAGAGCCATGTAGACTCTACACGTAGTGCTAGTGATGCACGCGCAGGTGACGTACCATGGTATACCAGTGATGCTGAAAAAGAGGGCGCGCTGGACGTGATAGTACACTTATAGGCCATTCACACGACGGGCAAACTTACTTTTATCGTACCGTTTCCAAGGACATTTACTCGGATACGATAAACTTGGACACACGCGAGCAAAATATTTTTTATCTTGGCCGAGGCCCTTTTGCTCACGATTATCTTTGCACGCCAGGAAAAATGTCGGTTGTTGAAAGTGCGTACTGCAAATGCAGTGCTTGAACAAAGGAAAATTCAAAATTTAACATTTCCCGGCATTTTCGGGGGGTCACTATGGATACATTGACGGTTGCAAAGTTTGCCCAGCACCGTGTGAACTGGATCACGGTTTGCCCGTGTTATCTTGGTCACACGCGTGCAAATGTTTGCACGTCGTGTGAATGGCCTATTACCTGCATGAGCTGTGACCACACAGCTAAAATAAATGGGCATGCCACGGCTAAAAAAAGTTCCTTTCAAGATCGAGGTGATTCCGCCGACGGTAATCAACTGACCTCGCAACGATCGTGTTTTCTTACTAGGCTTCGTTGGTGGTGAAGTAGAAATCATCCAGAGCTAGCAGACGACAAGCATAGCAGCTCTTGTCCTGTGGAGAAAGTCGAAGCGTTTGAGATGAGGAGCGACCAACTTTCAACCTTCCTTGAAATATTTCGGAACGATATTTTTGCGTCCATTGACATCAGCGACGACGAGGACTTCATCTCTGCATGAAAACTCTCAAACCAACTGTCCTGGAACGTTACTCTAGTCTTCAGACTATCATACTGTGTAATAAGTTTTGAATGGCTTAGCTTATGGAGTTGTCAGTAACAAGTGACAAGTCACTAGTCAAACTGCGACAATTTCGATGACGCGGAGGAAGTATGATATGAACTTTGTTTTGTATCTACTTCAGGGTGAACCATTCATTTAGTATCTACTTCAGGGTGAACCATTCATTTAGGGAACATTTCGAACAATTCTATTCAGATACTTCACTTCTGAACATTACACATACATCATGTAGTCATCATCCGGTCATCATCATCGTCATGCTCTTGATTACTCTAGTCTCAGTGTGTAGCACAGAGTTATTAGTGTTATCATGTTCTATTTGAACAGTGGTACCTGCATACTGTATGTTGAAGGGCTTATTTGATCTGTTGCGCTGCATTCTGCAGGTGTGTGTCTGTGCTCGACTCTGGATTCGTTTGTGACTGCTGAGAAACTTGCTGGATACCTAGCCCATGCCAGGTGAGTAGTTCCCACGCGTACAAATAGTCAAATACACATGAACAACTAGTAAATACACCAGCTTGTAGTGACTAACTTGTGTATGGATATGGTCAAGGAACGTCTATAATTGTTGCCATGTATCATGGCTATACGGTGATTTGCACGCTTACTGGGTGAGCCCGTCATTTATCATACATCATTTATCATACATCATTGCGCTCTTGATTATCACCGTTCTGCGCTTGATACCCACACGCCCGATTATGCATGTCTGTGGCCATGCTGTATGCATGTCTGTGGCCATGCTGTATGCATGTCTGTGGCCATGCTGTATGCATGTCTGTGGCCATGCTGTATGCATGTCTGTGGCCATGCTGTATGCATGTCTGTGGCCATGCTGTATGCATGTCTGTGGCCATGCTGTATGCATGTCTGTGGCCATGCTGTATGCATGTCTGTGGCCATGCTGTATGCATGCACACTGAGTGTCATATACTAGATGTGCACCATCATGGCTGCTGGAAACCACGCACACCGAGTTATTGACACGTGTGCCAAATGCATAGTGTGCCAGATGCATAGTACGGGTACTTGTACATACAGTACTATTAGGTCTGTTGTGGGATACAGCAAGAATACATAACTACAGTCCATTTCAAAAATATAGACGCATGGTATATTTGAAATATTTCAAATTTGGCTGGAGCTTCTGGAGAAATGTTTTCGGAATATTGCTCAGGTACTTCTTCCAATTACTCTCATATCGATTTTTAAGTGATCAGACAACAAACACCCAATTTCGAAATTTTTGTGCACAAAGTGATCACAGATTTTATGTGGTATAGATGCTGGCCAAACGGTTTTTTGAAATCACGCGTCTATATTTTTGGAAAGCACTGCAACCTGACCATCTCTCATCCCAAGGCACATTCTTCTTGACATCAGTCTTCTGCGGTCATTTGGCTCACTAATGCCATCATGGGTAGCCACTAGCCAGAGATGAAAAAATGCAAAGAATGTCTACATGGCTGCAGCTGCAGTACGTGTAGTAGAAGCAGAGCAAAGGACGGTAGGTCCATGATTCCTGAACCTGATGAACTGACACCGTATCTGCATGATTAGCGTGGGAAAAGGCGTAGACACTTGATCACCCTTCTGCTGAAAATTACCCTATCCAATTTCCACCGTGGTTGAGCTCGTCGCAGATAGGAATTGCACACTCTTGCTTATGTACTCTCGGTGACAGCAATTACCCCGTTGTTATGTTGAGATGGATGAGGCTGTGCCTTGGGCTGTTTCACTGGAGGATTTAGCTCCCCGGAAATAGCCAAACCTTTCTACTAAGATTGAGGAACAAGCCGCGGATTCAGGGTTTCTGGAGCTTTATGTTTAGACCTATTCTGATGGCATATTTTCCTGTATTCCTAGGGGTTGTGGAGCACCAGGATGGACAGTGTGTATTAACCGCAACGATGGATACCACGAGTTGTCTGGCTCTGACACGGTGCTGGATTTGGTGTCGGCACTGGAGCTGCCGGAGGGATTTCCTGAATCTCACCAACCTGGATTTGGGACTGGATCTCTGAACCATGGTCATGGGTGAGTCCAACCTGTGATTTGTGTGTACTTGGTGTTCTGCAGTCTGATTGATCAGTGCATCCTTGCTGGAGCTGCAGCTACTTCATTGTTTGCCAGGGATTGTTTTACAGTGGTTGGAATTGGGGGAGGGGTTCTGAGGGCCCGGAGTACTGCAGGAAATATTGTGCAGCATTCATGTGTGTGTGCGTGCATGCGTGCGTGCATGTTTTCAAGGTGTGCCTGTTGTCTTTATGGCCTGCTTTGCTAACAGATAACAAGGGAGAACATGTGCAATATGTTTGCCCTTTGAATGCTCTTCTCTTTCACCCTATCCAGGAGCACATGTGCTGAACTGCCTCGATTCGTTGACAAACTCTTTGGAAGTGGAAATCCCAACGCATTAAACACGAATATCACAACAGCTGTACAAGGATCCGGAAGGGGCGGTGGTGGTATGCCACCTCCACCACCTAAGCTAACTGTCACAGAAGAAGATGATGGACTCGGAGATGGGATGGACCTGCCCCCTCCACCTGATTGCATGATGAGTAGTGAGGATACCAGTGCTGGCAGTGGTGCTTCTGCTGATATGCCGCCTCCCAATGTTCCACCTCCCAATGCTGCTGTTGACGAGCCTGAACCAGATGTTGAGGTGCCCTTCTCCACCGAACCTGCGGGTCCACTTCCAAACTTAGCAAGGCTAAGTGGTGATGAAGCACTGCAGCCATATATTGCCTACAACATCCCTGGCTTTAGGCTTGGTGTCAGAAAAGAGGTAAGGACATATCCAGCTTAGTACAACACAGTTGACCAGTGGTATCACCGGCAAACCGGAAGTGGACCGGTTTCCTGCTGGGGCACAGGTGTAGATGGCGAATTGTATGTGTCAGTTTATTACTGCTTCTGGAGTGGCAGACTATTGGCCCAGTATACTACTCTTGTACTCATGTGTATACATGTGTTATCAGTACTACATACAAGTAACCCCAATAAGTTCACAAAAGCTGCACATGGGGTCGGGCGGCCCACACTACGTAGCCACGAACCAGTGAATCAGCTGGGCCATTGCGTCATTTTTGACCTGCTACAGTTCCTGCTTCCAAGTTTGCTTTTTTGGAGACTTTGGATGGTTTTGTACGTGATGCATCGCGCACAAGCATTGCCTTTGAACTGATCTTTTTGTGCTTGAAATCGTTGCGGCTAAACAGTGAGAAAACTCGAATCCAGGCAGCTGGATTGTCATTTCATGTCATGTTGTGTTGTGCACCGGCTGAAGTTGTGCTTTTCTCTTGCTTCTATGTCACGTGTTATGCTAGACATTGCACTTCTCTGAGAAGCTGGCTGACCCATTGACGAATCACCTCATCTACGTGCAGGTAAAATTGTGCATATTAAGAAGTCTTCCTGTATGTCCTGTTGTTGTTGCTCTTGTTGATGCTGCTGCTGTTACTGCTGAATAGATATCACCAGAAGACGATTTCCCATTGAACTACAATTTGCAGCAATCGTGCTACAATGCTAGAATCACAACATGAAAGGCAATTTTATGTCATTGGATTTGATAAACGTGCTCTTGTGCTGGTGTATTTTGATGATAGATCATCAAGGATATGCTTTCTGGTGTTACACATCGTCTAACAGAAGAGAACCAGGAAGACTTACGGAAGATTTTGAGTAAGTTGTCGAGAAACTAATCAGCTGAGACTTTGCAGCACTGGGTATTGTTTATTTTTCATTCGCGTAGTATTTGTTTGCAAGAATGCGAGATCAGAGTGCGATCATCAGCCAATTTTCAGGACTCGATTATACATTTATCTTGACCTAGAACGTTTCTCCTACAAACCCCTGAAGTTCAATAGCTAACGTTATTAACAGGAGGAAAGAAAACTCAATCCTCTGCTGACAGCAGGAACCGATTTGTTTAGACAGAAACAAGAGGATTTGCTCCGTTCAATTCTTGCCACTTTGCTGCTCTTTGAGTGTGTTGACTGTTTACTCAGTAGCATTGCACCTTGTTGTGTGCGGCCTGTCTCATCACTCTGAGCTTCTTTCTTTTCGTAGCTGTTGCCTGCTGGCTTGTTCCTATCTTCTGGAAGCACCCTTAGAACGTGGTTATGCTTATATATCACATACATGCCAACCATCCAGGGTTTCCCGGGACAGTCCAGGGAATAGGGTGTTTGTCATTTCACTACCATAAGGAGCAGTCAAGCCCCAATGTACTGCGGCTTGTAGTACTAATATTAAATGACAACAGTCGATGGTGTTTGATGATTGCCCAGTATGTGTAACTTGAGGTAGAGCGCAAAAGCCTCTCATCTCTTGTATTTGTAAAGTGGCAGTATGTGGGAATAAAGCTGAATATACTAATACTAGGAATGGGTTTGCTCCCACGCTGGAGCTCGTGCTATTCCGCCGACTTGACACTTGACTGACTCGCGACTGCCATCCAGAGCACACGAGAAGTCCATCGAACCTTCGACTCGGCAAACCTGCAAGAAAGCACCACTCCCTGCTCAATACACAGTGTTTCGGGGAATTCACCCCTCATCAGTTGAGCTTGAGAAGTCGGCGGAATAGCGGGAGCTCCAGTGTGGGAGCAAACCCATTCCTAAAAAATCATCGCCGAAGTCGCAACCACTATTTTATACTAATACTGTTGTACCTATGCTGTTGTACTATTACTGTCGTACCTATGCTGTTGTACCTATGCTGTTGTACCTATGCTGTTGTACCTATGCTGTCGTACCTATGCTGTTGTACCTATGCTGTTGTACCTATGCTGTCGTACCTATGCTGTTGTACCTATGCTGTTGTACCTATGCTGTCGTACCTATGCTGTTGTACCTATGCTGTTGTACCTATGCTGTTGTACCTATGCTGTTGTACCTATGCTGTTGTACCTATGCTGTTGTACCTATGCTGTTGTACCTATGCTGTTGTACCTATGCTGTTGTACCTATGCTGTTGTACCTATGCTGTCGTACCTATGCTGTTGTACCTATGCTGTTGTACCTATGCTGTTGTACCTATGCTGTCGTACCTATGCTGTTGTACCTATGCTGTTGTACCTATGCTGTTGTACCTATGCTGTTGTACCTATGCTGTCGTACCTATGCTGTCGTACCTATGCTGTCGTACCTATGCTGTTGTACCTATGCTGTCGTACCTATGCTGTCGTACCTATGCTGTCGTACCTATGCTGTCGTACCTATGCTGTCGTACCTATGCTGTTGTACCTATGCTGTTGTACCTATGCTGTTGTACCTATGCTGTTGTACCTATGCTGTTGTACCTATGCTGTCGTACCTATGCTGTCGTACCTATGCTGTTGTACCTATGCTGTTGTACCTATGCTGTTGTACCTATGCTGTTGTACCTATGCTGTTGTACCTATGCTGTTGTACCTATGCTGTTGTACCTATGCTGTTGTACCTATGCTGTTGTACCTATGCTGTTGTACCTATGCTGTTGTACCTATGCTGTTGTACCTATGCTGTTGTACCTATGCTGTTGTACCTGTGCTGTTGTACTATTACTGTTGTATTATCTGTTGCCACTGTTTAGATCAGTACCAGATTAATGAGAACAATGTTGGAAACCAGTCTGCAGCGGTCAAGAAAGAAGTTGTGCTTATGGTGACCAAGTTCCCGCTCTATTTCTCTAAGATCTTCCCAGTCAAGGTAGAGTGTATTGTATTGTCAGAGCTAGGAACACGCAATGCAGTAATTCTTTTGAGAACCTTGTATTGGTGACAGATAAGAGACAGTAGGGACCTTTCGCATTTGCTACGAATCAAATGCGAAACGAAAGTTTGATTCGACTCGTAATCGTTTCGTTGAAAACAGATTCAGGTTTCGCAAGTCGTAATGCAAATGTGCATGACAACTACGAATCCGGCCGGTAGCTTGGCGTATGGGTGTGTTCGCGCACACGTGCATGGATCATGGAATCAAGGGAAATAATGTGTACCAGGCAAAACACGTGTACCTCGCAAAAAAATGTGTACCTAACGGATTCGGAGCGTGCCACGAATGAAGAGGCTTCCATTCGTGAAAACGAACTCTCCGCGGGGACTCTGACGAATCCTCGAACCCAGGTGACGAATCAGCATTCGTTTCGTATCCGTACGCGTGATGCGAAAGGCCCCTACTGACTGCACATGCTCGCTCTTTATAGCTGCTGATATCAATGAGTACTCTTGTGTGTTGACTGGTGTTGATCACTGTTGTTTATCACTGTTGTCTATCACTATTGTTTCCAGGCTGGCCCAACTGCTCCTCCAACATGTACTCACGTTTCCGTAAATGCCAACGGTGTTGGATTATTGCAGTCAAAGGATATGTCATTCCAAATCCTCTCATTTTACAAGTATGTAGCCATCCCGTCCCTGCTATTCGTCATCTATGAGTACTACACTACACACTATGTGTTTATTGTCAGGAGGCTTCACACTGGAGCTTGTGGCACCTCTTTTAGTGTTTTCAATGCCATTGGTTTGACATGGCATGGTTTAGGTTATGCTTTGGTGAATTTCATGATGTGTAGTATGTGTATAGTGGGGAGATTCAAACTGAGATACTGCTGTGGTACTGCTGTGGTACTGCTGTGGTACTGCTGTGGTACTGCTGTGGTACTGCTGTGGTACTGCTGTGGTACTGCTGTGGCTTGCAGATATGTATGGGCACCTTTTCATCCTGTCTTCTTTGTATTTTCTTAGGCTTACTGATGTTCATGACTTCAGCGGATCTGAGCAAGCTGTTCTCAAGCTAACGCTCATGGATCAACAGATGGAGTTTGCCACCCGGCGTGTAAGTTGTGTGATGTTGAGAACTTGAGATCTCTCCTTCACTCGCCTTTCTAGTTTCATGTATAAAAGCATGGCTTACACAGTAGGGCTAATTCTCTGCTCACACAGTGCTCAAGGCCCAAGAGGACACAGCTTCCTGACAAATAAGGTGGAACAAAGCTTATTTGCACAAATTGGGCCTCTGCAGAGATTGGCAGCGTCTGTAGTGTCTAGATCTAGATCTGACATTTTGTGATTTTATACATTTGAGCAATTGAACACACACACACACACACACACACACACACACACACACACACACACACACACACACACACACACACACACACACACACACACACACACACACACACACACACAACTGTCAGCAGCATTGTGTTTTTAATTCCTTTTTCTTTGGACATGTGTTTTTGTTGTGTAGGCGCCCAGCATTGCCGAGTACATTGAAGGCACTATGCGCTCTCTAGAAAAGGTATGTATACAACTGCCACGTGCCTGTTTGTTGAGTTTCCAGATACATACGGTTGGTTGGTCGTGTACTAACTGGATAATACCAATGCACCACTATACTAACAGATTTTGGCTGGTGAGAAACCTTGGCCTTCAGGGTTTTCAAAAAGAATCGACTGACAATCTTGTTCTGGCACGCAGTCCTGGGCCAATCTTGTAATGCTTGGGCGGTGATTTATTTAGGCTGGTTCGTACCAAACGGCGAAGTCTGCAAAATCTAATCGCCTGCGAAAAATGGTGATTTGCAGTATGTGTACTATATGTGTGTGTGTTGTTGCAACTGGTTTACAGGACGCCAGATATGTGTTAGCCACCCAGGACTATATGACCTCAGAAGAATCACTTCTTAGCTTCCAAGTCAATGATATCATTAAGCTGAAAGCAAAGGAGGGTGGAAATGAAGAAGGTATGGTCTGCTCTGCTATTGTGAGCTGAGTGCCTTGATCTGTATTGCCACTATGACATTCACCTTCAGACCAACGCAATTCCTTTCTGAACCTCGGTTTGAATAAGCACACCTTCCAATCCATCTTGCTCCTTCATGCTGTGTGTTCGTGTGTTTCTTGTTTGTTTTTGTGTTCAGCATGCTGCTGGAATGATCCTGTTTCTTTGCTAACGTTACAGTCCATTTCAAAACTATAGACGCGTACCTAGGCAAAAACCGTTATGCCAGCATCTATACCACATAAAATCTGTGATCACTTCATGCATAAATTTTTCCAAATTGGGCGTCTGTTATCCAATCGTTTAGAAACTATATGAGAGTAATTGTGGAGCGGTCCTGAGCAATATTCCAAAAACTATTCTCAAAAAGTTCCAGCCAAATTTGAAATATTTCAAAAACCCTACGCGTCTATAGTTTTGAAATGGACTGTAGTAATGGTCATTCTCTTCTGTTATTGCTCTGCTGCTCTGTTGTAGGATGGCTGTTTGGAATTTGCAATGGCCTACAAGGTAGCTTCCCCGCTGAGCTTGTCACACCCATCCTGGGTGAGCCAACTGAACAAGCTGTCAATCAAGCCAAGCTCTTGATCCAGAAGAAAGCAAAGCGTGAGCAAGACGAGCGGAGAAAGCAGCGTGCTGCAGACCGTCGTGCTGGTGTTGTGCAGCGTCGTGACAGTAATGCTTCTCAGGTTGATTTGGGAGAAAGTGAGCTATCCACTGGAAAGTATTCCATGTTGGAATTTGCTATGCAGTACTTCAGGCATGGACAGGAGCGGTACGTTGTTGCCACTTATTCAATTTTTCTATGCAGCGGCATATTCTTGTACCATAAAGTACATAAAATTCTGCCGGTTCCCAGCTAGGTTTCGGCACGGGGCAGGAATTATATCAGGGCTCTCAAGTGCACTGCAGTGTACAACAGTGCAAAAGGTGAGACTTGCCGTGTTGGGTTGCACAGTCTTATCCACTGGAGTATCTACACTGCAGGTGTTCATTCAACTGTTATCTTGGCGCCCTCCGCGGGTACGGAACAAATGTTATCTTGGCGCCCTCCGCGGGTACGGAACAAATGTTATCTTGGCGCCCTCCGCGGGTACGGAACAAATGTTATCTTGGCGCCCTCCGCGGGTACGGAACAAATGTTATCTTGGCGCCCTCCGCGGGTACGGAACTTTGCATGCAGTATACAGTCATGATTGTTAATCCCATGCTACCAGTGACCAGCGCGCTGCAGCGCATAATGTATGTACTGCTTACCCACGGCTGTATGGCCAGCGCCCTTTGGCCGCTAGACGTGCGACTGGATTTCCATGCCCACGGCAGTACATTGTTGTTGCAAGCTCTACAGTGCTACTGCTCAAGGATCTCTTCCCCCCCCCCCCCCCCATTCAGTGTGCTATGGGTTCTCTTTCATTGGAAAAGCTATTTGGTTGGGGGGGGGGGGCAGATGATTTGGGTACGAGGTGAATAGCAATTTCTGGACATGAAAATAAAATAGAGGCCCACTGGCTGTGTGTTTTACATTTTTCATATCTTTTTGTATCTATTGTTACGTTATTTGTATGGCCTAATCCTTCATCTTTCCAAATATGCTGTGATCCCAGAGACTTTATAGCAGGATGTTTTCGACAGTCCATTTTTTTGGCCTAAATTTCAGCGTATGGAATTCTGGACATGAAAGCAAAATAGCACCAATAGGCATCCTATACTGCACCATTTTTGTTATTTTTTCGATTGGTGGACTGCAGTTGGCCTCTTCACACTTCCAGCCAACAGGTCCAAGACTATACAGCGTCTGAAGTGGAGTGCACATGGGGAAGCCAACGATTCGTCCATTACTTCTTATTTTACACAAAATTCAAAATTCTCATGCGACATAGTACCACAAAACTCGTTGAAATGCCTCCCAAGAAAAGGCTATCAACAAGGCACCGACACGAGGAGAAACTACAACAGCCCAGCTGTCAACTACAACAAGAAAAGAACTTCATCAACCTGACTGACTTGACTCTACACGCGACGAAAAATTATTTTACTCGAAATGTCCAGAAATAGCAATTCACCTCGTACTGTCCGGAATTTTTTTCTTGGCGAGAACGTAATCTTACTTCGAAGTATGTGTGTGCACGTGTTTGTGTAATGTCTGCAGTGCTGACATGCAGCGTAAACTGGATGGATCAATCCGTGGTACATTGCGAACACTAGGATCTATCAGAATCAAAGCTAAAAGTGAGTGTGATCAACTTCTTCTGGAGCAAAATTTCTCTCTGGACCAGTTCCGGGAATACTTGTGTAAATAATGCAAGGTATACATGTCTGTGTTCTAGTCTGTGTTCTAGTCTGTATATGATTCTAGCACAATCTGTATTCCAATGTTCATTATCATTACAATACAGTTCTACAGTTATACCTGGCTGGTCTTGTTCTCGGTTCTGTAGTTCCTTTGTTAACCAATGGGAAATCAGACTGAGCAATGTCTGGCATACAAATTGCGTATTGCATTACTTTGTTTTAGGTTCCGAATTCCTTTGTTGGCTAGCCTTATGTTTGACCTAGTGATATGGATGTCATTACATGCAAACCTCGATAGTGCACCCACCATCTGTAAGCATTAGGCAGGGCACGTATACCCCTGGTTTATTCCCGTTGAACTACTTGTATAGATTGAGTTTGTTCTGTGCATGTGCACTTGCAGCTGCTGAAGTCAAGAAAGGAAAGTCTTGGAGCTGGCGGGAGTATGCTGATCTGGTGAAATTCACCAAGGTGATTTGTCTTACTTAGAACACGTTACATTTGCATACGTCAGTGATGATTTGAACAAACAGTTGCCGAGTACTAGTTCAATGAACGGATGAAAAATCGACTCTTCTCACATCAAGAGTACATAACTCCAATTTACACCACTCCTGTATTTGCTCAACGTGCATGCTATGATAATGAAGAGTACATGGAGACAGAGTTTCAATTGCCTGGACATAGCCAGGGGCATGAGTATCAATCCTGCCTGAAGGTGATTAGTCTTCTATGTGTGTATGAAGGCTCTGCTGTGCTCAATGCGTTTATCACTATTCCAGTAGCTGTTGCTACTTTCTTTAGGCCTGGCGTTTTGTTATTCTCATACATGCAAGCAATTTTGCAATGGATGAGCCACTTTTAGTTGCCAGAATACATGTTATTCTCTGCAACTCCAAGTTTTGCTCCAATGCTCAGTGAACATGAATACAACTGGACGCTTCTGGTGTGGTCTGGTGTGGTGTACTTCATCGTGTTTGTTCCAGTCACCCATTCAAGCCTCATTGCTTAAATTGGATCCGAAGAACACCCAGATAAACAAGTTGGCAGTGGAGTGCTTTATTGGTAAGCCTTGTCTGCACTAGTCTTTTTCCAAGTCACTGACATGTTTCCGCCATGAACGTTCTGTAAATTCACTTGTCATTGTAACCTACTCTCTAACCAAAATTGGAGCATACAACCCCTCACTATTGTTCAATAGTAAATACACAGGGACTCCTCCAGTGCAATATGCGTATGTGCAACCCAACACACACATCAAACTCTCTGAGAACAGGTCAGATGTCCAAGGAAAGAAAAACAGGCTTGAAGATCTTGCTGACAATTGTTAAAAACTGTGTGTGACATATTAAACCAGCATTGAGTTAGCGCTTATACTCACACTTCCATTCACACCTTATTCCCACACTTACATCATCTACACTTGCATTGTGTTACTTATCACCTATGTTCTCCCCCTATATATACCATGCTATCTACTCCCATGGAGTATCTATTCCTCGACTCATCAAGTTGTTACATGGTGTCAGAAGTTGGATGCTGCAGATTCTGCAAATTCAAGGACCATGGACCAGCTCAAGCCGCCAGAACAGCTCCTGATCAACAGTCCCAACAAGGCAGATGCGTGGAGGCGGTTAAAACAGGCGTTTGAATTTTATTCAATTGCCTCTGGACTCAAGGACAAGGATGGCGCTATCCAAGCCGCGGTATTCCTCCATATCATAGGAGAAGATAGTCAGAAAGTGTACCAAACATTGCAGTTTGACACAGAGGAGGACAAGAAGGACATCGACAAGCTGAAGGAGAAATTCGAAGAGCTCCGCGTCCCGAAAGCGAATGCAACAATGGAACGATACTTATTGTTCACCCGGAAACAGCAAGAAAATGAAGACATTGACTCGTATACCATGGAGCTCCGTAGAATAGCGGAGAGGTGCGAGTTTCCAGCTACGAAGGACAGCATCTTACGGGATTGCATCATTCTGGGTGTGCGGGATGACGGACTCCGCAAGGAACTTCTTCGACGAGACGAGAGTCTAGAGAAAGTGCTGTCCTCCTGCAGATGCAGAGAAGCTGCTCAACGACATATTAGACATTTGACCCACGAAGCGGTTGGTTTAGAGACAGACAAACGTGACATTGACGCTGTATCAGTGTATGATCACAGAAGAAAATACAAGCTACTACAGTAGACCTTCAGTGAAATCCTGCGGATACTGTGGGGGAACACATCCTCCAAGGCAGTGTCCGGCGTACGGTAAAACATGCACAAAGTGTAGCAAGGTCGGTCACTTTGCTAAGGTGTGCAGAAGTCAGCAAAAATCACCAGCAGTCACAGCAATTGAGCAGACAGCAGTACAAGCGGAAGATGTTCAGACCCGGTCGTTTGGAACGATCCTGGTCAGTGAACTATCAGCAGACAGATGGAAGGAGACCATTCTCCTCGATCAACGACCTACGTTGTTCAAGCTAGACACCGGTGCAATGGCATCCGTATTGCCATTTTCAGTCTTCAGGAGCATACGGCCAGACCAGCAGCTTGACACAACTACTACCATTCTCTCTGGTTTTGATCAGAGCACGGTTCGACCAGAGGGAACGGCTGCTATCAAGACAACTTACCAAGACAAAAGCATACCAGTTACCTATTATGTCAGCCGGAAAGTAACCTGCCCGATTCTTGGGCAGAATGAATGCGAAGCTCTACACCTCGTTCAACGCATATTCCAATCAAGCTCGAAAGCTGACAACCGGGAGAAAGTCATCGAGCAATACCAGGACGTATTTACTGGCCAGGGGACGTTCGGTGAAAGCTACCACATTCAGATCGATGCTGACGTTGTTCCTGTCGCACAGCCACCAAGGAAAATCCCTCACAGTCGTCTTCACAAGTTGAGGGAGGCACTAGATGAAATGAGGAAAGGCGGAATCATCACGGATATGAGAGAGCCAGCGAAATGGGTCAGCAACTTGGTGATGTCTGAAAAGAAAAATGGCAAACTCAGAATATGTCTGGATCCGAAGCCGCTGAACAAAGCCATCATCCGTGAGCCGTTTCCAGCCCCTACACTTGATTACGTCCAAAGCAAGCTGGCGGGCAAGAAAGTATTTTCTGTGCTTGACCAATCATCATCATTCTGGCAAGTCAAGCTCAGCGAAGAGTCATCAAAGCTTTGCACATTCAACACCCCATGGGGCCGAATGAGATTTCTCCGCATGCCTTTCGGGATACGCTCCGCCAGTGACATTTTGCAGAGACGCAACTACGAGACGTTTGGAGACATCGAAGATACGCACATAATGGTAGACGACACGTTTGTCGCCGGAGAGACAGATGGTGAACATGATGAAGTACTTGAGACTGTACTCGGACGAGCACGAGAGAAAGGAGTCAAATTCAATCCTGACAAGTTCCAATACAAAGTATCGGAAGTCAGCTACATGGGCCACCTAATTGGAGAGGAAGGCATTCGAGCTGATCCCGAGAAGGTCAATGAAATCAAGTCTCTAACGATCACCATCGAATGCCGCTGAGCTGAGACGAATCCTGGGCATGGTCAACTTTCTAGCACAGTACATCCCCAATGAGTCGGCCATAACAGCACCACTCAGGCAGCTACTCAAGGACGACACAGGCTGGCTGTGGTGTGATGAACATACCATAGCCTTCCAGACAATCAAGGAAATGCTGACGACAGCTCCCGTGCTGAAACTATTTGACCCAAAAGAAGACGTTGTGATTCAAGCAGATGCATCCAAGGACGGACTGGGTGCTTGCCTACTTCAAGCAGGTAGACCAGTCGCATATGCATCAAAGGCACTTACTAAGTCTGAAGAGAACTACGCACAAATTGAGAAGGAGCTACTTGCTATCTGTTTTGCGTGCGATATATTCCGACAGTACATCCTGGGGCAAGATGTCGTGGTTGAAACAGATCACAAACCGCTGGAAATCATCCTGCGGAAGCCACTTCATGAAGCTCCTCTGCGCCTACAGAAAATGATGCTACGATTGCAGCAGTACCAGCTAGATGTCCAGTACAAGAAAGGCGTGGACATGGTGCTTGCAGACCCTCTATCACCAGCTACAGTGGACTCAGCCTCGCAAACCCTAGAAGACGGCGTCCTGGTCTGCGATATGGGCGAGCTCACAGACACCACAGAGGAGAAACTCAGCCAGCTAATTGCAGAGACAAAGAAAGACGGTGAACTGCAACTACTGGAAAAGGTCGTCGAGGATGGTTGGCCGGAAACGTTCAAGGCTACACCGCCCTGTGTCAGACGATTCTGGAGCATGAGGGACAGAATCTCATATTTGGACGGCATCCTCTTTGTGGGCAAACGTTTCATCGTACCCGCCAGCATGCAACAATATGTTCTACGGATTCTCCACGAATCACACCAAGGCGTGGAAAAGTGCAAATACCGTGCATCGGAATGTGTTTACTGGCCGGGAATCCAGCAGGACATTGAAGACATGGTCAAGCAATGCCCGGTGTGTCAGCGATTCCAAACAAGCAACTGCCGCGAAAATGATGACAAGCAGGAGCCGGCAGCGCGCATGCCGGTTACGAGTGATGACAACGTTCCCTCGGGCTCAGAGATTGTGGGTGACGGCATGACCCTACCGGAAGCAACGGATGATGGGGATCGATTGAAAAGTCCGGCAGAGCCTCGCTATCCGCAACGGAATAGAAAAGAAAAGAATGCAGATGGCTATGTTTACTACTAGTGCAACATGATTAAGAATCTAAACATGCATGCGCAGTTTACCTCCATGCATCAGCCTATTGGACTTCTCATCACATCCCATTCACAGTTCATCTATTACTTGACCTTGCCTAAATGCCTACTCTTAACAAAGTACACTACTAATCATTAGGGAAAGGAGAGATGTGACATATTCCACCAGCATTGAGTTAAGTACACGTTTCCTTGTTTGCACAACTGTATATCCATCTTGAATGTACAGGTACATGTTCGAGTTACATGTAGGATTAGCAATGCAGTGTAGCATATCACAGCCTATAGCCTACTTCAAGTGCTTTCCGTGTGTTCACATGTGTTGCATGTGTTGTGCTGTTATGGTGTTTATTTGTTTAGCTATTATGAGATTCATGGGTGACTATCTCATGAAAGGCAAGCAAGAAACTGACCTCGTCTATTTCATCCTGAAGGTAGGTTTGAGTTTGTCTTGTTCCATCCCCTGCTGTATGTGAAGTTGTACCCCATTATAATGTTTGACATGAAATGGAACAAAGCATGAGAGCCAAGGGAGGCTGATGTTTTGCCGCCCCCTCCAAGCTACTACATGTAGATGTAAGAATTTTTTTTCCATAACTCCGGAACTTCTTACGGTTGCTAATACTCGTATACTGGTGAATTCTGTTTGAGATATTGCTTTCTGCTGTACATGTTCAACCTTGCCCTTATTCTTTTAGACATGCCATGACCATGAAGAGCTACGCGATGAAGTGTATTGTCAACTCATCAAACAAACCACAACTAACAAGAGCACCAAGACGTGAGTTGACAGTTAATTGTGTGTAGAACTCTGTGAGCAATTAGAACCCTGTGAGTAGTCCAGGCCCTGTGAGCAGTCAAGGCACTCTGAGCAGGCAAGGCCCTGTGGGCAGTCACAGGTGCTGTAACCAATCATACGGTCACAACTGCCCTGTGGCCAGTCAAAAAAACCAACAACCAGTCACACTTTCCTCTGTACCCCAAATCACCAGAAAACAATCTGAAGGGATATTATTGTGCGTGTTACAGAGTCCACCGTGCCTGCTGTTATCTTGCCCTTTCTTGCTCTGGCTGTCTCTGTTGTCACTGCTGCTAAGATTGTTAGATTGTGTGTGTTTTTGTGTTGTACGTTGTGTGTTATGGGTGTGCAGGGATAGCTGTGCTCGTGGCTGGAGATTGATGATGATCTGTACTGCCTACCATGGCTGCTCAGATCTCCTGCGACCATTCCTCTACAGATACCTGCAGGTCACAGCACAAGATACCAAGAGAGAATTCCACTGTAAGAGTTTAGGAATTCCTATATCTCTTCTCTCTTCAGTCTGTACTCGCTCTATTTCTAAATGCAGAACATGTTTGACAGGGTTGCCATTGGAATACCGGTATTAGTGCAAAGCTAGCTTTTTGACAGGGTCGCCATGATAATATTGTAACATGCCATGCCGCAAAGCTTTTGTCCTCTGTTGTCCTGTTGCCCTGTTTCATGTAGCCACTGCGTCTATCTGTGAGTCAAACATGAAGCTAACATCACGTCTTGGTGGCCGAAAGGATCCACCAGGAAAGTTGGAGCTGAAGGCATTGGCTGTAAGTCAGTTTGCATTTGTTTCCTCTTACCCTCCCTCCCCTCTCCTTCTCTTTCCTTTCCAAACATTTGCGGACACTTTTCATTTCAATGGAAGCTGCTTTTCGTATGTGCAGTTACATTGAGCCATGGTGTTTTTGTCTTAGGCCGCGGTCACACCGAGCTCGATTCAGCCGTTCAGCCGAAACAAGCGCTTGTTTACGTCACTATTACCATGGAAATGGCTGAAAAATGTCCTACAAGCGACTTTCAGCCGTGGCTGACTCTCAGCCGTTTTTTTCGGCTTGTTTCAGCCACAGCTTGTACAAGCGGCTGAAAGCCGAAATTCAAAAAATAATTTGAGTGCGCTTGGAGCTCCGGAGCACACCATGTAGCTAGTTGACATGATGAACTGATATTGATCAGTGTTCTTTCTTGTGTCCGGGGAACCGTGCTATCCCTGTGCCTTTGTTTTGACCGTGAGTCTGTCTACCCCAACTACACTGTATTCAGTTTGATTTGGATTTTGTCCGACGACCATGGATTTCTGCCGCTGTGCCTCTAGACTGCTGCGTAGATTGTTGGAGCTGTGGTTTGAGGCCAAGACAAGGCACCACACTCACGACCGAATTCATGAAGAAAGCCGGGTACGAAGAACAGAGTGGATTGCAACTGAGTTCAATAACGGCAACCGGCGGGGCAGAAAGCTCGACATCAGGAAACACCACCCGAACCATCGCGTCCATGCACACCGAACAAATAAAAAGAGCACGACTTCGCAATTCAGAATCCGGGCTTCCTTTGCTTCTTCATCAAAACTGAACACTAGAACAAGTGCAGTTTTAGATCGCGAACGTATGCTCTTCAGTTTCTTGCAAACATTGGTGTGTTTCGAGATATTCAAAATTTGGCGGGTAAGAAAAACAAGCCATTCAAGCTTTGCACTCAAGGTCTGGTGTGACCGCGTCACAGGGATCACGCAAGCCAGCTGAGCGCCAGCGATAACAAGCCCAAAGTGGCTTGTTTCGGTGTGACCGGGGCCTTATGTTTGTGAATCCTTCCCGGAAGCAAATGCTGGTTTTTATGCATTCGTGTAATTACTCAGCGTTATTTGCAATAATAATAATAATAATTTCATTCTGAGGAATCAGTGTTAGTTTCCGTTTCAGCAGTGAAGACTTCCACTGATGTTGCATGGGTGCGCTGTGGCATGGGTTTTGTGCCTGTTGCGTGGGTGCTGTGCCTGTAGCATGGGCTTTGTGCCTGTTGGCTCTCAAGTCTCAATCCCCTACAAGTACACTAGAGCATACCTGAAGATGCTAGTGTGCGTGTGTGCGTGTGCGTGTGTGTGTGTGTGTGTGTGTGTGCGTGCGTGCGTGCGTGCGTGTGTGCGTGCGTGCGTGCGTGCGTGTGTGTGTGTGCGTGGCCTTCCTGTGACTATGGTCAGTAGTAATCATATTTCGGTTAACGTGATGCATTTGTTCTCATTGTTACAGAGTGGCCGGCATACAAAGAGGCAGATGTTCTATTTGCCAGGTGACATGACCAAGGTTGTCAAGATCAAGACGTGTACGGTAAGAGTGGTATTGCGATTACAGCAAGAAACAGCCAGATATCCCTGACTGCTTGCTACTTCAAGTACATGTATTGTGTGTTGCAATTTTATTGTCAAGTGCTTTATCTACAGTATTACTTGTACCATAGTGGTCCCTATTGTAAGCATCATCTCTATTCAATGTGCATGCTTCCAGTAAAACACATGCTGTCTACTCTGCATGCACATTGACAAAGGAAGGTGGCCGTCTCCATGCAAGGCACACCCATCCCTTTCCGCAAAGAAAATACCTTACTACGGACTGTACTCTGGACTCTGTACTGGATGTGTACAGAATATCACTCGAAAAGTAGCTAATGGATGAGACAAAACGTGATTAGCATTCCGCGCACGCAGACGGCATGCAGGCAGGCATACATCATTAGCATTCCGCGCACACAGACGGCATGCAGACAGGCATACACCACACGAATAAGGCTAGGTTGTGTTGGGTAAGTACTGGTGACGAGGAACTGGTTGGTCTTTGCCGCAAGGTAGGCACGAGCCCGTGAGGCTGCGAGTGCCGCAGAAAGGCAGAAGCCCGGAGGCTGTGATTGCCGCAGGAAGGCAGAAGCCCGGAGGCTGTGATTGCCGCAATGGAAAGGCAGGACCATAAGGCCATAATGCCGCAATAGAAAGGCAGACCAGTTATGAGTGACTCGCCACCAGGTTTATTGTACTTGAAGTAGGAATGATGCAATGTAGTATTAATGGTTAGTGGTGGGATGGTGGGTCAGCAAAAGACAAAGGCAGCAGGATGCAAGTCGGGCATGAGCCAAAGCAGAGAAGACTCAAAACTGAGAATGGCAAGGAGATGTGCCACGTTGCGGACTCGGACCCGATCAAAACTGAATTAATTATTGTGATGGCGTACGCATAAATTAATGTGATGCACAGCAGGCGGTCTTGCCGGTCGCGGCAAGGCGCGCTAAACAAGTGCCGCGGCCAGAACCGTAGAGGGCGCTGTTGCGCAGCAGATACGTAGTTGCGAGATGTGCGCCTACGCTAAACTGAATTCATTACATGAATACATCATTGAAATTATTTGAAAAAAGTCAAAGAGTCGTCAATAAAGGCACATCAGCACAGGTTGGAGGGAGGTTGAAAACTGAGACGGGTGTGTATGAAACAGAGAGTGAGGTGGTATTATTACTGCATTCTTCTGATCCTTTTACCATGAACTTCAAGTACTGTAAACCGTGAAATTATTGCCATGGTCTAATTTCTGCGAAATTCGCGACCGCGTGGAAATCGCGAAATTTAGACAGCGTGAAAAGGAGATGCAAGAATGCCACAGGTTTAGCAAGAAATGCCATTCTGCATTCGCAAAATTAAAACCTCGCAAACCTGTCCGGATTCTGAAAACGCGAACTAAAAACGCCGCGAAAATTTCACGCTTTACAGTAACATGTACCCCGTGGCACACTGTCTCCCTCTGCTTATCAGATCGCCCGTGACGTCATCCGGGATTTGTGTGGAATGATGGGTCTGACTTCTGAGCTGGATTGCGATGAATATGGACTGTATGCTGATCTTGGAAAACGTAAGTCATGCTGATAGTAGTAGTAGTGAAGTCATTTCTTTTCAGTACCAACCTTTACCTCTGAGGGGATTTCCCGCTTTGTAATTAGGTGTGAGTAAAAGATGCTGTGGCACTCATGTAAACTCAGAAAAATGTTGTTAATCGCTGATGTCACCGAACTTCAAGAGAACAACATCACCACATTACCGTAAAGTACAGCGAGAACGCCGTACCTTGATTTTACACCCAGGGAAAGGAAAACTGTATGGAAGAGAGCAGCTAAACTTGTATAGGAATGGACTTGGACTTGTATAGTGAGTGTGACAGTGTGAGAAGCTTACTCCACTAAGGTCACATTTATCATGTTTTCATGTGGAGCTCTCATCCACTCAAAGGTAAATTGAGTACGGATTAGCTCTCATCCACTCCAAGGTAAACTGAGTACGGATTAGCTGCGCACAACGTGCAATGTATGTACAAGGCATGTGTCATATGACCTACAGACAGGACACCACCTCCACAACGCGACCACAAAAGTACGAGAATGGTGGGGGCCTCTCGCGGTACTTTGCCCGTGCTGTCATTTGACAAATTGTCATGTTCCACCACCCCTCTGGGCCTCTTCAGTGTTTGCTAGAATGCTCAAACAATGATCATGAAACTAGAATATTTCTTGTTTCTTTACCATTCTCTTTGATACAGAATCTCTTCCACTTCCCATCCAGCCGAACGACTACATCCTGGACATCACAACCATGTTGGAACGGCAAAAGCTGGAATACTGGCTCTTCTTTAAAAAGATTGTTTGGTTCCGTCCAATGCGTTTGGAGAACGCCCTTTTCATCAATCTCTTGTATCACCAGATTCGCCCAGATGTCATGCGTGCTCACTTGATTGTTCTGGATGGTGGACAGCTTGACCCTGATGTACAACTACGCGTGTCACTGTTAGCATCCTTACAGCATCGTATTCTTGGCCAGGATCAGCCGCCCACACGGTGAGAATCCTATTGATGGACAGTACAGTAAAACTCTCCTAATCCGGACGCCCCTTATCCGGCGCGTCCGTCTACCAGGCACCTTTCTGACCCATCTAGAGTCCCAGAATGTGTCTTTTCAACAAAAAACGGCCACAAAACTTTGATTGCCATAAAAATGTTTACTTGCTTGCATTTTTAATTTTGTGTATTGAATCATGTGACCACCTGTTGCAGAGCACAAGTTTCAAAACTCCTACCGCCCAGCCTGGCACACATGTCAACTCCTGACCAATGGGTTTCAGAAGTAGCACAGGAATGGGACGAAATTGCCAGCAGAATCCTTCCAATGGATGCCAAGGCCAAGTATCTTAGTAAGTACATGTAGTGTATTTCGTTGTAATGGAATGGTGTCGGTATAGGGCTTGAAGATGATGTCAGGAGTCAATAAATAACGACTTCTGGCTCGAATTGGATCCACTCTGACCGTAGTGAAATATGGTATTTGATTGGCAGGTTCCTCATGTGTCATGCTGGTGTGACTTGTTGGGTACCAGCAGTGGGTCCCCGGCCCGAGCAACCCGGGCAAGAAGGCCCTGTCCAGTTAGCAGCAGTGGGTCTCCGGCCCGGGCAACCCGGGCAAGAAGGCCCTGTCCAGTTAGCAGCAGTGGGTCCCCGGCCCGTCCCCGGCCCGGGCAAGAAGGCCCTGTCAGTTAGTACTGGCGGATAAGTCACTCCATGCTGCAAAGGCATCCACCAAAACATGTGTGGTTTCAAAAGTCAGCATTGCCATAACTCCGGTTGTGACATAGCGCTTTCAACTCCTACAGGAATGCTTACGAATACTCAGGATATCACCCTGGTATTATCATGAAATTGCCATGGACACTAGAGTAATTAAAGCGGGCTTGCTACCACCCTTTTGTAAGTGCCATAGATGACTTCTTTTTATCTGCCACAATGGACACAACATGGTGCGAAAATCAGCAAAAGGATGAAATGCAAACAAAGGAGCAGAATTGCTTCTGTACCAAGGACTCGGAGAACTTGTCGAGGAGAAAGCGGATACTGGGAAGCACAATGTATGCAATAGGAATCAAGCGACAAAGGAAAACAACAATTTTGCGTCCAACAAATCTGATGATCATGCATCTGATTATGATGTCATTGCTATACATGCGCAGCGTGCGCGCCACTCTCCCACGCGTGCTATCCAAATCTTGCTTTGCAGAAAACTCCTTTGTCACTTCTGTTTTCAGACGACTTGACTGTTCACTGGTTTGTCTGTCAGTTGTCAATTTTCCCTTCCCTCCCAACCCCATTCGACTGGGGATCACTATCTCTCCGTCACTGTCACCATAATTTCCTCAATCACAGTGTCAGTACAACTCTTGTCAATATACTTATATCGGGTGAGGGCAGTCTATCTCCGCAGCTGGCTCATTTCAATTACTACCGGTCGCAGCTCCTGCCCACGGCAGGCCGACCGTCTCTCGTTCACACTCTGTGTGCACCAGGTCACAGCTCCTGCGCAGAGCAGGCCGACCTGTCAGTCTCTCTCTTTCTCTCACACTATGTGTGCACCGGGTCACAGCTCCTGCGCAGAGCAGGCCGACCTGTCTTTCTCATGCACGCCAGCTGCTCCGCCCAATATCCCTGATATGCCAACCAGAAAACAATGTGTTCTGAGCCGGGTGCATGCCTGTATGTGGAGAGTGCGTTAACCGGGGTTCAAACCATGCTTCTATTCAAGTTATGCTTCTATTCGAAACATGCTCCTACGTCAACATCATAAGTCTGCACTGTGCAGTGCATACTGCCATGCATGTACGTGCACATGTACTTTGCAGGGAGTGGCTTCTATTCAAAACATGCTTCTGTGTCACGGCGCGCTTCAAAAAACGGCTTCTATTCGAGTCATGCTTCTATACAGGTCATGCTTTTATACGCGACACTACAGTACCTCAAGTACACTGTGGCGTATGACTAATTGAAGTGCATGTACTTTGGAGTACTTCCAGAGTTTTTGAAGAAGAGGTTGATGCAACACACAATTTTCCAGAGTTTTTGCTAGTTTTGAGTACACAGTATGGTAACTATGGTAACGGTGGTATTGGTATACACTGTGCCTGTAGTCTTTCCTAAAACCAAGAGTAGATGAAAACCAAAGTGTGCAGCTTGGGGCCTTTTCTGCTATGGGTGTCTGTCACGGCGAAATTCCGTGATTACATCATATTTGGCCCAGATCTGATGCGGGAAATGGCGTAGTGCGTACAACTGAGCTGCAGTTGTGCAGAAAGAGACCTGCTTGAATCCTGCTTGTACGCCCTACATCACTAAAATGATGTAATCACGGAATTTCGCCGTGACAGCCACCCATCCGAGCTGCACACTCTGGTTTTCATGTACTCTTGCTAAAACTGTACATTCTGTACATTCTGTACATTCTGTACATTCTGCACATTCTGCACATTCTCCTAGGTGTGGCCATGACTTTCCCATTGTACGGATCGTGCTTCTTCCCGATTAAGAATGCCTCCGATTCCAGAGTGCAAGGTGAATCCATCATGGCGATTAACAAGTCTGGTGTACATTTCCTCAGCTACAAGACTAGGGTAAGTATCATTGTGTGTAGCACACTGGCGGGCTATGGTGATTGCTGAGTGGCACTTTGAATAATGGGTTCATTGTTGATGACTTTCACCGGATAAACTATGAGTGCTTACTTTTTCTACATTATTATCCAAGCGACTTGTACCTACTTTGGAAGCAACCAACTTCCATGATGCACAGGAATGTACTAGTACAAAAAAAGGAATATCCACTGCATTGCACCAACACATTGTAACATCCGCTGCATTTTACTAACACATTGCAAGCCACATGCGGAGATATTACTGACTTTCAGTGAACGACTGAGGTGGGATTTTGAATTCATGTGGCTTTGCACCATTATGAATGAAGCTGTGGGAAGCCTCGCCATTGCTACTATGCTTTGTACCAGGATAACGAATTTAGTGACACTCGAGCCGCTGCTGTTGCTGTTGCTGCTGCTGCTGCTATTGCTGCTGCTATTCCTGCTGCTATTGCTGCTGATAATTTATCATTGCTGTTGCTGCTATCATCTTTGGTGTATTCCAGGAAACACTTGTGACGTACACCTTCGGCGAAATTGTTTCCACAAGGAAGCTAAGATCTAACTCTGGCCGCCAGTACCTTGACCTGAAGTGTGGCAACTTGATGGTTGTCAAAGTCACTCGATGTGAAACACCCTATGTAAGTTGCATTGTCTTATCTGTTCATCATGGTCAACTTAACCTACTAGGAAACTGACATGCATCACCCTTTAAGAGCCGCCCCATACTTGAATGCAAAACTTCAAAAGATCGTAACTCAGTCCAATCTCGCTCAAATCCAGTGATCGAAATATCCAGGGCGAAGAGAAAACTCTCATCTGTCGGGAGAAACAATCCGCGAAGCGCTGCGAGCAACGGTTCTTGAGATAAATCACTCGTAAGTTGAGCCGCGATCGCGGCAATTTCAAAAGCACGCAGTGCGACTTTAGTATTGAGAATTTTGAGACTTTTCGTCACGCTGGTTTACTCGAATTTGCACGGGTTTCACTGTTGATACTAGGGACCTTTCGCACCACGCGTACGGATACGAAACGAATGCTGATTCGTCACCTGGGTTCGAGGATTCGTCAGAGTCGCCGCGGAGAGCTCGTTTTCACGAATGAAAGCCTCTTCATTCGTGGCACGCTCCGAATCCGCCAGGTACACATTTTTTGCAAGGTACACACATGTTTTGCCAGGTACACATTTTTCCCCTTGATTCCATGATCCATGCACGTGTGCGCGATCACACCCGTACGCCAAGGTACCGGCCGTATTCGTAGTTGCCATGCAGATTTGCATTACGACTTGCGAAACCTGAATTCTGTTTTCAACGAAACGATTACGAGCCGAATCAAACTTTCGTTTCGCATTCGATTCGTAGCAAATGCGAAAGGTCCCTATTGTCAAGAGTACACAGCGAAAAAATGGGAACTCCACGATCGAGTAAAATGAAATATCTGGAGCGGGACGCAATTGGACGCATTTGGGGCATTTTTCGTACTGTCACTGCGATCTAGCGCTGGATAGACGGTGTGCTGGCTATCATGATCCTCATTCTCTTCCTCTCGCGGAGACCTTTCCAGGAAGCCCTAGGGCGCGTTTGGTTGGTACGAACTAGAACAGGATTCACCAGAACAGCGCGTTTGGTTGGGACTGCACCTGTTCTGGGTCGGCCAGAACATGTTCTGCTTGCTCCGGCCTCGAGGCCGGAGCAGACCGAGCAGTTTCACTTTTTCACAGTGAAACCTGGCGGGAACATCGATTTTGGTCCCAAATGATCACGTGCATACGCTTTTGGGTTGGACTCATCGTACCGTACAAAGTGACCATGGTGACCCATACACATTTTGAAGAATGCACCAAGTTTGGCACATTTTCCCACAAAAATGTGCTCTGTTTCTGGAGTACCGTTTGGTTGGCACGAGGCTGCTCCATGTGCACCAGCTGTTCAATCCTGTTCTAGATCGTACCAACCAAACGCACCCCTAGATTGCGAGGATTGAGTGAATAGAACTGAAGCTATGATCCAAGGAACACGAAAAAATGCAGAATTGTGAAATTTTCCTCACCACTGTCAACGTATATATACGTCATGACGTGTGCTCCTGCCCCACTGACGACGTATATATACGTCCTCAGTGTACGTCACGTTTGTACTGATGCCTCAACAACAGTGGGGCCTGAAATTGCGCAGCCGATTGTTTCTGGAATTTTCATGCGTACGTACACCGGTACGCAGTATGCACTCGGCGGTTTAGGGAATACTTCACACTATTTTGATAGCTGGATTGTCTTGCCAGTGAGTGTCTAAATCAGAGAATGAGCAGTATTGCATTCTCCATCAATATGACTTTACCTGTGCTGCGTGCGTACGTACGTACGTACGTACGTACGTACGTACGCGTGCGGCCAGTGATGATTCACCCTGGGATGCGCCGAGCACAGTGAGCCAACCGCTGCCACTGCACCGGCTGCTATTATAGCTGATGCAGTTGCTGTGGTTGCTACTCCAGTTACTCGACATCCTCACTGTCCATCACATGGTTTTGTCTTGAAGTAGGTAGGGCTGCTGGAGGATTCAAGCTTTACGAGGCGCCCAAGAAAAAGAAAGACCCATTCTGGATCACGAAGTCGCATATGATGCAAGCGCCGTATAAAACGAGTTGCTGTACTCTAGTCTAGGTTGCCGTAGAACACCAAGATCATATCAAGCATGTTATAATGACATTTCTCCATTCTGAAGTCAACACTGACCAGTTATAGCACTGCTTGCCATTGCTTGTCTGATCTTTGTCGTCAATTGCCTAAACTGAATGAATTTTGAGGAAAAATCGCCAAAAGTCGCATATCTAAATATGGTGTTATGAGTCTCGTACAATGAAATCCTACAAAATTTCTTTGGATTCACAGTGCATATGTCCATACCCAACATCTCCAATCAATTTTGGACCAGAATATGCATTTTCAAAAATTGCCGTTTTGGCCCAGTGGGAGGTGATTTTCCGGTCAGGGCTGAAAGGGTTAAAGGGTTCAGTAAGAATAAAGGACCAATAAGTTACGAGTTATGACTAACAGTCCACCAAAGTAGCGAGATAATACAGTCCACCAAGGTAACGAGATGTTATACAGTCAGGTATTGCGACGACAACAAGGCACAACACTGACAGGGACATTTGGTGGACTGTTAGTCATAACTCGTAACTTATTGAACTTAGAACCCCGTTGGAACAACCAACTTCATTGAAACTTACTTCCTCCGCGTCATTAAAATTGTCGCTTCGCACATCGCAATATTTGAGACTTGGCTCGTCTTTGTCGACTTTCGGAATCGCTGTTTTCTGTGTTCGAACACTGGTGCGACCCTTCCTGCGCAATGTCGACTTGTCACTGAAGCCGTGGTGGTCTCGGACTTTGTCGGAGCGCTCTTCAGCACCAAGCAAATTCATCGCGCTCCGCACTATTCCCCCCAGAGCGCATTTCGTTTTCTGGAGTTTGTGCCGTCCCACATCGTTCGCGTGGGCATAATCAAGACTGCAAGCTCCGGTATAAGAATCCTGGTATCTCTCCTGAATACGAAATGCTGAAGTTGACGATGGCAAGAACAAAGCGGTCTCAAATTCCTAAAATGCGCTACTTGTGGCGCATGTGGCTGCGAAGGTAGCAGGTCTGAAAACACCAACAAAATCAGGGAAGCGCTTGCCAAGGAAAGAAGGTGCGGAACTGCTTACCCTATCCCGCTGGAAGGTCGTTACAGTGTACTTGAAAAATGCTAGCTTGCCTTCATCGCCTGCCACCGGGAGGCATGGATCGCTTGAAAACGAAGTTTCTTGACCTGAACTTGACCGCGCGTCTTGTTCAGCGTATTGTTGAGTGCTGAAGGGTCTGCCTCAAACTCTGATGAAGACGTCGACCTTAGCTGCAATTGCAAAGAAGTGGGGCCACAAACTAAAGCTTGGTCCGTCGACAATGCTCTGCCTCAATTTCTAGCTAATTTCTTTGCCCTTCGAGTGGACAAAATAAATTCGAAAAATCGCTCTGGGAAGCGACAATTTTAATGACGCGGAGGAAGTAGTAATCCTTTCTTCTTACTTTACAATACTACTGGCTCGACATCCGAGTTTTAATCAGCATCAGAGTATGTTACACATTCTATACTGTGCAGTCTCCGTCAATTTGGCCCATTTTGATATCTCAGTTAGTCAGGTAGGGGAGGGAGTGGATAGGGTGGCATATGTAGCACTTTGGGGGTACTGGAACAGTTCTGCCTTATGCCTGACTAGGTATGTGAGCATGTACTTTTCTTACCCTATCAAGTTCAGGACCTGGCATTCATGACACGATACACTGGCCAATTTCATAGGCTCTTTTTCTTACTGAATTGGTCTGGATAGGGCCTGAAAAAGTATGTAATCAAGCATGAACTCTGAAGGTCATGGTGGCTGGATGTTGCCGAGAACTCAGCTTGGGAGATGTCGACCCCGGGGATGTGGTCATGCGCAAGATCAGCCATCATAAGATTCATAACTGACAGAGTGTGCTGGAAAAATAGCGATACTTCCTGCCTTGTTTCGGGCGTAACTTGAGTTCTATTCAGCTAATCCTCACATTAATTGGCTTACTGGAACGCTCTCTGCGAACAGAGCTGGATGAGCTCAAACGCAGTACCACTGAGATCACATAGCCAACACTACAAAACTTCATATAGTCCTAAGGGCTGGATATGAGAGCAAATTCTCTCTCCGTCGGCCAAAATGCACATTTCCATTTTTCACCTAGTTTCTTTTAATGCTGCCCCCCCCCCCCCACACACACAGAACTGGCCTGGGAAACTCAGCATGTCAGAAAAGAGGACCCCCACATGCTGACTTGTGCTGTATACATAGCACTCGTAAGCACTTCTCCTAACTCCGCCATGACGTCATTCAAATACCCTCTATAGATAGAATTCCGTGAAGAATTGACCGACTTACGAACGTTTGAGTGCATGTAGCTCCATCATGCACCAGTGGTTGGTTCAAGTACATACCGTAGTTTTAGTGCCGTCAATCAGGCATGATGAGCTGATTATACTCATGATTGGAAAGCTGGCTATTGGCCATGCCCTGGGCATGGATCACGTGTCATGTAAGAAAACTACGTTTGGATGATTGTGAAGCATGTATGTGGTGGCAATTACGCATGGCAATATACATCAGCAAGGCTTAGGACTTATTAGAATATTTACTGATAATGGAATGGTTTGTTGTGTGATTGTTTTCCGGCTGTGTGCTGTTGTAGGGTCGTGAAATTGGTCCACTGATTGCACTCTACAGCAAAATGCACCTGGAGGAGAAGCGCAGAGGTGAAGACCAACAGGGTATCTTCCGTGCTGATGCTGCACTGGCGGCAGGTACGTACTAGATGACGGCAAGATGATGGCTGTCATCAGCGGTTTTTTTTATGTGGAATTCTGCAATGGTCTTGTATTCGTGCCAAGATATGCTACTAGCGATGGATGTGGCCTTATTTTTTCTTGAAAATCCTTCATGGTTTGTTTTGCTAATAGATGGCTAAAGATTACTCTCTTTTTCTTAGCTAACATGATTTTATGACTATTAGAACATTACTGCAGATTTCCTCTCTACCCAACCTATGCTTGTAATAACTGCTTATTTCCGTATTTATTTCCTTATCGGTATTGCAGACGAGTTTGGGGTCATGACACTGCACTTGTTTATGCTGAATTCAGTCCTGTCTATAAAGTAAAAGAGTTCAAAACTATCTTTCTTTTCATCCTGTTCATCCAAGCAAAGTAATTGCTAAGAGATAGCTTCCTTTCTGATGCTTCTAACTAACCATCGACATCAGATACAATATTTCTCCTGATTTTTGAATTGAGAATTTTGACTTGCTGCTTTAGTTTCGTTCGACTGCTGATTTTTGCGCCATGTATAGCCACATATGTTATCTAACTTCTCCGTTTGGTTTGGGTGTTTGCAAATCCACACCGAATTGCACAGAAGATGCTAATTATGAATGATTTTGCTTTTCAACTACTGTGTTGGAATGATATAATTTAATTTTCATCAATTTTGTGAAAATGTGCTTCCAGTTTACACTTTGCCGTATGCTTATACCTGGTGTAGAACTTGTGCAGGGGGGGGGGGGGGATGGTCGACGGGAGCTTGTACAACCAGACAAGTGTGTTAGCACCCACCAGCGCCAGAACGCAACCCAATATTTTGTCTTTGCTGGCCGGACGGTTATCAAAACGTATCATTGGATGAACTGCATGACTCCTGATGCAAAGTACATGTACAGTAGAACTCCTCTGATCCAGGCACTGCTCGTGTAGGAATTGCCCGAAACGCAGAAAATAAACGTATGCCGTGACTCGTGACCAGGGCTAGGTAGTCGTACCCAGACCATGCAGTTGGTGTGGGTACGACTACCTGCTCGTGAGTATCCACCCAGCAGTCCCACGATCCACGCGGCAAAGTGTTGTTTTGTTCAGGTCATCATGAGTCAAAGTAGACTCATCATACCGTAGGGGAGGCGATAACAGGAAATTCGCATCTACGGTACTCGTCAGATTTTTGTGCAAAATTACTGAACTCTGTTTCCCAACACAGGCAATACTAGTATACTGCAAATATCCGCAAAAAAATGTTTACTACGAGCGTATGGCCCGAGGGCTAACCTGGAGGGCAATAACATGCCATAATGGCCTCGCAGCCATCATACAAAAACATATACCGGTATATGCACTTATTGTACCAAGAGTTAAAGCTCCTGGGAGCTTATTTTACTCTTGATTGTACCATGCAGCTTCATCTAGCATGCACTGCCTGTCGAAAAAAGCGAATCCCCAAACTCAAACGTTGCAAACTTTCGCGATGTGAACTCTTGGCAATGGTAGGACCAATAAGAGCAATGGGCAGACTACAGAACGGCAAGGGCCAGTCAGCAACAGTGACACACTGGTATGAGAAGTCCGCAGAATCATTGCCAGTAAGCAAGCGATCGCAGTTGGAACGATAGAATAAAAACTGATTTTTTCGCAAGTTAAATTCTGCATGTGTACAGGAATAAATCCGCCTCAACAACCAGTACAGTGGTACAGTGGCAAAGCTGAGCCTCAACAACCAGGACAGTGGCAAAGCTGAGGCTCAACAACCAGTACAGTGGCAAAGCTGAGGCTCAACAACCAGTACAGTGGCAAAGCTGAGGCTCAACAACCAGTACAGTTGCAAAGCCTCAACAACCAGTACAGTGGCAAAGCTGAGGCCAGCGAACGAAGCAAGCCGGGAGCGGGAGAGCAAACAAGAGACATTGGGAGTGATCACCGTTGTCATGATATGATTATGACATTGTCTCTTGTGACCAACGAGTAGGGAAGACAAACAGAAGCAAATAAACACCAGGCAATGCTGGTTTCAAAAGTTATCATGCAGTCCAGAAAGGTATAAAAACACACCCAGCAGGTAGGAAAAGAAAAGATGTGTGCTATTTGTTAAGGTATACCTTATACCACTGATCCATGTGCCAGCAATGGCGGAACTAAAATATGATAAAAACCATGAGAAAAAGGTCATTGGTACGCGGTAACTTGCCGCCGCACGGAAAGAGCAGATATAAACATCTGTAAAGTACTTTTTAAGTATGTTTCGAAATCCTTGAAATCCTTGCCACTACAGTATGAAATCCTTGCCACTACAGTATGAAAATAAGTAGAATATGATATTGTTATTGTCGACATGCCATGAAGCTTCCATTTCATTACTTGTGTTGCAAACTTGTGAAAATCTAGAGAGTGAAAGGTATTAGGAAGTGGTCAATGAGAACGTTACTACCAATACCTATGCGTGCCAGGAGCTGCTGCTGCTGCTGCTAATGCTATGCCATCGGCACTAGCGCTATCCATCAACCGTCAGTTCAACTTGCATGCACTATGCGCGCCTCACAGCAGAGGGTGAACAAATCCGGCTCTTGAGACTCTTGCTCCGTGCTAAGTTCAAAGTCAAGAGCAGTTATCTCTTCAAACGGAGTAGTCACCGGACGCTCGGTTTCTGATGTGTGCAGCTCATCTGAGAAGCCAAATGATTCAGCAAACTCTGACGTAAGCTGAGTAAGCTGATAATTAAGAAATGCTTGCTGGACATCATCCAGTGCCGGCAATGGTTCCATTTCGCAAGCTTCCTCTTCTTCCGCCGGATGTTGTCCACCAAGTGCAGCATTATTCTTCTGGTTAGCAGCTTCTAGTGGGCCTACCGTCCATTCATTCCATGCTGCTAGATCGGCTTCAGTCAGCTGCTGAGTGGCATCGGCAACACGTGAGTCTCCCGTCACTGCAGCAAGTACAGTATTGCTAATACTGATCACATGACCCATGTAGCCACGTCTACGACCACCAGCAGTATGTTGCTCCTCTTCATTTTCAAGCGCTGCTGTTGCAATACGTTTCATGAACTGGTTGTCAACTAACAGCAGCTCAATCAGGCTCTTTGCTCCAAACTGACAGTCTCGCCAACGCATGCAGTGAGTCACAAACTGCTCAAACTGGCCATGGAGAAAATTGTTCCACACGTATTCCAGGAACAAGTCTAAAAAAGTGCCACAAATATTCAGCGCAATGAACTCATCTGTGAACTCAGTAACATCCAGCTGCAGACACGCCATTAGTAGCTGGATAATTGTGAAGCGTGCAGCTCCCAGTGGGATAGTGGCGGCGGCGGTGGCCACGCTGCTACCTGCACTAGTACAAACAGAATGTGATGATGGTGATGGTGGACTGATCAACACTTGATGCAGGTTTGGCAGCCATTTTGTCAGTCTTCTAACTACCGAACTAGCTGCTTCCTTATGTGTAATGCTGGATGATTCTTTGGGTGAGCCTTCAGATGAGCAGCCTTGTTGTGATTGTAGCATAGCTTGAATGACACTTGTACCTCGAAGGACGACATTCGCGCAAAGTGGCTCTTCAAACATGTTCCCTAGAAGTCCTTCAAGTGTTTCCTCTGACTCAAGAACTTGCAGCAAAGGATCACTATGCGCTGCTGCTGCTGTTACTTCAGAGGCACGGGCTAGGTGATCATAGCAGACACGAATCATCTCTGATAGTGCACGAGATGCATTCCGTTGTTTATCCTCATCACACTTGATCGAGATCATTGCTACTAGTCGCTCAACAAGACACGCATCTTTAAACCAGTCCACAAGCTGGCTACGCAAATGGAATGATTCACATGTAATCAGGAAACTTAACAGCAGATCCATAACAGCCGATGTATCGATGTGCTTCAGCAGTTTGTCCAGACAGCCTGCGTTATTGCGGACAAACGCTAACATGGAATTCGTCTTGCACTGAAGTATACAATGCATAGCCCGTGAGAAGAAGCTGGCCAATAGGGAATTCAGAGGTGCATTTTGATCCAGGAATGACCATAGCTTTTCCAGCAGTACATTATTACTAGCCACTTTATCAACGAGTGTGGTGGATGGTGCTTGGTCAACTCCAAATAAGCTTGCTGCTATCTGAGCCCGTCTGTATTTGGTGTTTTCAGGGAGGTCAGATGGCGGCTCTGCAGTAACCAGAGAAACTATTTGCTCGAGGTTGTCCTCCCGTGTCAAAAAATCAAGGAGACTGCGATTGGTCTTCAGTTCGTCTAGCAATCCCTCCTCATCAAGAATAGATTCTAATTGGCAATCTTCGGATGACAGAAGACCGTCTATCGCCGACGGCGGCTGCATCCTGAGCTTCCAATACATCGTTGCTGGGGTGCATCGAGGACGTTCAAGCAAGATTGGCCTTCTTACACGCTATGTCTAAACGCCACGCTCGGCGGGCAACAGCACAGTACCTTCCATCAATACATACCACGACCAGTTACTTCAACCACTGAAAGCCAAAGCTTTCTCAACTCAACAAAACTGGAAAGCAAAACCAATTTTCGTAGGTAGATTCATCGATGCCTGCAAAATATCGAAGCTTCACTGGCAAAATCGGGCTTTGCCTAGCTGCATGCATGCATGCAGTGGTACGCGGTCGCCATCGAAATGCATCATCCGGATCCACAGTACAGGCGCAAGGCTTAAGGCAGGGCACAGTTATACTTATAGTCGCGTTGTAGGCGATGCGGTAGATCAGTAGATCTACGCGGTGCTGGAGCAGCGGAGGTGCACATGTAGTACGAGTCGTATGTGCGGGGATCCCCCTGGCCTAGCGCCTGGGCGCGGTAGACCATGATTCATGAATGCCATGATGTCAAGGCCCAAAAGGAGACTGCGATTGGTCTTCAGTTCGTCTAGCAATCCCTCCTCATCAAGAATAGATTCAGCCAGCAGGCTATCACTGCTTATTTTATTTTTTATTTTTTTAGAGCATGATAATTTGTTTCGTATTTGACGACTTCCTCGAGAGTATGGGCAAAATAGACACAATTACGAGTGCAACCTCAACAGCACCGGAAGAAAAACGAGCAAAAATGATGGCTGTGAAAACAGTCGAGAGAGCAAAAATGGCTGTGAAGACAGTCGAGAGAGCAAAAATGGCTGTGAAGACAGTTGAGAGAGCAAAAATGGCTGTGAAAACAGTCTAGTATGGAGCCTCGGGAGGGAGCTTTAACCGATGCTGCTCAGGCATGGCAACCGCAAATCGGGCCGAGTCGTTTGCATCTGAGGGCACTCGGTGCCGATGGCCTCGCAGACTGGCAACAGCAGCACGGATCATGAGGGTGAAGCTGAGCTTACATCGGATGTAGGAGATTGTGGCAGAGTACGGGCTCCTGCTTCTTGTCGGCGAGCATCGATGCCAGCCGAGCATAGAGTGCTGTCGCAGCTTTGCCATACGCTTGCCGACGCTTCTCCTGCTCATGTCGCTTGTACACAGCGGACAAGGCAAACTTGGCGTTGGTGGGGGCGTGGGGGTTGAAAACCCGGACATCAAAGTACGAACGCTCGTACCGACCTCCCCAGACTCCACTGGCACCGATGTCAAGGCGGGCGTTGTCTTCAGTTGAAGCCGACCGTAGCGTCATCCTCTCACCTGTCAGCGGCTCTAGCAGCGGTTCCACCACAACTTGGTGCGCAACTTCCTTCATGATGGATGCTGTGAGGTCGCGTACCTCAGCGGCGTTGTGGCGGAGCGGCTAGGGTAGCCGCCAGTTGAGCAGGAGAGAGCATGGGCCATGGTGAATGATTTACCACAGCTGCAAGCAGAGGGCAACCGCTTCAGAGGCCAGCCATATCGCAATGAAACCGCACCGTGAAATGCGCCCTTGGATAGCATGAAGCCAAACATCTTCAGTGGTTTGCATGACGGTCTGCTCTCTTCCACAGCGACTAGGGTCTCCTTCTCCCTTACGGAGTGGATCCTGAGCACCTTCGCCTTCTCTGCCTTCATGGTGTGGTGAACATCACCTAGGTCCGTGTTTTGCACGATGCTCCGCTCCACCAATGGCTGCGTGATGGTCCTGGAGTCATCAAACTGGCTGGCGAGATCGCACGGGTTGATTAGACCCATGCCCCCTAGGCGACAAGGCAGAGCGAGGAGAGTGCGGGTGATCTGATCAGGAGCGGGGTGTCCTGTGAGCGCCGGGATAAACTCGCCGTGGATAATCTCCTCCAGTGGCTGGAAGTTCTCCGTCGCTTCTGGCATGGTGCGAGCGAGGGATGTCCACTTACCCTTCAGCCCTGGCGTGAACGCCGTGTACGCTGCTTGTGGTTGCGATTGAGCGTACCTGGTGAGGACTTGCAGTTCCTTCACCCATTCCGTGACCTTCGCTGCAACAAACTGCTTGCAGAAAGCAGCAGTGCCCAGTCCCGCACCCAGGTGACGGCAACCGTCTTGCATGATTGCGATGTTAGTCCCATGGAACACTTCCTCCGTGGTTTTGGCAAACTGTGGTTTCACCAGGAGAGTGGACTTGGAACCATTGATGAAGTATCCGTACTTGTGGCCCTCCTCCTCGAGCGTGTTCCATCATACACGCATATGGCCTGCTGCTGTGGAATCATCCGCAAACCAGATATGCTGTACCGCTGAGCTGCTCGCCGCCTTCTGCACGAGTGGGAGGAGCCCAATGGCATACATGGGCATTGCCATCGGGTCTCCCTGGGTGGTTCCCTCCTCAGAAAGAAGACACTCCCCATCGACGAACAGCCGTGCGGGATGCCGGTAGGTGTTAGTGACGGCACCCGCGATGGCCGGACAGAGGTGGCGGATGGTGTGCAAGCACACACTGCGGTTCAGCCTGTTGAACGCATTGCTCACGTCTGCTAGGAGGACTGCTTTGGTCTCTTCCTCGTTCCATAGGTGCCGCATTGCGTGGATTGCTGCTTCCACACCACATTCTTGGCCGCCACACAGCTGAAGCGACCCGACCACCTGTTGGATCTGCTCTCCGAGTATGGTGAGGATGGCTTTGCCTACTATCCTTCTGAGGACTTCACAGATGCCGATTGGGCGCACCCCGGGCTTCTTATCCAGAGGCACCAAGCGGCATGCCGTGAATGACTCGAAGGAAATTGGGTTGATGATTCCGGTGGCGATGCGCTTAGCGCAGGCGGCGATGCTATCACAAAGCTGGTCGGAGGACGCTCCAAACGAGGTGCACAAACGTTTCCAGCTGGTAGAGTCCATGCCGGATGGGCCCGCTGCTCCATTTGCCCTTAGCACCGATTGCCGAATGATGTCTCTGTTCAGAGCTTCGAACAGCACCGGGTGCGGCAGTTCAGGGTAGGGGCCGATGATGAGGGCATCTGCATGCATGGGTTCCGCCGGCAGGTGCTTTTCTTTCAGCGTTTGCCTCACGGTTTTACCATCAGCGGAGGAGTCCAGATTTAGCAGCCCACCCGAGGGCGTTGCTGTCAGGGACTGGAGAGCTGCGCCCAGTTTACCATTTGTGATGAGGGTAGCGAAACGTCGCGCGTCATCTGGACTTTGGGCCCGTTTCCCGCCACGTTCCTTGGTTAGTTGGCGCTGGATGGTACGTGCTTCCCGGAGTTCATCGATGTTTCCCTCGTTCCATAGCTGCATTCGTCGGTTCAGACATTCCTCATGCACCTTACGTGTCAAGCAGTTGACCGGTTGTTGCAGTAGAAGACTGTGGCAGACCATAAGTGCTTCAAGGCTATACCTTCTCCCGCCGCATTTGTTCCGAACGTGTTGAGGTAGCGAGCGCTCAAGTCCACCATTGACCTGCCATGTGCACCCGATGGGATCAGGGAGTAGTACAATACGGTATTGTACTACTCCCTGGATGGGATGGAAGTGTACGATTTCCTCGTACGCTGCAGCTATGACCTGTCCTGTGTCCTCGGGGCTCAGCTCACCGAGTCTGAGTCGTTGGTCAGCTGGCGGCAGTAGTGTTGCCGCCCCCTGCACTGCTTATCGACAACTCCAATTGCAACTAACCGTGTTACTTGCCAATGATATCGATACCGGTGTATGCACTTGATCTGCAAGTGGGTATTACTCTAATCACAATGGTCTTCTGGTAGTTTTAAAATAACTTCTAGGAGACATAGTTGATTTTAGGTCATGATGGAAAGAGAGGTGGAGCTGCGGAAGAGATGGGCTGATTATTCGCAGGGTGAGGTTGTCATGTTAGCAATGAAAACATCAATTCCAAAAGAATTTTAAAAGTCAACTAATGAATAGGAGAAGTAAGTTTCCTCTTTTCTACGTTGATCTTTAGCATGCATGGACACCTTGGTATGAGGATACACATGCATTTTGCTGTACTTATGGCCACGAAAGACGCAATTTTCCGAACCTTGAGGCTCCCGATGATAGTAGTGTACAACAAAATGAATGAGTATCCACTCTTCCCAAAGCATAGTACTGTACGAGTATCCACACTTCCCAAAGCATAGTACTGTATGAGGGTTATGGAAGCATAATAAGAGCATCCACGAAAGCATAATTCCATGATTTCTCGAGCATAATCCGCCGCAGCCGAGCACGTACATGTACAATAGCTCTTGGGCCTATTGGTACTGTCACTACTGCAGTACTGGTCACGAGGTGTGTTGTTTCACCTTGTTTCCGGCCACTGATCTAGAACGCACTTTGTGCCATTGTTACAATGTAGAATCGGGAGCTTACTCTAATAGCAAATACAACGTACTACATGTATTTCAAGTAGTTACTTCATGGCATTAACTTCAGGTACTGGTGCATGCACATGAATGAGGCTGGGCAGCCCGAACTACATAATCAGAGCAGTTAGAAAGGCAAACTGTTGGTGGTAAGAATTGAGAAGTTCAATTGCCAGGGAAGTAGACAAGTATCAATGTCAGCTAGCAATACAGGTCATGTGATACAGGTCATGTGATATACTACCAGAGTACCAGAGCTAGAGCTAGAGAGACTCTATGGCAGAGGGAGAGAGAGAGAGAGAGGAGGAGGAGGGGCAACAGCAAATTCGAAGTCTACATCGTGAATCTAACCAGTACTTCAAGAAAGCAGCAAGTAGCAGTAAGCAAGCAACAGCACCCCCCCCCCCCTCCCACATGCATTGAAAGTATCAGCGAGTCACTCTAGAGCTATTTTAAAGCGTCTAAAAAATTAAAGGAAATTTCCGGAAATGTTATGATAGAAAGGAAATAGTTGGCATGTACACAAAAGTGTGAAAATACGGGCAGTGAATTAAGCTGGTTTCCATGATATGCTGCTGGGCATGAGAGGAGAGGAGGGAGGAGAGGGATGGCAGAGAAAGGTGTTGTCCAGAGATTATGCCAGTCTAGTTTTTACCACTGTCTTGTTTCAGGCCGACAGTGAGGTTGAAAACCATCTGCAACAAACACAACAACAACAACAACAACAACAACAACAACAAACACAACAACAAACACACGTCAAACACCTATAGCGCATGCATAGCTACACACACGCACACACACGCACACATACACGCACACATACACGCACACACACCTTGAACCTTGAACTTGCCCATTGCCGTAGGCAATGATAGCGAAAGGACTAATTCGGCGGCAACCGGCAGAAAGGTTCGTGGCGCTTGAGATCGCCGGGGCGGCGACACGTCTTCCTGCAAGCACAACGATACTCTGGCTCGGCGGAGACATCACGAGGCTGAGGACGACGGTGGATGACCTCCCTCCACTCCGAGCAGTTCTGGGCAGTGTCGAGCCATTCCTACTCCGGGACAGGTGGATGAATGCGGTTGAAGTCGTCCACAACCCCATCCCGCCAACGCTTGCGTGGGCCGTGTTGCGGTCGAGTTGCAGAGAGCTCCCCAAACAGGGTACACTTGGGCAGACGGCCATCGTCCATGCGGCCAATATGGCCGAGCCATCGTAGCCGACGCTCGTGGATGATGCCGCCAACGTCCGAATCAATTCCGAGGGTCTTCGCCAGTGTTAAAGAAGTGACTCGATCATCCCATTGCTGGTGTCTCGAGATGACGACAATAGCCCGCACGCACTGATGGTGGAATGTGTTAAGACGGCGCAGATCAGGAGCCTTGGTCGTCCAGGTCTTTGCTCCATACAACAGGGTCGTAAGAACGAGAGTCACGTAGGCACGACGTCGACATCGGAGGGACAAGGAGCGGTTCCCGAAGACAGGTGCCCGCAAGCAACCAAACACTCGAGACGCCTTAGAAATCCGCGACTGCACATCATGCGCACAAAGACCATCCCGGTGAATCACGGACCCAAGATATGTGAATTGGTCAACGGCGTCGATGGTTCCATTCCCGAACACACACACACGCACGCACGCACGCACACACACACACACACACACACACACACACTTGGACATTGTACGTTCATAGTTTCACAGTCACAGTGAAGCTTGCCATAGATAATAGTATAACAACACTCCAGCAGGAAAGGAAAACGTCATTTCTGATACGTGACCATATCTGACGTTAGCCGGTCCCAGTATACCATGGCATTCCGGGTATGTCACCATAGCTGAAGTTAGCCGGTCTCAGAATACCATGCTATACTGGAAACAATGTGCTGTGGCTACATTGTCTGTCATTGATCATCTGCTGCTATTACCAATGTCATCGTACTCGGGCTCGGCTATACTGTAAAATACCGTTGATCTGCACCCTCTCTAATACTTTCTGCCTGTAAAGCAACCTACAGTCCATTCAGAAAAAGATGAGAGCTGGCTCTGGAGAGCTCCCGTGTTTGGTGATTTTGTGGTACACTGTGCAGTGCCGTGCGATTCGAAACTTCAAAAAGGGTACAAAAAGGCACCTCAACTGGGGTTCGAACCGCAAATGTACTGTTATGCAAGTGGATCATGGAGTGAACGGCCTGGATTTTCATGGTTTTTACCGAATTCAGTGCTTTGGGGGCAAAACCTGGCCGAAATCCTATTCTTGTTATGGCTTGCTTTTTGGAGAAATAGACTTCAAAAACACAATTGGAAGAGCATTCCATGGGGGATTGCCAAAAAAATTATGACGAAAACTCAAAATTTGACCCGTTTATGGCCAAAAGCTAGGATATCATCTTTTTCTGAATGGACTGTAAGGCACACATGAAAATACGGTGTTGAATACGGTGTTGAACTGGCGCATGCACTGCTGTAAGCAATACGTACCAGTGCAGGTATGCCTGCAGATGAACATGTGCTGCACAATCCAGTAAGTGACCAAGTGACCAAGTCTGATCTTTTGCACTGTTGTACAGTCATAGTACTGCACTTGGCAGCCTTGATTTAATTCCCCGCCCATTGCTGATAAGCCAGCTGTGAAGCGACATGGCACGTGTGTGTGGGTGGGGGTGGGGGCAGATCAACGGTATTTCGTGGTACATAAAAACACACACACCTTGAAAACTACACACATCAGGTTTGTTTGCCAAAACTCTCATCCCTGAATGAGCTCAGTCCTTACCTTCTCCGGAGTTGAATCATAGTCAACGCAGAAGTATCCTACACGCTCAAATTGGTAGCGGTCAAGGTGCTTTGCATTTCGCACAGACTGATCAACAAAGGCATTGTGAACCACGAGAGAGTTCTGAAAAGGAAGAGGCAACCAATACAGTTTTGTAGACGGTGCATTTTGAGATGAAGGTACATGGGTACCAGTGCATGTCTGATGATCATGATGAAGGGCCTAATTTGCAAGTGAAAAAAGCCAGCTAGCATATAGGGGCATATAGGGAGAATTAGAAAAGGTAGCATGCTCGTAGGTAAACACTGCTCTGCTTGCTGGCTACACTCGTTCAGCACAGAATGTCTTTGTATAACAGGCAAGACAGCTCCCCCTCTCTCTCTCCCTCTTGTGTGGAAGGCTCTGCCCTATAAGGGTATTGAGCATTCTTCAGAGTTCAGACAGTGGAGCAAGCTACTTGATTACCTAACAGGTAGGTATAAATCTATTAGGAACGATGATTGGAATGATTGCGGATGATTGCATATACGCCAAGCAACTACATTCAGGGAGGTGGTAGAGAAACACATTCAAGCAGCAACTGTACCTCTGTAGTATCAGTGACAAATCCGCCAGGTACAACAGCGGCGTCTTCGGGGTTTTCGTGTTTGAAAAGCCGTGAGTACTCGCGCACTTCACACTTGATCGGATCTGATACCCACTGAATGAATGCCTTAGGTTTGGCAATATCCTGGACAGCAGTGATCTTGCCAATGACCTCTATGACTTCACCACCATCATTCTGCAATAGAGTACCAAGAAACAGGGTAGAAAAGACCAAACTGTGAGCTACATGACAGGGAATAGGAGAGGCACATTCAAGAAGACTATGCTCCATTCTATGCATACTAGAGCAGATGAAGGTTGTGGGTGATGTCACCAATGAGTAATCACAAACAATTGCTGGTGGACAGGCAACCAAGATAGAGGCCCAAGCTGAAATATCAGAGGCCGATCGCGGGCTGTATCCTTTCTCTCTCTTTTTTTCTTCTCTTTTTTTGACTCTCTGCCCATTCACACCATTCACACCATTCACAACATTCACAGCACTGACACCATTCACTCCACATTCATAACGGTACCTTGACAACATTCACACCATTCACAGCACTGACACCATTCACTCTGCATTCATAACAGTACCTTGACAACATCATCCATTGTAAACACATAGCCAGTGTAGCGAAGGCCTATAGACTGTCCAGGAGCAAGACGCCGATACCCAGCCTCTTTCACCTACAGCACACATGCACAACGTATATGAAGAACAACATAGCAATCAAAACAACAGATGATGACGTCACATAATGGCCCATAGCATAACGACACGTTCACATGTGCCTTAAGGGGTTAGTTGGCCCAGAACTGAGGTTTTCTCTCTCTCTCTCTCTCTCTCTCTCTCTCTCTCTCTCTCTCTCTCTCTCTCTCTCTCTCTCTCTCTCTCTCTCTCTCTCTCTCTCTCTCTCGCTCTCTCTCTCTCTCGCTCTCTCTCTATGTTTCGCACCCCACGCGCGTATATTTCACGGCCGGAGTTTAAAAAAATCGCATGTGTAACAGGGATGAATTTACTGTGATATTTTTGCATAGCAGTTTCTGTTATACGAAATCATAATTGTGTAGCAGTCAGTTTGATTTTGATTAGCATTTTTCTTTGAAGGTTGGGTGTTTACCACATTGTGCTTCTTGAGAGTGATGCCTGAAAGCCCATTTGAAAAAACCCGACTGAATGATACATGTGCTCGCAGATTGAGAGTACCTGCACCACATACACTGCACTGTATGCAGGTTACTTGACAGACCAGGCTAGGCATGGATTGCCTGTATGTATCGCAATTTTCTGCGAGTCACGGTGACTTTTGAGTAGCAGTAGATCGATTTTGAATCGCAAACTGCGATGCGATATAGGATAAATTCATCCCCGTGTGATGTACTCAGCTTACATACACGTGTGAGTGTAAGCTGAGTACATGTACTCGGCTTACATACGCGTGTGAGTGTAAGCTGAGTACATGTACTCGGCTTACATACGCGTGTGAGTGTAAGCTGAGTACATGTAGACCCAGGTGCTCGAAGTCCGTACATGGTATCCTAAGTTCGTACGCCCATAATGTCATGTTCTGTTATTGTATTCGACTCAAATATTTTATGGAGGGGACAGTGTGGTATGTTCTCCTCGCGTAGCAATTTTCAGGGATCTACGATAAGCAGAAGTCCCATACCACGCGAGTGGGTTTTCGAGTGTCCATTCGAAATACAATTTGGGTTACATTCATGCAAAAATCAACTTTGCCAAGACCGATTTCGAACGGACACAGCGTCAAACAGACCTTCACTCAATCATCAAGAGCCAGCTTAGAGTTGAGAATGGCCAGACGAGAAGAATTTACAGAGAACCACCAATCCTTGCAGAAAGGTTGACACTCCTGGCATCTCCACCGCTGTTTTCCCGCGGTTTTCACAGCGCAGCTGCTTCTTCGTAACCGAGTACTGTAAGACATGTATATATAACGAGGAAGCAAATCTAACGTTTTAACGGATGACATTTCTTCGTTATAATAAGATCCGTTGAGGCCGTACTGCTTCATATATGCTGTGTGTGGATATGGCAGAATACTGCAAGATCGTTAACATATCTTCTCGTTAACCTATGAATTTTGGACAATCGTTAAATTTGCAACTCGTTATAATAACATGTCTTACAGTAATTGCAAGTTAGCAATTAGCAGAACTATGTGTGTATTTCGAGTCACCTCTGATCAGTACGGACTTAGAGGACCCTCTGCGACACCAAAATTTGATATGAAAAATCAGCGAACTCCAGAGAAACAGATCGGATCGAAAGATGGCCTGGTTCAATCGAGGTTGGCCTCAGAACAAACTTGGACAAGATACCTTCTATCCACGAACAGGATTCTGGCAAGTGATCATTGTTAGTGTGAATTTCAGCTCGGCAAACACACACTGTAAAAGTGTACGGACTTCGAGCACCTGGGTCTACTCAGCTTACATACGCGTGTGAGTGTAAGCTGAGGACATGTACGCTACTCTGTGCAGTGCTTGAAATACTACTAGTGTACACATGTGTACTTGACTGACTAGTCTCGACTGACTAGTCTTGACTGTGGTGCATGCATGCATCACAGTGCACAGGCACAGGCTACACTACGGGTATTAGTGCACAGGCACAGCAGGCGCTCTCTGCTCTGCTCTGCTGAAATTGCGGTAGTCACAGCCCTTACCTAGGCAGGAAGTGCTACCACACATCTAGACTGCTGATAAAGTACGTCATGTACTCGTACTACATGTACCCCGCCGAATGTCTACTGCTTTTCACGTGTACCACTACTCATACTGTGTAGTAAAAATCAGGGTATAAGAGGTGAGCACCAATGTGCAAACACTTGAACACAACCAGGGAAAGTCACTGTGGGTGAAGTGATTGTTACGAACTTGCACTGGTGTCAGTCTGATAAACAGGTTTTTCCTTTGTCTATTCCTCACTTTCATTTTAAGTGAGAAGTTTGGAGGATGTGGCAGTGACCTGGTGACAATGTCAGAAACTCAGCTGACTAGTTTCCGTGTGCAGGCTGGTCAGCGGTGCGTGGTGCCCTGCAGAATTCAAGAGGTAGCCGAGAAAGATACATTTCACAAGTCGCTCGAGCAGTTGGCTGCCTTGTTGAAAGATCATGGTGACGACAGGAAACTTCGGGATGCGGATTTAACATCTCCCCGTATTTCCGTGTCGCCCAATGGAAGCAATAGTTCAGCAGAGAGCGAAGTTCCTGCGTCTATTCAAGTCTGGAAATGCTTGGAGTTCGGAAAGTACGCCACTTTCTGCTGTTGTGACAAGTTGCGGCAAGAGGCTGCTGCGAAACAGTTCATCTATCCATGTTCGCCATGATGGCAGCATCTGCGCAGCAGGCGAAGCAACTTTTCGTGCCACCAAAACTTGATGATGATTGCAGTGATTGGAAGCTGCAGAATGATTTTATCGATATGCTGCAGAAGAACTTAGGCTTCGCGAGTGGTTGCGAGAAAACGGTAGGAAAGCAGTTTGTTCCGACAATTTGCGGTGTGCTGTACCAATTGCTGGTCGACGAACGTATTAGCTGCTTCAAGAATGCAGCCTCCAGTTGCCGTCTTTGTTTGTGCTATTCGTAGACACGTGCTATAATGATCAAACACCGTCATGGGAAACTCACTCCGCTACAGAGTGTTGAAAGATTGGGTAGTGATTTGCTGGAAGTTCAGACAATGCCATACATGCAGTCCAAGGTCTGGAGAGAAGCCTCTTACAGGAGTATTTGATCTACCTTCAGGCATTGTCTGCACGCATTAATGTCTTGCATGAGTCGCTGGAGCCTGTATGTACTGCTGCAGATAGCCGGTCCACAGCATTGGTGCACCATCCTGGCAAGGCCAGGACAGCATACACGTGTCAGCGTTACCTGAAGCTGTAAGCGACTTCAGCCAGCGTAGAGGCAAGTGCCCTGACATATGCCACGTGTTGTATCCAGCCTGCTATCTACCAAGGTGACAGTGGAAAGTGTGCAGCTGTCCAGAGTACAGCTGCACAAAACTGCTGTCCGCACCATGCCAGCAGCACCAGCACCAGCTGACATTGATGCGATGTGGAACAAAATGGAATCAGTAGACTCGAACCTGCAGCGCACTGACAAAACCCAGCTCCAGCTGAAGGGCCGTGCAGTCCACTCATCCTAGCAGAGGGCCATGATCTATTGGGTTGTGTTATTGCTGGACGACCAGGGCCAGTGTGCAGCATGCACATTGAGTGGGTTTACTTCTCTGCCTGACAGACGTTCCCTGTCTGCTGTTTCGTTTGTGGCACCTTGACTCCAAAGGCCGTGCCAAAGACATCATCGCTGCCAAGTACCAAGTCACTCACTCATCATGCCCCTCCCCCCCCCCTCTCTCCCTCCCCAGTGTTTGGACAGCAAACATTGTGTACGCACACAGAGCAGAAGCGTGGCCAGAAGCGCTCTCATCCAGCTGATATGGACACGCCTGAATAGCTGGACCAGTTGGTACTAGTACGAGATATGGGTCTTGGCAGTCACGCATGTACATGATCAATGTACGCCAGTACAGAGGCAATATGCTTTGTATGATTACTCCTCTCGCTATCGTACTATCACACCTCTCTCCACTTAGATATACCAGCGCTGCCTCCTATTCCATTATCGTTGTCTGATGATTGGTTCAGCCATGAAACTCTGAGTCACAACGGAATAAAATTTGCCAAGGTTTTCATTGTGTGCCTTTGTGTACGCCAGTATACAGGCGTTGTCTGTCACACTGTGTTGTATGTCACACTGTGTTGTCTGTCACACTGTGTTGTATGTCACACTGTGTTGTATGTCACACTGTGTTGTATGTGTCACACTGTGTTGTATGTCACTGTGTTGTCGTACAGTGATAACTATGAGAGTACTCATACATTTTCCCATTCCCTCAACTAATGAATAGTCATAGATAGAGCTCTTTTTCGGGAGAAAATTGTTAATTGATGCCGTAACGTCCAGAACGTATGGATTTTTATAGTATGGAACCTCTCCCTAGTGAACAATTTGTGGTGCTATTTGATGCGATCGATTCGAAGTATAAACTATAAATGCAGCTTGGGTGAAAAGAGTACTGCTGCAAGAAGTTTGCGATGTTCAATGTTCACAATTCACCACCCCCCACCGCAAAACTCCCCGCAAAACTGGCAAACATCTAACCAATACAGACAGAACAATATCACAGTGTTCTAGTACACTATTGTATTCTTACACTCCTGAAGTCATCTCTGTCGATGTATGCCACTCGGTCAAATGTTACGCAGTGTTCACCGGCATCAGGGTTGTTTGGGTGGTTCGGCACCTTCAGCTCTATTGCCTGCACTCCAAAAAATTGAACAAAGACAACAAAACACAAAGATGATTTAGAAGAGTCAGCTTTTGAGGTTCTTGACATAACGCAAATTTCACTTCGTTTCTTTTCACTTTTGGGAGTTCTTGGCGGTGCGTGAACTTCACGTCGTTCCTTTTTCACTTTTGAGATTCTCGCCTTGACGCGACCTCAAATTTCACTTTCAGATAGATTCCACATGCCACAAGTTTTCCACGCTTCAGTTTCTTTAATTCACTCGACTGATGTGACGTCACCTTGCTTGCCATGTTCATACTCTGGGGCTGGTAGTGTACCTAAATATTGTCATTTTCAGCTTCAGGGTTTCTGTGCACACAATATTTTCAACGCCTTGTTGGTTCAACAAACAGAACTGCACTTTCCACCTCCCGAGTGCCCGTCTCTTGTAGTTGTCTTTTCTGATTACTTTTCTTGATAGGACAAGTTATTTTCTATAACATAGTTTCTGGAGCTCTTATTCTCCTCTCTCAAGATAGGAGAGCATGGACCACAGCATAAGAAATACAATACCGCTATTGAGCCACAACGCACACCGCAACGGCCCTAACAGCAGTAGCCGCCGCAGGCACAACAGGCCATAGCCGCCAAGAACAAACAAACATTGGAGCAGAAATCAACACACCGCAAAAGCGGAAGGAACAGCAACTTGAGGAATTGAGATGTTCTGTACACCGCACTACTCTGGTACAATGCTAATTGCAGAGCGCGAAGACAACCGCAAAGATAGACCTCCCAGTGGTAGGGGCCTCCGGTGTTGAAGTCGCTTGGGAGGCAACCTGGTCGCTAAACGATGTAATCAGCGATGCATGATCCGCTGGCTAGCTAAGCATCCAAGCATACCGTACGGAGTTACATGGCCAACCACGTCCAGTACTATTCTAGTGATAGACCGATAGACGTACGTGGAACCGATGATGTCATAGTGAAAATGTCATAGTAACGATGTCATAGAATTATTATTTATTACAAGTTAGATTTGAGTTTGTTCCTTGTAATTATTCTGGGGTCGTACCTTGTCAGACGGGAAGTTGGTGATGGTCAACTTCAGTGGACTAAGTACACACATGGCTCTGCAGCACAAACAAATGAAAATAGACATTGGACAACAACAACAGGGGTTGGCAATGGAAGAATAGAAGCAAGCGGCTTCAAATCAAGTGAGTGTGCCATCCATCATGCAAACCGTTCAAGTATGCATAACAGGTGTATCGCTATGACTTTGTACGTGTCTGCATGTACAAGCGCACACAGGCATGTGTGCTCAAAGCTTGTAAAGGGTGCACATATCACTCGTATAGCTAACCTGGGAGCATTAGCATCCAGGTTTTCTCGTACACATGCCTCCAAGACGACTGGTCTCTGTGTGACTTGAGACATTGTAACACCCACTTTGCCGCAGAACGCATTGATTGCCTCTGCAGGGAAGCCACGGCGACGTAGTGCTGTTAATGTGAACAGGCGAGGGTCGTCCCAGTCCCTGAAAGTAAGCACACAGGGTCACACACACACACACACATACACATATACACACACACACATGCACGTACATGCACACGCACGTACATGCACACACAATACACAAACACACAGGGTCACATACAAATATGTACGAATGCACAGTCATTGTTAAAGCAAAAGGACAACAGAGTTCTGTGGTTCAGTTACCAACTGTTGTAAGCCTGCCAGCCAGCCAGTCAGCCAGCTAGTCAGACGAATGGAAGAAGGAGAGAGAAAAGAGGTGATTTGTATTCACCTGAGCCAGATACGCAGCAGTTTGTTTTCCCTTCAAATTGACTGGCCAAAAGGTACACACCTTGTTACAAGACATATAGTTTAAATACTTGATACCAGTTTACAAGTAGGAAAGCATGTGTGTGTGTGTGTGCATGCGTGCGTGCGTGTGTGTGTGTGTGTGTGATGGGGGTGGACTAGGACTAAGCTACTTAGTGGTTTGCGGCATGTGCTAAAACAAACTCACCGCACAATGCCGCTCTCAATCAGCTTGCCAATCTTGCGCTTGGACACAACGGTATAGCTAAGATTCAAGCGGCCATACTCCCACTGGACAGGACAGTAGACATCCACGGCGTTGCAGAGCCAGTAGTAGGACGATCGACTGCAACGCAACAACCCACACAACACAACAACACTTCGCTCTACGTAATTACGTATGAAAATAACATAGGAACTGCGCGTAATTTTCATACGCAAAAATCAGCGCTGTTGAGTTTCGCTCTACATGATTTCTCCACCACTGCTACACATGCACTGTTGCTTTGGAGACGCGTTGGCTGCATGCAACACAAACCAAAACGCGTTTTCCATATTTTGTTTTCCACGTGGTGTGTGCTTTGTGTTTCCCGCGGCTTGAACGTTGCCATGGATAAATCCAGAAAGTGCAAAAACTATTTCAAAGAGTCCTACGGAGGACCCAACGTAGAAAACAGCTTTCCTACGGAAATCCGCAGAGAGATTTAAGTGTGAAAGTTGCCCCCGCTCCCCGGCGCGTACGACTTACGGATTTTCATACATAATCAAGTAGGGCGAAACCTCCCTACTATCAATACTAACGGCAGTGTGGTGAGAGCTAGGGACACATGCTCCCAACTTTCTCTTGCACAAAAATAATGAATGCACTGGAGGACAAGAAAAAGAAGAAGACGATGAAGTGTACTGCATGTCTTACCGTGCTTGGAACTCTTTGGTACACAGCGAGTGAGAAATGTTCTCCAAGGAGTCACACAAGCAATGCGTGTAGTCGTATGTCGGGTATATACACCACGCATCGCCTGTCCGATGGTGAGAAACAAATTTGATGCGATACGCAACCGGGTCCACCTTGCTATCTTCCATGATGTGTTTCATGCGTAATGTGGCCTGTGTACACAAACAAGAGAAAGAAAGAGGTTCACAATCGAATGGACTCCATCATGAAAGCTGCTCCCACCAGGTATTTGTTGATAGTGATCAAGGTACACAGCATACAGCACAAAAGCAATACAGAAGTAATCCTTCACCAGTATTCACCAGTATTCACCAGTATTCACCAGTATTCACCAGTATTCACCAGTATTCACCAGTAGTCTTCAAAACTACGAAAAAAAGATGAAATATGGCACATGTACAGGCACATAGAAACTCATAGCTGTGCATGTGTAGTGCTATGGTAACACAGAGTGTTGCATGCTTGTTGCTATAGCAACGCATAATGCTGCACGCTTGTTGCTAATATGATTCCCAACGGTAGCTACCCTCCATTTATGCACGTGTAGAAGACCTAAAGACCTATCAAACTACATGACGTATGTATAACAAAGCGTGAATGTCAATAATCATACTGTACCTTGCCTTCCTCAATCTTGCCCTTTCTCATGTCCTATAAGTGCGCAGAAGCAGAAAATCAAGGTTTTATCCAAACAGAACAAGAGAGTTAGCTCTGAAATGATTAGCACACCCCAATCATGAGGTCACCGCCAGACATGTAGTTGTTACACCATCATAGTACATTCAAGTAGACACAGGGGAAAGTATGTCATCATAGTACATTCAAGTAGACACAGGGCCTAGGGGCGTATGTCATCATAGTACATTCAAGTAGACACAGGGGTTGTTACTCCATCATAGTACATTCAAGTAGACACAGGGCCTAGGGGCGTATGTCATCATAGTACAGTTGAACATCGATTATCCGACCACCTCTGGGCAGACAACTGTCAGGCGGTGTTCAGATAAGGCAAATGTTCTGGATAAGAAAAAACTGTCACTCACACACTTTCAGTGGTTATTACTAGCCGCACGACCTTTTTACTTTTCAAAATTTTCATATTTTTTGAATGGCTCACTACGTGCACAGTGCGTACTCTACGGCACGTGCGCCCAAAAAAACTGTTACGGATAATCGAATGGTCGGATAGTCGATGTGCGGATAATCGATGTTCAACTGTACATTCAAGTAGACACAGGGGAAAGTATGTCATCATAGTACATTCAAGTAGACACAGGGGAAAGTATGTCATCATACAAGTAGTACATTCAAGTAGACACAGGGGAAAGTATGTCATCATACAAGTAGTACATTCAAGTAGACACAGGGGTTGTTACTCCATCATAGTACATTCAAGTAGACACAGGGGTTGTTACTCCATCATAGTACATTCAAGTAGACACAGGGCCTAGGGGCGTATGTCATCATAGTACATTCAAGTAGACACAGGGGCTAGGGGCGTATGTCTCCATCATAGTACATTCAAGTAGACACAGGGGAAAGTATGTCTCTCACAGATTGACTCTGACTGCTGGATGTTCCACACAGGTATCACATGACCCGAAGCAGTCTATATAGCCAGAGTGTCACTGAAAGCCAAGACTATCAGTGACCTGTGACAATACAATGTCAGAGGTAGGACTGGCTAGTGAAGATGGCATGCATACAGAGATACGGCAGAATGCGATGCATACGGAGATACGACAGAATGCCATGCATACACAAATAGGACTGAATGCCATGCATAGACAGATATGGCTGGCTAGTGAGAATGCCATGCATACACAGATATGGCTGGCTAGTGAGAATGCCATGCATACAGCAGAATGACAGGGTTATGAGAGCAATGACATGCACAAGCAGCAGTACTATGAACAGACAGTCTACATTGTAGTACCTCAAAGAGTTGAAGCGATTCTTCAATGGGACGCTCTCTCCACGGGCTAAATGCTATGTTGTGGCCTTTCAGTTCTTCTGGACGCTGATGACAAATGTACGCTGCTCCTCTGAAGGAAACAAGAACGGGGAAACATTGCAATCACTCACTGTTCCTGTTCAATGCCATCCTGGTCTTACCATACTTCTAAACAGGGGCATGGAACACAAAACCCAGGACACAGCTGTATTATCACTACATGGCACTGCATATCAGAAGAGAAACTAGCACATGTCCACAAGCATGAATGATTACTAGCCGGCATCAACAGCTACATAGGGATGAAGGTTAGCATACTTTTTGATGAGGACGACAGCAAGCTGATAGAGCTCCTCAAAGTAGTCAGACGAGTGAGTCACTTTCCAAGGTTCATACCCTGAGCATGGTCAAGAAAACACAAGATTTGAACTCTCAAGATTTGAGAATACTGTAAAAGCCTTATACGAAACGAAGTGCTAAATCTAACGAGTCAGCAAGGAGAAATCCACATCAAGCTGTTAATTGACAACACGACACCCAGCAGCTACAGTATATCAACGGTAGCTTAGACGGCACGTGTACAGCCACCTGTCTCAAGATTGCTTGCGACTTATGGCGATGGGTGGTCCAACAGAATATCCGTCTGCAGGCGGACTATGTGCCGAGGAAGGAGATTGCGATGCATGAACAAGACAAAGTTAAGACCGCATTCACGACACCATTGGGTCTTTGTGAGTTTACGGTGGTGCCAATGGGGTGCAGGAATGGTCCTGCCATCTTTCAGAGAGTCATGGAAGCTCGTCTCCGTGGCCTCTGCAATGCAGCTACTCAGCCCTTTAGTCCTGTGTTCTTTGACGATGTGCTGAATGCGAGTGAAAAGTTGTCAGGGCAGGTCTCTGTCTTGAAACAGCTCGGAAAAGGTTTCTGCGATCCTGGTGTGGAAAATGCCAACGTCGGTCATTGCCGTTAGATCCTTCTTGGGTTTTGCTGGCTATTACCGTCAATACAAACTGAGCTCAGTAAGACGACTTACCTAGCCAGCGTACCATTTCCAAAATGGCAGTGAAGAAACGCTCCTCTTCTTTCTCTGGGTTTGTGTCATCGTAGCGCAAGTAACAAAGACCACCGTGTGCCTAGAAAAAAGAAGAAGAAGACAAACACTTGAAGTAAATACGCCATTCCCAGTGGTGCAGCGCTGATACTGGCTTTGTGGCATAACTTGCAAGCAAAGCAAATAGCTGGATGGCTCTTTCTTAACACAACGACTACCTCATCAATACTCAGTATTATTTTACCTTGCATCTTTGAGTCGTTTCCTTGCCTACAAAACGATTCTACATTCAAAACACCAAAATACTATACCACGCTACACATTGGATGCAATTACTGCTACTGCATGTACCCGCAGTACACCATGTACACTGAATAGCTGTAATGCACCATGTACATTGAATACTTCCTCCGTTAACAAAAACTTCGTGATGGATTTTTGAGGGACTGGTTTGCGCACAAACTGCCGTGAAATGAGTCGTGATCACTTTCTCGGCCTTCCCTGGCATGCCATGAAAGAGGTATGATGCGAGGAAAGCGACCTATCACAACAAGCCGAGCGGAATTGATGGTTGCGCTGTGGCAACATAGGTGATGACAGTCGTGGCGAGCGAAACTGATATACCACTTCTCCGAGGGACAATGCGCTGCTTGGCCTCTCTACTACTAAAGCACTGAGTTAGAGAGGGATAGGGACTGATGGAACGGAGCAGCGAGCCCACACAATGAGCGAGTGAACAAGGAGCTGATCCGATCGCACGGCGCAATGAAATAAATCTGAATTCAAGTTCTTATTCAGCCTGCGCAAAGCCCAGATTCGAATGCTGATGACCATGCATTCGGTTAGAAGTCTGCAGTCCGACGCGAGTCTCGTGGCTAAGGAAAGTCGACTGGACTTGCTAGCCGCTGCCGTTCAGTGCTGGCAAGAGTATCCATCAGAGAAATTGGAATCCGTTTGGCTAGGACTTTACTCCTCGTTTCGCGGAGTTCTGGAGAGCGGAGATGAAACCAGGGAGTCGTAAAATATTTTTACAACTCCGTGGTGGAAACGAGTAATCGCCACCGCGGCGGATCATGCAGATTGAAAGCCAACTTACTTGAACCACAGCGACATCAAGTTTAGCGGAGTGTGATCAAAGAAGCCGAGGCAAGACTGAAACGAGCTGAACAACGACTCAAGAGAGCTGACGACCGGCGTGCAGCAGATGACGACAGCGACGCAGGGTCAAAAATGAGTCGAGCGAAAGCGACGCAAACTGAACTCTCTGCTCATTCCGCCAACAGTTTCTTTAGTAAAGATGCTGTACATAGGCTGAACTACCTTCGTCTAGTGAGTTGCAGTCGATACAAACTGTTCTTGACCTGTTCTAAGCGTTTTCATATCCATCAAAATCCATCACGAAGTTTTTGTTAACGGAGGAAGTAGCTGTAATGCACCATGTACACTGAATAGCTGTAATGCACCATGTACACTGAATAGCTGCAATGCACCATGTACATTGAATAGCTGTGATACACCATGTACACTGAATAGCTGGAATACACCATGTACACTGAATAGCTGTGATGCACCATGCACAGTGAATAGGTGTAATTCGCCTTACCTTGGCATAGCTGAAATTGAAGTTGATTGCTTTGGCATGACCGATATGCAGGATGCCATTGGGCTCTGGCGGAAATCGTGTGTAAACCTGTCAAGCAAATAGAAAACGGGTGAATAACGACTTCTTGTAACTCAATCGTTCCTTTGTGCTTTCTTCATGAACAAGAGTCAAAACCCAGCACAATAACTCCTTTCAGACGTGCAGGAACGATGTTTCTGAAGAGCACGCTAGTGGGTTTGGTACCAGGTGAGCCATCGAGTGGACACTAACATATCTCAGAAGAAACTGCTGCCATTCAGTAATGTAACTGCAGCAGTACTGCAGAGGAAGCCCTGACAACGCCCTGCAAGTAACACATTGATGTGATGAAGTTTCTACCGGTGTACTAGTATCAGTGTAGGTCACACATCAATGGCGCTGACGTCTCTATGTGTGTTTCAGTGCAGGTCACACATCAACGGCGCTGACGTCTCTATGTGTGTTTCAGTGCAGGTCACACATCAACGGCGCTGACGTCTCTATGTGTGTTTCAGTGCAGGTCACACATCAACGGCGCTGAAGTCTCTATGTGTGTTTCAGTGCAGGTCACACATCAACGGCGCTGACGTCTCTATGCGTGTTTCAGCGCAGGTCGCACATCAATGGTGGTGAAGTCTCTATGTGTGTGTCAGCGCAGGTCACACATCAACGGTGGTGCATTCTCTATGTGTGTTTCAGCGCAGGTCACACATCAACGGTGGTGAAGTCTCTAACCATTATTAGTGCAGCAGTGTCTGCTCCAGAGCCGGGTGAGCCGGGTAATCGACCCGGTTGGGCGGCGCTTGGACCCGGTTGAAAATATAGTGCCGGGTCACCTGTGACCCGGTTGGTATTTTACACGTTCGAACTTTGAAAGGACTGACTACATGGCTTGTATGTGTGACAGATCGTGCAGAGGCGCGCGTCGAAGTGAAAGTAGTCAGTATCCGGTGTGTGCACGTGCTCAGTTCGAGCTTGATCGTTGAGGTGTTGTTTTTGGAAATGGAGCCTCCAGCGAAGAGGCGAATCCACAGGCCCTGCTTCCAGGACTCTTGGAATACAGGTCGTCCATGGCTTGTCTACGACTTAGAGACGAAAAAGATGACCTGCTCCTGGTGAGCGGCACACTTCTGTGGCAAAGTTGTGACTCGGCTGGTGAGACAGCGCCAGGTACATGTACATGTGTACCCGGCTCCGACCCGGTTGAAATGGTTGCGCCAGGTACACGTGTACCCGGCTGTCCTACAATCCTAGAGCAGACACTGGTGCAGGTAGCAAATCAATGGGTGAAGTTCCTAATTCCTATGCATTATCAGTGCAGGTCGCAAGTCAATGAGTGAAGTTCCTATGCATTATCAGTGCAGGTCGCAAGTCAATGAGTGAAGTTCCTATGCATTATCAGTGCAGGTTGCAAGTCAATGAGTGAAGTTCCTATGCATTATCAGTGCAGGTCGCAAGTCAATGAGTGAAGTTCCTATGCATTATCAGTGCAGGTCGCAAGTCAATGAGTGAAGTTCCTATGCATTATCAGTGCAGGTTGCAAGTCAATGAGTGAAGTTCCTATGCATTATCAGTGCAGGTTGCAAGTCAATGAGTGAAGTTCCTATGCATTATCAGTGCAGGTTGCAAGTCAATGAGTGAAGTTCCTATGCATTAGTAGAGTGATCATGACTGTGCAGTAAAAACACATACCCCACTGTGCAGTAAAAACACATACCCTTCCTCCGGTTGCTTTCAAGTGGTCCTTGAGAAGGGGCTTGGTGTTAGGTGTTACAACATACCCATCAGTTGTATAGTTCTCACCTAAAAGTCAAAAAGAGCACAAAGGCATCTCAAGGCAGCCTCTCAGTCCGCCAAACACATACTAACACCGCCGGCGAATTTTTCTTCTTCAGATCTCGTGATTTTCATTTCCAATGGTCAAGAATTTGTTCCGCAAATGGCATCCCCCGATGTGTGTGTGTATATGTGTGTGTGTGTGTGTGTGTGTGTGTGTGTGTGTGTGTGTGTGTGCGTGTGCCGCCGAATTAGTCCTTTCGCTATCATTACCTACGGCAATTGGCAAGTTCAAGGTGTGTGTGTGTGTGTTGCTATGTCTATCATAGCTTGTTCGCTGTCATCGCTTCAGCGATGGGCAGGAGTATGAGTATGAGTGTATGTGTGTGTGTGTGTGTGTGTGTGTGTGTGTGTGTGTGTGTGTGTGTGTGCGTGTGTGCGTGTGTGTGCATGTGTGTGCACACGAGCATGTGCACACGTGCGTGCACTCATTTACGCATGTACACCTGCACGTGCGGGTGAGTCTTTCTTTCCGGAAACAGGTTTGTGAATCAATCAAACCTTACCTGGCTTGTGAAAGTTCAATGCTTCACCTGCCAGATCCATGAATGATTTTCCAAGAGTTGAAACTTCATCCTTTGGTGGTGCTGCTGAAAGCGTCTTTGGTTTGGTGGTCGCTCCTTTCTTTTTCTTGTTTGCAGCAGCTAGATCTTCCTCAGTCTTGGGGCCTAGCGCAGCCTCCACCTGTCAAGGTGAGTGATAACAAGGAAAAACCCAAAACAGTAGTGTAAACTGTACTGAAGTACATGTTACATAGCTACACAAGCTATACATACTGTATACTGGATACTGGATACAGTGTATACTAGGGCTGAAACAATTATACCGATAACTTGCATATCGATCGTTAAGGGTGCAATCGATAATCGTTAGTGTTCAAAACGAGTGCTAACGATTTATTATGCATGCATATCAGTGACAGTATTCTAGGCTATTTCTAGCCCTTTCACTCCATCCGATAGTGAATACGAGTACAATCACGTACTTCCAAGCGCGGTAAAATTGATTTTGTGGCTTTGAAAGAGATCGGGAGAGAATACCTTTGTCTACTTGGTTCATTTGGGTGAGAGGTCGGAGATAGGAGCAGTTGCCAGAGGGTGATTCTTTGCTCTAGAAACAACATGAAATTCTCTAGTTCATGTGGATAAAACCAGCCAGATTTCCACAGATGTCAACAGTGCGATGCCACAAAATTTCTAATGTAGCAAAGGTATCATGGAATTTCTTCATGAACTGGTGTACGAGGTACACGAGTAGAGCCGACAAGAATCGATAAAACCAATATATCGACTGCTAATGATATTGGTTGATCGTTAGGAGTTATCGAATGATCGTTTCAGCCCTACTGTATAGTGTATAGTGTACAGTGTACAGTGTATAGTGTACAGTGTATAGTGTATAGTGTATAGTGTATAGTGTATAGTGTACAGTGTATAGTGTATAGTGTATAGTGTATAGTGTATAGTGTATAGTGTATAGTGTATAGTGTACAGTGTACAGTGTATAGTGTATAGTGTATAGTGTACAGTGTATAGTGTATAGTGTACAGATGCGCCCACCCAGCGAACCCTGGGGATGGCGGCCGAGAAAGGAGCGTCCAACTGGCTCACTTGCCGGCCCCTGAAGCAGTTCGGGTTTGTCCTCCACAAAGGCGCCTTCAGAGACGCACTCTGTCTGCGGTTCGGCTGGGTCCCTCCCCGCCTGCCATCCACTTGTGTGTGTGGCAAGGCATTTAACACCAGCCATGCTCTTTCGTGCCCAACTGGTGGATACCCGGCTCTCCGCCATAACACGATCCGCGACCTGACAGCCGACCTACTGCGTGAAGTGGCAACGGATGTGAAGATAGAACCTCCTCTGCAGCCCCTGGAGGGTGAAAGGCTCCGGTATCGCTCTGCCATCTTGGAAGATGGTGCTCGTCTTGATGTGGCGGCATCTGGTGTCTGGGGAAGTCGTTTTGAGCGCACGTTCTGTGATGTTCGGGTTTTTAACCCTCATGCGCGCTCGAACACTTCCTCAACTCCCGCGTCCACCTATGCCAAGCACGAACAGCAGAAGAGAAGGGCCTACGAAGAACGCGTCAGGGAGGTGGAGCATGCTTCCTTTCTCCCACTGGTATTCAGTGCATCTGGTGGGTGCGGCAAGGTAGCCCACGCTTTCCTGAAGCGTCTTGGCCATATGGTTTCGGAGAAGCGGCATGAACCCTACTCCTCCGTCATGTCCTGGATCCGCTCTCTTGTCTCCTTTGCTTTGGTTCGATCCTGCAACATGAGCCTCCGTGGTCACCGTGCTTCTCCCTACCGCAGTCGTTTGGATGCTGCCACTCCTGTTGTGCTGGCAGTCAACGACTGTCAGTTGCGTGACTGAGACTCTTGCGGAGTAGCCGTGTTTAGCCACACTTTTTTATTATCCGATGATCTTGTTTTGTTTGCTATGACTCCGTGATTTTCTGTTGGTTGCTTTTCTGCTGTGCGAATAAATGCAGTGTCGACAAAAAAAAAAAAAAAAAAAATTGATATACGGTAAGGCCACACCAAGTTTTTTCATTGTTTCTCGTCACCGCGCGCGTACCTTTCTTGAGGATTGGACCAAAAAAAATCTCGCGTCCCGGTAAACACGCATAAAAAGGCGTTGTAAAAGTACGCGCGGCGTCAAATCTGGAGTGCAGTGCTAGTGCACGAACCGAAGGTTTCTGTTTTAAATTTTAGCACAAGCGCGCACTTGGCTGTTCTTTTATGTACCCCTTGTATAATAACTTTGGTTTGCTTTCTTTCCTATTTAAATAACATGCAACACTGGACTTCCTCACCAGAGGCCGGTGCAGGAGCCTGGTTTTCTGGCTGTATGTTGCAATTGACTGTCACGCGTGGTGTATAGTCTGATTTTAGGTCATAAATTGGGCCTTTGTAGTGTAAATAGCAGTTTTTGTTTTTCAAACCCTATTTTGTTTTTTTTCCGCCCGCCCGCGTTCCTTTTGAGATTTTCAGGTGACGAGAAACAATGAAATAACTTGGTGTGGCCTAAAAAAAAAAAAAAAAAAAAAAACAGTGTATAGTGTATAGTGTATAGTGTATAGTGTACAGTGTATAGTGTACAGTGTATAGTGTACAGTGTATAGTGTATAGTGTACAGTGTATAGTGTACAGTGTATAGTGTATAGTGTACAGTGTATAGTTTACAGTGTATAGTGTACAGTGTACAGTGTATAGTGTATAGTGTATAGTGTATAGTGTATAGTGTATAGTGTATAGTGTATAGTGTATAGTGTATAGTGTACAGTGTACAGTGTATAGTGTATAGTTTACAGTGTATAGTGTATAGTGTATTTTCTTTTTCTTTTTTTTTCACTGAGCCTCTTGTACGGGCAAAATAACACATTTTGTGAAGAATCAACACATAAAACGAATCATCAGATACAGTATTTACAGAGTCTGTCACTCAGTAGGATCACTGCACTGTGCAGGTTCACTGGATGCGTGCCTCCGCCGCCACTAGCACAGCAGGGGACTCAGGCATGGCAGGAGCAAACATGTTCCTTGAGCCACGCAGGCACATAGCACCACAACGCACCAGGGCAAACCCAAGGCGGCAGCGCAGCAAGGAGATAACCTGCCCGTATGGCTCCTTACTCTTCTCAGCCAGGAGAGAGGCGATCCGCGTGAAAAGAGCATTGGCATGCTTGCCATAGCCACCAGAGGCAGAGAGCACAACGGGCACGAAGGAGGCATGCTCAACTTCACGTACTCGCTCCTCGTACTTCCGGCGCTTTTCCTGTTCATGGCGTCTGTAGCTAGCAGCGAGGGAGGTGGCACGATTCGAAGACGCAAAAGGGTTGAAAACCCGTACATCAATAAAGATGCGCTCGAATCGGCCACCCCACACACCACTAGCCGCAACGTCCAGCCGAGCTTGCTCCTCCGTGACAGCTGTGCGATGGCGGAAGGCCTCTCCGGTGACGGGCTGGAGGTGGGGTTCCACTGTCACGTTGTGAGCGACCTGCCTCAGAGCTCTGGCGGTGATGTCCCTCACCTCGTTGTGTCGCAGCGTCGGGGGATAGTGTATAGTGTATAGTATATAGTGTACAGTGTATAGTGTACAGTGTACAGTGTACAGTGTATAGTGTATAGTGTATAGTGTATAGTGTATAGTGTATAGTGTATAGTGTACAGTGTACAGTGTATAGTGTATAGTGTATAGTGTACAGTGTACAGTGTACAGTGTATAGTGTATAGTGTACAGTGTATAGTGTAGAAGTATCGTCAGGCCTCCGAGGACCTCCGTGGGTCGTTCACACCACTGGTTTGTTCCACGGATGGGGTGCTACATCGCGAATACGCCAGCTATCAGAAGCGACTTGCTGGTCGCCTCGCCCTCAAGTGGGACAAGCCATTTTCAATCATCATGGCTTGGGTGCGAGTTCGCAGCCAATTTGCAGTGATCCATGCAGTCGACCTCCGGCTACGCGGGTCTAGAAGGCGCCTGACAGGCCTGTCGACGCAGGATGGTGCTGGGGTAGGCATCGGCCATTGAAAACTGAATTCCGTCTGTTTTACGTGGAATTTCTTGGAGTTTCCCAATGTATTGTACTTGAATAAAATTCTATTTTAACTTTCATGGTATCTCAATTTTTTTCACGTCTACATGACTTTATTTTGCCCGTAAAAGAGGCCGTTACCCCGTAAAAAAAAAGTGTATAGTGTACAGTGTACAGTGTACAGTGTATAGTGTATAGTGTATGTATAGGATATTGACCAAGACGAGGTCTATATGGGAAATATAGGCCGAGTAAAAGACCGAGGTCCACCGAGGTATTTTACGAGGCCTATATTTCCCATATAGACCGAAGTGGAAACACTACTATACACATAACAGTAGTAGTAACTGAGCAAACACGCTCTATGTGTGGGGCACGGAGCCTTCACACGCCCGGAAGACAACACCATCCAGGAATTAAGCTGATAATTAAGCAAGATCCTACAATGCCCCACCCCTCTCCTTGGGGCTGGAAATGTACGTCCTGAAGGTGCAACGCATACAATGCCTTTTGAAGGAGCGCGTATGTTCAAATTATCGTAACTATCATAGCTCAGTCAATATTTCTTGGCCTGTTCTCATGATCGAAATACATACCGTAAAATCCCGCCAGGGCGCCAGGGCGCCCCGTCTCTCCTATCCGCCCCTCCCTGACTTCTTGTCAGGGACGTGATTGGTTGTATCCTCGTATGACTCTATCACAGTCTGTGATGCCGTACTGTACTGCAGACGCGTGCTCGACCCCGTTGGAAATGTACGCAACAGTGCCCACCCTCTTGACCAGGGATCGCACAAACCCTGAGTTTTGATGGGTCTGTACGACTCCTGGCTCTTGACCTTTGGCCGGTGTACGAGATGCACGAACAGTTTTCGTAGGGTGATTACTTTTTCATGTAGCATTGAATGCGGCAAGTAGGACTCGCCCATCCGCCCCTCCCCACCTGAAGCGTCGAGGAGGTAGGGGCGCTCTGGCGGGATTTTACGGTATATGTAGGTGGAAGAGAAAACTCATAGCTCACTTCTGCAATGTAAATACGATAGAGAAGTAACATAATATTATGGTGCCTCACAACTTGTCCTTTCATTTGCAATGATGACAGAGAATAATGTTTACTGTAAGAGTTGGATCTCTGAGGCACAAAGCTTAACGTTGAACAAAAAATCCATCGTTAACTCTAAAAATGTTACTCGCATGCTATTCCTTCTCTCGTCTGTACTAGAAAATTAGAAGATGGGTGTGTGATGACAGGGTCATTAAACTTTGTGACCGCTAAGTTTGAACCTTTTGCAAATCGTTAAACTTTCCAACTCCTCAATTTTTAAATTTATTCCAGTATATAATTACTTACCTGCTTCTCAATCTGTTCTTTCACTGCTCTGCGATCTGCCCATTTCATTGACTCCATGATTGATGCTGAAAATAGAACATCCAGAAATTCAAACTCATTTACAGCAGATAACAGATAGCCTCTTTGCGCAAGTTACCTGAGTGAAAAATACAGGTATTCATGTTTAGTACAATGATAAGCCATGATGAATTAGCACCATGTCTACTAGACGTCTTGGAGAAGGTTCAGCAAGCCCAACAAAACACTGCAGGACAATCATTAAAAATTAGACAAGTATTGTAAAGTCCATATTCCTGTGAAACAGCACCAAATGAATCCGCGTGCGCAATGGAGCCACCTTACCCTAAAGAGAACACCATGCTGTGTTGAAAAATCAGTCAATTAGTGTAAACAAGGCACTATTTTTTACATTCATTCAGAAAACTAGATACCAGACCTCTTGTCTCAAGACTCGAGGGATTTTAAAGAACTTACGAAGTAGCGACATAGCTGGAAACTGATAGCGTTTTTCAAGAAGAGCATCCTTACTCTTCGTAAGCGCTTCACCTACCTATATAATTTTAAGTTGGATTACAACAAAGAGGAGAAAACAACCATCCATGTCACTCACTGACCTCAACCCCCCTTTCGGAGACCCATGGACCATCTACCACTCTCCACATACAATTCCCAAAGCTATGCTAAAGACGTTACGTAGTGGCGTGGTCACGGCCATGGTCCTCACCGCTTATTATTATCATCTGTGTTGGGGGGGGGGGGGGGGGGATCGGCACAAACAATGTGACTGATCATGTGAGCCAGCAAGAGCTGCAGGTGACCTAGCAGGAGTTGTAGGTGACCTAGCGGAGCGCCGATAGGTGGTCACACGTACCACATTGCAGTTTACCAGCTCATCTAGCTCAGCAAAACGAGTTGTTCTTATAAGGACTTAGGTAAAGACCAAGCATGGTGAGGGCCTACAGCTGGCAGCTCTCTCGTTAGCGGTAGAGATTTGTCAATGACATGAAGTGCTTGCAATGCAAATGACAAAAGTCCATAACCCCTAGGGTGTGCAAGTGTGCATTGGCTTGTGTAGCAGGAAAATCCAAAAAACTACCCAACATCATGCAAGGGTGATCAGGCACTAAATGTTGTAGGTTGAACGACTCTACAATCATGTAATAATAATATACAGGCAGATCGGTGGTGGCCTTGTGCACAAAGCATAGCTGTTGCCACCCAACGCTGTGTATACTATCTATCACGTGCTATTGAGGTAAAACATTTGGATTCCGCTGCTACAACTTAAAGGGGAACTGTCACCAAAAAATTTCTTGGTCTTATCTTGTAGTTCTTTGGCTCCTGATCACGATGGTGTTATCCGTTTTTCTCTGCGATGGCTGGAAGTGGGTGAAAACTTGAAAAGAAGGTGCCCAAAATTGTCCCGAAGTACCGAGTGACGTCACGCCGGACTTGACCTCCACGCGTACATTCGTCGTCAAAAACGAAGTCCAGCCCGTGTGCTGGTCGATCGAGCTAGCTGTTCCAATGTACGGTGCACGTGTGCCTTTTGAACTGTAACACAGATGGGTACGTCGTACCGAAGGAGAATGCCAAAGAGGCAGAGACCCACGTGCAGCTACACAGCCAAATCAAAGTAAAAAGCAGCTGAGCTTTCACCTTTTTGACTTCTTCCGCGAGGATCTAAGTAAGTTTTATTTTGTGAGCACGGAAGTCGTTGTTGTTTTGAACTTTTCGTGTGAGGAACAACACGATGATGAGTGCGTATGCAGAAAACAGTACTCCTCCGGCCGGCGATAACACCACCAACCCGAGCCCCAAAGGAACGCGATGTAGGTACGTGAAGGCGATTCATCTGGCGATGTTGCTGAAGATGCAGATGACAAACTCTGACGTCTTTCATTTCAGAGCCGGGTGGGCAACACCGCCACCTTCGATACAACGACATAATTTTCAAGTACGAGGTATGTGTGTCACACTAACAGCAAACAAACATCCTTCGACTCCTTCGTAATCACAAATAAAACAAAGAGCTGGAGCTTCGTGGAGGAAGTACCAGTGCGACAAACTGCTGTCGACTTTTGTTTATTTTGTCCCTTTTTGGCGTTCTCATTGTGTACAACGTACACATCGAGTGTCCGAGTTCAGAAGGCAAGCGTGCACCGTACAGCGAACAGTTGGCTCGATCGACCAGCACACGGGCTGGACTTCGTTTTTGACGATAAATGTACGCGTGGAGGTCAAGTCCGGCGTGACGTCACTCGGTACTTCGGGACAATTTTGGGCACCTTCTTTTCAAGTTTTCACCCACTTCCAGTCATCGCAGAGAAAAACGAATAACACCATCGTGATCAGGAGCCAAAGAACTACAAGATAAGACAAAGAAAATTTTTGGTGACAGTTCCCCTTTAACAAGTCTCCATACAGTCTGTGATGTAACGCTGCACACTTTGGACAATTCAATTGTCGAAGCAAGAAGGCAGCATGGGGGAACTGAAATGGGCAGATCTGCATGCATTTACTCCCAACTACTGTCTTCTTTTGTTGCTGTGCAAAATCTGTTCTCCTCTACCTTATCATAATAATACTTGTAATAATACACACAGCTCGCATCCCCCCTGAACATGTTAGACAGGAGCAGAGTCGACGCATCTGTCAACAGTGTCATGCCAAGTTAGTCTATCTCCTGCAGCTTGGAGAGCGCTCTTCACGGAGAGATCCGCTGCCTTCAGGTCGTGCCGAATTGTATCTATCCACCGCAATGGTGGACGGCCATGGTTTTTTTTAATGTCTTTTGTGTTGATGGATAGCTCCAGTGCTTGGAACGAGGCGGATTCTGGACCCTCTCGCACCACATGGCCAAACCATAGCAGCCTGCGTCGCCGGCATGTGGCACTAACTGGAGATTGTTTTGTTTTGTGTATAAGTTGTTATTGGTGATGCGTTGCAGGTAGACAATCTGCAGCAGTACGCGTAGCTTCCTCCGTTGCCATTTGTCCAGTTTGTCGTTCAGGAATTTGGACAAAGTCCACAATCCGCAATTGAATAGAAGGGTCGGCAATATGAGGCAGTTAAACATACACAGTCGGGATTGAAAGGAATGCCGTCTCCAAGAAATCGAACAAAACGCCCTGTTTGCTGATCTCACGTATACCTTATCATGCCAGGCGGATATTTCATTTACTCCCCTAAAAGAAGACAGATGGGCAAGGGAATCTAACCGCCTGAGTGATTTCCTCGTCTGTCACTACAACGCCAACTCCGCATGCTTCTTCGAAAGCTGCCACATCGATATTGTCGGACAAAGAGCTCTTCACAAAGTCAATTGCAGCTGCGCAAACAATGAATGAAAGAGAGAAAGAGAGAGAAGAGAGAGAGAGAGAGAGAGAGAGAGAGAGAGAGAGAGAGAGAGAGAGAGAGAGAGAGAGAGAGAGAGAGAGAGAGAGAGAGATAGAACAATCATTTCAGCACAATATTTATGGGAGAAAGTCTGGCCAGTGAGGACCAAAAGAAGCGTGTTAACAATCACACGATTTCACCATCAGATGATAAAAGTACATCATTGATCATAGTTGGGAGTGGTTATACAGTACACGGTGCACGTCTCTTCACACCGCATTAACGCACTCTCCACATACAGGCATGCATCCGGCTCAGAACACATTGTTTTCTGGTTGGCATATCAGGGATATTGGGCGGAGCAGCTGGCGTGCATGAGAAAGACAGGTCGGCCTGCTCTGCGCAGGAGCTGTGACCCGGTGCACACATAGTGTGTGAGAGAGAGAGACAGAGAGACAGGTCGGCCTGCTCTGCGCAGGAGCTGTGACCTGGAGCACACAGAGTGTGAACGAGAGACGGTCGGCCTGCCGTGGGCAGGAGCTGCGACCGGTAGTGATTGGAATGAGCCAGCTGCGGAGATAGACTGCCCTCACCCGATATAAGTATATTGACAAGAGTTGTACTGACACTGTGATTGAGGAAATTATGGTGACAGTGACGGAGAGATAGTGATCCCCAGTCGAATGGGGTTGGGAGGGAAGGGAAAATTGACAACTGACGGACAAACCAGTGAACAGTCAAGTCGTCTGAAAACAGAAGTAACAAAGGAGTTTTCTGCAAAAGCAAGATTTGGAAAGCACGCGTGGGAGAGTGGCGCGCACGCTGCGCATGCGCATGTATAGCAATGACATCATAATCAGATGCATGATCATCAGACTAAGTATGAGTGGTAGATGTTCCACGTTCGTTAACAGGGCTTAGCGCACACGCTAAACCACCATTAATTGCCAGGGCTCCAGCGGACACAGGAACTAAATCTACAGAGTGCACGCTACTACAAGACGTTCATTATCGGCTCGGTGACGCATAGTTATCAGTAAGTAAAAAAAAGTAAATTACCGTGTCCGTTCCCGAAGGGAACTCACGACGGCCACTAACACCCGGTAAACCCTAGCGGCAAATATTATCGTATTCTACATTACGCTGTCTCCACGCTGATTGATAAGAAGAGCCTCTATTTAGCACTGAGTTCTGCTTCTTTTGGTGCGTGACGGGCATTGTTCTACTATGCAACAATTGCATGTCCGTGTTGCAAGCTTTGTACGCTGCTTGTTCAGGACTCACCTTCACTACTATGCAATATTTGCCATTATGCCAGATTACGCTGGCACTTGCAGTGCACTAATTATTTCTTGTTTCTTTATGCTTGAGTTGTATCTGTCGCGTATCTTTCTTGGCTCGATATGAGTCCGTTTATAGCTGTAGCCACCCTGTCCACGCCGACAGGGGGTCGCATGGGTTCATGACCTTTACGTTTCCGGCGTTTGTACATTTCTGTTGTACCAGCGCTGCTGCTAATTTGTCGTAGGTTGCGTATATGGCCCTGCATGTGCCGTACGCGCGGCGCTTTCTTTGCTTTTGAGATTGCTGTTGCTCCCGGCTTGGGGGAGTTGTCGTGAGAGAAAGAGTGTCTTGTTCTTTTTACCTCAGCCGTGAGAGGTTTGCATTTTCTTTGCTTTCGCGATGAGTTATCAAAGTTAGTTGACAATAAGAAAAGATCAACGTTGTCGTGTGAGTTTTTGTCGTGAGCAAACTGGGCTCCGGGTTCGTCACCATCAAATTGGTAGCAGAGGATGGTTTTTACTAGAGTGATCCACGATTAGTTGAGATGGAGCAACAAGGCTCCAACGAACCGCAGGACTCCAGGAGCGAGGCTCAACCGTCGGAGGTAGTTGCAGACGATACTGCAAGCACAGGGAGCTGCCGAGATCAAGACGCTGAGCAGACATCCGATGCGCCACCAACGCAAGGTGGGTCGGGTGATGCCGGTGAAGCAGGATCGAGCATCTGTGCGCTCCGAGCCAGGAAAACGCAGGACAAGAAGCAATTCACGAACATCCGACGAGGGCTGATTGTAAAAGCCCAGCGAGTGCAGATGCGATGTACGGACGATGAGAGCTACTTCGATGCCGAAAGAGAAATGAACGAGCTCGAAAGAGCATATGAGAGAGCGGAAGGGACGATCACAGATCTAGCTGGTTTATACGAAGCAGAGAGTAATGCGAGAGAGAAGGATAAGATGATTAGTGAGCTAGAAGTACTCCAGAGGCAATTTGACGAAGCGACGGACTTGGCGTTTGAAATTGTAAGAACAACTCACGGCGTGCCAGTCGCCTCAGCTGAAACGCAGCAGTATACCGGTAATTCGTATCAACAGTGCCGCGATGAAGCCAGGGAAGTCGGTGGTTGGTGGCCAGGACATGTTTACAGCAATGAACTGTCCGTAGGACCACTTGGGTTTGAGTCACAACCGGGATTGCTGGCCAGATCGCTACAACAACGAGACGTGAACAGGTCCGCCAGCGGAGATGCAACAAATGCAACTGATCAACAACTACCTTTTGACACTGATGACCGCACAGCAGTAACAGGGCACTCAATTTCAACAGCTACTGGTACTACTGGTGGTACCATCCCAGACAGGCCAGAGGTCACCAGCGCTGTCCAGTCCAACATTGGCCAGTATACAGATGGTTCTGCAACAGTGACCATGACAAGTACCACAGTAAGTGTCAATGATGGTGTGAGTGTTCTTGCTAGGCCTGCTACTGCAAACACAACTACCTCAGGCAGTACATCTAGTAGTAGTTCTAAGGTTACTGGTCCTACACTACCCTTGGGCAGTAGCAATGTTCTGCCAAGCAATTCTGTATCCTCAACCAGTACGCATAGTGTGAATACTGCAATGAATACTAAGTACAGTGTTGGTACACAGACTAATCCACACTCTTTCAGAAAGCATCCAATGTCTACAGGTACTAATGTATATGGACCTACTAATCAACCACAGATGCCCCAGTCAGGTATCCAGTGGCAGGCACCGCCTGTGAGCACAATGTCAATGGCTTCTACGGGTACTAATGTATATGGGCATACTAACCAACCACAGATGCCCCAGTCAGGTATCCAGTGGCAGGCACCGCCTGTGAGCACAATGTCAATGGCTTCTACGGGTACTAATGTATATGGGCATACTCACCAACCACAGATGTCTTCCGGGTACATGCAACAGCCAATGGTTTATGCAACACCATCCAATATTGGAAATCAAATGTATGCAACAGGGCTACCTCAAATGCAACAAAACCAGGCTCGTGCAGAGCCATGGAAGCAGCTACAACGAGTTGGCATACCAATATTCAGCGGTGACAAACGTACGTATGAGTCATTCCGAGAAGCTTTCATGGCATGTGTAGATAGTGCACCCGCCACCCCTCAGTACAAGCTGTTGCAATTGAGGCAGTATTTGGCAGGAGACGCACTGACAGCCATCGAGCGATTTGGCTACTCACCATCAGCCTATGACGCAGCTAAGAAGTTGCTAGAGCGCAAGTATGGCGGTGAGCGACGCCGTGTGGCTCTACATATTGAACAGATCGATAGTATGTCCGTAGTGAGAGCCAACCGACCGAAAGAGATGGAGCACTTTGCCGAGCTGCTTGCCGTGGCCGTAGTCAACATGAAAGATTCAGGTCGAGCCATGGAATTGGGCCATGGCACATTCTACCTCAGTCTGTTGAGGAAGCTAGACGAACGTAACCTCGCCCAATACCACCGGTGGCGACATGATAAATCTCAGCCAGAGACAGTTGAAGTACTTCTCGAGTGGGTGAACCTGGAGGCAGACTTCTTGGTAGTAGCGTCAGAAACCGTGAGCGGATTCAGTGGCAACGCGGCAGCTCAGTCACAGCCAGCTCAATCAGCCAGTGTGCATAGACGACAGTTCACCAGCCGGACACCACCAATGTTCAAGAATACGGCGCGTACATTCGCGAATGCTGGTATACCAGCCAACCGAGATTGCCCGGCATGTAATGGACCGCATCCACTGTGGAAGTGTGCGGAGTTCAAGTTCTACAGTGTCGGAAAACGGTGGCAAGTAGCAAAGCAAGCCAATGTCTGTTTCAGATGCTTGTCATATGGTCACACTGGCAAGGAATGCTCAAAGACGTACACCTGCGGCATTGACGGTTGCAAGGACACCCATCATCGGACCTTGCACGACTCCAACAGACAAGGCTCTTGTAATGCTGTTAGTGTCAATCAGACAGCTGCTCTAGCAGATAGCAGCAAGCCACGTAGTAACCACACCAGCAAGTCCTCACCGAGTAGCGACAAGGCCTCTAGCAAGGCAGACAACAAGGTGCATGGAACGGCATTGTCTGTCAGGGAAGGGGAGTGCAACAAACCAAGTACCACAACTACACCAGTGTCCTTGAGAACGGTTCCAGTGATACTACGCAACGCCAACAGACAAGTGGTTGTGAATGCTATTCTCGACGACGGGAGTACGATGTCATATATAAATGCTGATGTAGCCGCTGAATTAGGGTTACAGGGTCATACTGAGAAGGTGACAATCAGCACGCTCAATGGACGGCAGGAAACATTCTCCACTACTCCTGTCTCTGTGAACATCTCCGGCCTGGACGGACGTGAGACAGCTCGAATAGAAGCAAGAACAACGCGACGAGTTGTGGGAGACCTCCCCGCAATTGACTGGCGTCAACATGGCCCAAAATGGAAACACTTGAAGGGCATCCAGTTTCCAGCCATTAATGACAATCGAGGCGTAGATCTCCTCATTGGAAATGATCATGCTAACCTGCACGAATCGCTGAGGGACATTCGTGGGCAACCAGGTGAGCCGATTGCCCGTCTAACACCACTGGGCTGGACTTGTGTTGGACCAACGGCAACAACGTCACATGCACATACCGCCATCACTCTGTACGCGGGTGACAGGCACGAAATGGAAGCCGACACTCTCCT